CCGGTGGGTAAAGCTGCGGGGTAAGCTTGGATGCTGAGCTTCCCACTGTATTCGAGTTCACTGCTTTATTCTTCACCACTTTGCAAACTGTTGTCATTAACTCCTAGTTACCGTAAGCAAGGCTGATCAGATTTATCGAAGACAAAAGCGTAAACGTTTTTGTGGTGCTTCTAGTACGGCAGAACTAAAGCATTCAAAAAGATTCATCACAATCATCAGCTCACAGCAGCTTCGATAAAGCAGCGATAACGCTGTTCATTTTTGATCAAAGAAAACAACTTTGAAGTAGTAAATGCTCTGACTGGTCCATAAAACGATTGCTCGTTCCCATTCATAACACAGCTAGTAACGAATCCTTTCACATCTTGCACTGTAGCCCGCTTTAAAATGCTACAATACAAGGCGGGAAAAAGTCGCACAGGCGGCCCGCACCGCAAGGAAGATTCAAGGACAATCGTCACAGCAGAAATTTAGGAAAAATTTTACTATATTAAAACATTCCCTGGTAACATTTTCATTTCCACGTAACAATATATTAAAGTGACTACTGTGGTGAAGGAAAACTTCACTTTAGTTGTTGGTTTCCCCAGCGTGCAGCTGACAGTGAGCACTATTCTGACAGTGAGCCCAACAGTGAGCCCAAAAGTTGGGCTCACGCTGACAGCGAGCCCAACTTTTCTCAGTGGGGGGCTTGTGCCCCCCCTTGCCCTCCGGGCTGGTACGCCTATGACTGTCAGAGTCTCTGGAGGACAATTCACTCATCATTGTTCATGTGAACCCCGTGCTTTTGACAGCAGACAGATAGCTGTTGCTAGTTTGTCATGAGTTGAAGTCTTCCGATGATGTCAGACCCCTCTTGACACGTCACCGCAAAGCCACTCTCTCAATAAAGAAACGGAAATAGCTGTTTTACGGTAGTAGTATTAAAATATATTCCATGTACAGTTAAACCTCTATATAATGAACCTACATGAAACGAATTCCTCGATATTATGAAGTTTTTCTATTCCCCGCCGTGACTTCATAGATGCACATGTATTTGCAACCTCTATGTAAAAAAGAGTAACAATGGGAGACATCCTGGGTATAACGAATTCTCACCACAGAAAATCTAAAAATTTTGTTCCAGATATTGTCATTTTGGCATGAGCATGCATCCTCTATGGTTTCCACGCCACTGGCAAAGCGGTGGCAGTGCGCACGGCGTGCTCATAAACCTGGCGACCCCCACTGATTGATATGGAAGATTTAACTTACCAAAACCACTTTATGATTATGAGAGCCGCCGTAGTGGAGGGCTCTGGAAATTTTGACAACCTGTGGTTCTTTAACGTGCACCCAAATCTGAGAAAACTGGCCTACAACATTTCTGCCTCTAACGGAAATGCAGCCACCGCAGCCGGGATTCGATCCCGCGACCTACGGGTCAACAGCCGAGTATGTTAACCACTAGACCACCGCGGCAGGGCCCCGGCGACTCCCAGGCTAGGGCGAGTGCTCGCAATTGTTGCGCGGGTATGGTGGACACCTGAGCCTGCACCCCTCGAGCCGGCATTGCCGCCACGGGCACATGCATAGATGTGCCCTCCTCCTCCCTCCAAACCGAAAAACACAAAAAAAGAGGAAAAAAAAGAAAACTACTTTTGCGTTGGCAGTGCCAATCTTCGATAGCTGCAGCAGTCTCTGAACTGCACTTTCACAAAGATGATGCCACTTTGCGTTGCTACGTTTTTAGTAAGCATCACACATGTGGTGCCTCACTGCATATAGGAAGCACTTCACTGAGTAGTTTTTCGCGATATCCATGTCGTTCACTTTTCGTTTTCGAAGCCAGAGCATGCATGCATGGTTTCACTGTGCGCCCATAGTGGCCCCAGATGACATTCAGCTTTGCCTTTTTTCCCCCTTGTTTTGATTTGATTGATATGTAGGGTTTAACGTCCAAAAACCACCATTTGATTATGAGAGACGCCGTAGTGGAGGGCTCCGGAAATTTCGACCACCTGGGGTTCTTTAACGTGCACCCAAATCTGAGCACACGAGCCTACAACATTTCCGCCTCCATCGGAAATGCAGCCGGCGCAGCCGGGATTGGAACCCGCGACCTGCGGGTCAGCAGCCGAGTACCTTAGCCACTATACCACCGCGACGGGGCTTTTCCTCTTGTTTTATTTATGTGGGCAACCGTGTTGTTAATGCCAAGAAGATGTCAGATTAGGCACTGATGGAAACTACCCGAGACCATGGTGACAACGATAGATTTTTGGAGGTTGACCCGGCACACACTTTGCAGTCTTGCACCGCATTGCGAGTTCGCGGAACCGTAGCCTTTGAGATTAGCCGATTAGCTTTGGCGACACAATGGCGCATTGAATACAATGCAATGAATGCGATAGCAAACAATTGTCATGTTGAAGGCTGCCAGCCAACTCTTTTTGATCGGATATCGCGGAACTCCCACGAAATGCTGGTGTAAGCAAATACGGCCGCTCCAGGGAAATTCTGTTTTCACACAGTTTTTTCGCGTTGAAAGCGGACTAACGCTTGCTGAGATAGCAAGCACGCCAACAATCGCATCCTTAAAACCAAAGTTCACTGTTGCTACTAAATCGACCCCACCCCTTGCGTTTTTTCATGCTGGTTCAAGATGGGCGGTTTTTTCTCTGTTTGAACATTCAATGGCAATTCTAACATGTGGGGAGATGTTATTGTATGCGTCTTCCAGGTGATAGATATGGGCTGGCTCATTTGATCTCTGTTTCAGCGGTGGTCGCGCGCTTTTACCCGCTCGTAAAAGTACCATGCACCGTTATCGATTTGAACTTGTGACGGAACATGGCGGCCATGGAAAACACCCATCGAAAGTACTCATATAATTGCTCTTGCAAATACTGACACAGTGTTTTACCGCTAAATAAGTGTTTTGGGTGAGCTCTATGTTCATTCCCCTTCTGGTTAATTTGTGCGTTGATTTTTTGAATTTTCGTAGCAAACCTGCATTTAACAAAATCCTCGTAATAAAGAATTTTTTCAGGAATTTGTCAATCTTGCAATATCCAGGTTTACCTATATTACCTAGCCCCATGACACTCTATTTAGGGTTCTCGACACCCGCCTTTTTATTTAGAGCAGCAACCCGAAAATATTTAAAATTTGTGTCAGTACTTCTGGAGGAGTTTAAAAAAATGTACAACATTTGCACATACAAATTTGCATGAAGCTGAATTTTAATAAAGAAAGCTCGTGCTTTTCTGTTTAAAAAAATCACCAATTATCAAGCCATGGAGATATTTAATACATTGTGAACATGATCGACAGTACACCATATACCATATTCACTCACGTAATGAATGCACTTAAAAAAAAAATCAGAGCAAAGTTGGGAGTGCATTTATTATGCGGTACAGATTTTATGAAAACTTTGCTGGCATGAGCAAAAATGCTGTAATGCAGAAAAACAAAACAAAAAAAACAAGTTAGGTCGCTTAACTTTTCGCATACGTGTAGTATACTGTTAGGAAACCGGTTCTTTGTTGCACCTTACACATCTTCAGTGATTGATGGCATTATCTTCTACAAGCTGTCGCCACGCCGCTTGCACACGCTATAAAAGCGTTTTCCGGCTATCTTTTTTCGCAATCGTTTAACCGCAACAGTGGTATATGCTGTGATATAGAGGGGCGCTCAGAAGCGTGCGCTACGATGCACTTTGCCAACTTCACGGCAACCTCACACAACGACGTCGTTGTCATTGTAGCAAGTAACGAACATTGCAGCAAGCTACCCCCGAAACATCAGAACAAACTGTTAATAACAGGATTAACGATGAAATACGGCCGCCGCCTCACTTTCACAAAGCGATGCAAGTATCGGGGGTGCTACCATGTTGTGCAAATTGTCACAGTCTTTTCTGGGTGAAAAGCAATTTTTCCTGGATTTCCAGAAACCCGAGACGCAATAGTGACGAATGACCCTTTGCGACAGATGGTTGATTGATATGTGGGGTTTAACATCCCGAAACCACGATATGATTATGAGAGACGCCGTAGTAAAGGCTCCGGAAATTTCGACCACCTGGGGTTTTTTAACGTGCACCCAAATCTGAGCGCACGGGCCTACAACATTTCCTTCTCCATTAGAAATGCAGCTGCCGCAGTCGGGATTCGAACCCGCGACCTGCGGGTCAGCGACAGAAAATCCTGTCATCGTCATTTGAAAATAGCATGCACGTCGTTGGGCTTTAAGTCAGCGACAGAAAATCCTGTCATCGTCATTTGAAAATAGCATGCACGTCGTTGGGCTTTAAAGTTTTATATTTGCAGGAAGCGATCGTCAGTCTGCGCGAGCAGATTTGTGACCTTCGCTCACTCTTGCTCGCTGTGGGCTTATCAGCTGCGATGTCTCTACACTCGCATTCGTGAACCCTGCTGTGGCGCACAAATAAAAAAGACGGGGGACGTGCAGCGCACAGATAAAAAGAAAAACAATACGGCACGCGGCAACGGGCGAAAGGGGGGAGAGAATGAGCAGAGGTTAGCCGAGGAGGGTCAGAATAATAGTTAAAAAATAGAAGCGATCCCAAGGGTAAGTAGGCCCCAGGTGTCAGTTAGCAGGACAGCAGGAAATGAATGTAGGGGTGCATTTATTATAGAGGAAAAAAATCCAAATTTTGAAAACTGACGTTGGGGGTGCATTCATTATATGAGTGCACTCATTACGCGAGTAAATACGGTATGTGTTGTGCTTGTTCATTTTAGACTCCCAACCCTGGTAAGACTGGGCTGTGCAGCCCAGTCTTACCAGACTGGGCTGCACACATGCAAGACCTATTCAATGCTCTGTAATCAATTTTCTTGATAATTTAGAACCTGGTCATTTTTGGGTAGCCATAACTGATAACTGAAAATAATAGTGTTTTTGATGTAGTGTAATTCTTTTAATACTTCCTTCTCGTGACATATGCAGAACTTGATAGAAATATATGCAATCAATGCCCTTACCGATGAGCTCACCAGGACAGGCAGGTAAGGATGCCACGACACATCTCTCACACAACCCCTGTGACCAGATAGAACGGTGGCCACTTTTCCGGTAAGAAGGTCATAGACTGCAAAAAAAAAAAGTCAAATGCATGCTTGGATGCAGTCATACATTTCAGAAAACACGAATGCCACAGGTGTGAATGTGGGCATCTAGCTACTAAAATGCAGTTATGGCAAAAGAAAAGAAAAGAATCCTTTCCATTGTACCTTCCTTTTGTTTTGCACCACAACCACATCTTAAGGCAATGTACCAACTAACCCAACATCAGTTTGATGTCACCTGCTTCTTAAGGGGGACACTAAAGAGAATATAAATTTTTTTCGATTTACTCTTTCGCAATACCGAAATCCCCACTGTTGTCATGACAGAGCATAAGTGAGCAAATGCACAAAAAGAATATATAGATGGCAATGCCCCCGTGAAATTCCTACACCAATCACTACGACGTCATAAATTTTGACAGCGTCTACTACGGTCTATGTATCCTGTAAGTATACGATGAGACTTAGCACATTAAAGGGGCCCTACAACACTTCTTGAGCATGGCCAGAAAATGCTGCCAAGTGGTAGTCGAGCCTCCCAAGAACATGCGTGCCAAATATTATAGTGCAGCACACGGCCTAGAATTGACAATAAATTCTCAAAGTCACATAGAAATCGCTTTCTCTTCTCCCAACAAATGACGCTAAAGGCTCAAAATCACTCCCTCCCAAGCCAAGTATCAACCATTGGCCGATTTGGGCCTGGCGGGCTCGAAAGTTATTGAGGCCACGGGAGTTCGCATCTTGTCCATGCGTGTGCTTCATGACCTTTTTGCAGGGTCATGAAGCGGGGGGAAATTTCATAAAAGCCAATGTAGCTGAAATATGCAAGGAACTTTAAAATGAGACAGCTTTATTTCCTCCTTTATTATTACAGCTATGATGGTGAAAATAATGATGTTATAATTTTAAAAGTAAAATTTATTGATCTAAACCGATTCAGTGCTCAACTTTAGTGCCACTTTGAAAGACTTGTGCCAACACTAGTGCTTTTCCAGCATATTGAATTATGCTAACAGCACCTACACTCATCAATTTAGCCCATGACCAGGTGCAGAATGAATTATTTCATACTAGATGTTGCAGTTGAATATCTAAGTTAGTTCTTTTTGCTCACCATGATGGCACCTACAAAACCTTTGGTGCTTAACTTCTACTGTGCATACATACAAGGTATGTTAGAAAAGTATCAGACCTTTGGGGGAAGAAAAAAAAACTGGCATAATTGGAGTGTTGGAAACCTAACCCCTTCAAAGTAGTCCCCTTGGAAATCCGCACATTTCTCCCAGCGGTGCTGCCATTGTTGGAAGCATTCTGAGAAGGCCTCTTTCAGAATGAAGTTTAGCTCAGCTGTCGTTGCAGCCACAATGTCTTCCCTTGCCTGATATCGCTCTCCTTTCAATGTCCTCTCGAGTTTGCGAAACAGCCAGAAGTTTCAGGGGCCCATATCGGGAGAGCAAGAAGCTTGTTGAACGACAGGAGTCCGACTTTTTGCCAAAAAAGTCTGAACCAAGTGTGAGGAATGTACAGGAGCAATGTTCTGATGGATGCGCCAGTTTCCTGTTGACCACAACTCGGGTCTCTTGCGTTGCACAGCATCACGTAGGTGACAGAGGACATCCCTGTAGTACTCTTTGGCGATTGTTTGACCCTGTGGTGCATACTCATGGTGCACCACACCGCGGGAGTCAAAGAAAGCACTCGGCATTATTCTGACATGGCTGCGCACTTGGCGAACCTTGATATATTGATATGTGGGGTTTAAATGTCCCAAAACCACCATACGATTATGAGAGACGCCGTAGTGGATGGCTCCAGAAATTTCGACCACCTGGGGTTCTTTAATGTACACCCTAATCTGAGCACACGGGCACTTGGCGAACCTTCACAGTAGAAATTCTTCCACTGTGACGATTAGGATTTGGTTTCTGAGTCGCACCTATACACCCAGGATTCGTAACCAGTGTTAATGGTGCTCATGAAGTTAGGGTCACTGATTGTGAAATCCAGCATGTCCCGTGAAACTTCATCATGAAGTTACTTTTGCTCCACTATGAGCAGTTTCGGCACGAATTTCACAGCAATTCTTCATGGCTAAATCTTTGGTCATAATGGAATGTGCACAAAAAATGCTCAGTACCACCTCTTCCGAAATTTCCCAGATAGTCATCTGATGCTCCCGCATTACCACAGAGTTCACTTTGGCAATGACCTGGTCATTTCGGCATGTTGATGGCCAACCGAAGCGTGGCTCGCTCTCTACCGATGTGTGCCTGTTTAAACCAGTGCTGTACCACTTAATTTGTGCGCAGCTCATAGCGTCGTCACCGAAAGCAGTCTTGATCTTCTGAATGGTTTTCACTTGGCTGTCGCAGCTCTAGTTGCTCAGTCATTTTCCTTGCAATGAAAAACTGACGAGAGCACTGCGCAGTACCTCACTCAAACACTGCGTCCCAGCGACTGATGTTGTTGGCAGGTGGGAAAAAATTCATGCATGCACAAGAAGGTTCAAGTTCGGCTGATGCAAGCGCGCTTGTTTTTAATCCATCAGGTGCTCGCAAAAAAAAAAAAAAAGATTGGATACTTTTCTAACAGACCTCAGAGTGTGCACCAACATTTATAGAACCAGTTCAGTCTAGCAGTTCTTTAGAGGTGCCCACTCTGAAGTAAACGAGTCAGTTCTTAGAGTTATAGCACTGCTGTCCCATTTTGCTTCATGCCTCACACATCATCATCTGCAGCACCAGTGAGCCTTATTGTTGTCACAGCTGTCACCAGCTGTAACAGCAAGAATTTGCCATTTAAGTTTTTGAGTAGCCTCAATAGCTTCAACGAAATTTTCACAACCCATATTATATTAACACCAAAGTACCATGAAATTCCAGTTGGAATAATGCAGTCAATTTTGCAAGTCTGAATGCCTAACTATAGGTCTGAACAAACGTTCATACTAAGGTTGTGAGAATACTTGAATTTCAAAAATTTTGAAGTAGCGTTCTTTATTTGATTCGATTCAGACTAGAATTTTACTATTTCCACTTCCTTAACACAAATACGGTCAATGTTCGATTGGCAGTGGCCCCTCCATATTTCCAATATGCTTTATCCTATCACACTCTCATATTGCGACAAAGCTGCCTTTCAGGCTCTGCTACGATCGCAAATGTATTAACTAAAAAAAAAGTGCTGGATACAACATTGAGATGATAAATATGGCAGAGAAAGAGGGGGGGGGGGGGGGGGGAGGTGTGCTGAATTACGGCTATTTTCGGCCTAAACTTTGGGTAGAAATCTGAAAAATTAAACACCAAAGATTTTTAGCATTCAAGATTTCAGATGTTCTCTTATACTGATGTCTATGAAGCAGATTTGAAACTCCGGACTTGAAGGGAGCACATCCTTGTATGCCACATCAGTTGGGCTTCCACAGAAGTTGAAAGAGGAGGACAGGACGAGGAAATAGCATCTTTGCTTTTCACATGTATGTCGGCAACACTTTGGTTGCACCAAATTATGTGCGTAAATCCAATTCGACCTGTGCATTACCTCATTCGTGATAAGACAACTATGAAACACCACCCTAACAGCACTTCATCATTGGACCAAGCCCAAAGAAACATTTTGATGTAGCTATCTTGTAAAAATGTACTAAGGAATCCTCTTCAACTTTTTTTTTTGTATTCAATTTCGCTTAAAAGTATTACGAAAATATTTGACAAATGTGTGAGAAATATTATAAAAATATTGTATTCTATTTGCACTTGCACTTTGATATTCGAATTCAACTCGCACCCAAAATTTTGCTATTTTTGCACAGCTCAAGTTCATGCATCGCAAACCTGCATGTTTATGCTTGTTGCAATGCTAGGCTGCCGTAAGACATCCAATTTATTCTGCCACTTAGCTGTATTGATGAAAATCTTGACAAACTTACCAACTCTAAGAAAAAGATAATTTAGGGTCTTTCTTCCACACAACAATTGTGGTCTATTTTCTGTAATTTACGCTAGGTCGGATGCTAAAAAAGTAAGTGGCTAGCCTTACTACGTATATAACATTGATTTGTTGCTATCACATTCACTGGTTGGCACCTGTGTTAAAACCGAGACATTTTCTCAATTGAAATGCCCTTATGAAATCTCCTGAAAGTAAGGTGCACAATCAACCACAGGCAAATAAACTTACTATAGTTGCGACGAGGGCACCAAAAACAAATTTTCAAACTCAGAGTGGCTGTCAAGAGTCTGGCCAATTACCTTTTCCACTTTCTTAATGGAAAGCAAGGATGTAAGATGATACCAAGCAACACGGTGTGCGTCGCAAGCAGCCACACCCTGTATAGCAGTTCACGGCTACAGGTGCTAGAAATGTGGCTGTGCACTGTCTCAGATCAAGTAAAACATACGTCAGAACAAATAAAAATAACATGCTATTAAAAAAATCATTCTTGTGACGATTACATTATTTCTACAGAATGCTGCTGTCAGAAACCGACAAGGCTCTACACACAAAGAACAATTTTTTTTAAACTCTCCATTTTGTGTAGAGCCTTCTAAGTTTCTGAACTTTCTGTACTTTCAGACAAGCATGTCCTGTCTTCTTACACCAACTTCATTCAATCTCCAATTTCTATACTCACTCTCACCTGCCTATGTTGCTTTTGTTCCAGCACTTTTCCAACCAACTTACTGCATGAGAATAATAATCAATTTTGCATCTTGATGATAATGTTCATGATAATGTTCATCAGTCATAAATAATGTAGCAGTTATAGAGAGTTTCCACACCACTCAGTGAAGCACTTCGAGATCTTTTCAGTTGCTTGGAAGTAGTATTGACTCTTTGACATCTGTGTACAGTGCATTTAGTTGCAACCTTGCAAAGTCCACAAGTGTTGAAGATTGAGCGAGTTGATTCATTGTACTTGAACTGGTATACCGCACGTCTACATATTTGATGCAATTTGCCAATAAAGCTCCCTTGAAAGTTGGCGCTCTGTCCTCTTGTGTCAGTCTGCTCAGCTGTTTATTCTTTCCCATGATGCACTATGCCAGTTTAAGAAACTTGGAAAGATAATGTTGCAATACAATATGCCACAGTTATACACCAAGTGCGCATTGCAACATAGGTAAAAAAAAATGTAAAGTGGACTCAGACTCCCTCATCAAATAAACTGAAGTTAGAAACTCCCGCTTATCCCCACAGAGGCCATGCACTTCCCTTTTTCTTTTTTCTTTAATAAAGGACTTGCATCCATCAAATAAACTTGGCCTTACAACTCACTCTGCCTCGAACACACGAAAATATTACTCCCTTGGCCTCCCTCAGATTCGGCCTCGTGGCTCAACCCAAGACATAGTGAGACTCAGTGAGTCGATCATTAGTTCGTTAGCATTTAACTAGCTTTTATGAATGTGGGGTTTAACTAGCTTTTTTATGTCAAGACTCTTTAACACCAATATCTCCCATAACTGTGCTCTAGTTGGCACCTTTTGACCTCGCACCTTCAACGAGTTACCAGTGGTTATAATTTAGTAAGAAAAATTTTATTGAAAGAGATGACTCACACGAGATATTTCCATAGAAAACTTCTTGTGAAAGAGTTTGCATACAGAAGCTGAGGACCTCCTCCCCTCCACTTATAGCTCATGCCTTTGATTATTAACTATTGAGCTGGCTTGTAGATGCTAGTGTGCCAAAACATGCGCGAGAGTAGATTCAAATATAAACCTGAGAAGACATAAGGCTGATTGATAGTAATGCTGAAATGAGTAGATAGGACCATAGCTGACGAAAAATGTGGAGCTCACTCAGACTCTCTCAAGAAATATATTTTGCGCTTTGGGCTCCCTCAGACCAATACTCAAACTTTTTTTTTTCAACTGGACTCGCACTCAAACCCACTCAAACTTTTCCTAGCCAGAATCCCTCGGACTCAAACTCAATAAAAGATTACTCACTCAAGCTCGGACTCACAACTCGATGAGAGTCCAAGCGAGTTTGCCAACCTATGTGCTGACTAACTACATAACAGGCACTGTTCCACCACTCCCTTAAGGAGGTATGGTAGGGTAAACTCTCCAGGAAATCGAATTTAAAATATTGATACCAAAAAAATCCACTGTACTCCAAGGAACATACCTGTGGAAGCCCAACGTCAAACGGCCACTCTAGGTGGTTTAAATGCCGCGCCGAAGTGCACCGTGTGCCCGCTGGTGTAAGCAGTATGTGCACATGAAACTTCCATTTTTTTTTTCACGTTGCGTTTTTAAATGAATTTTTTGAACTTAAACGTAACTTTCTTAAAAAGTATTGAATAGATTTCGATGGAACTTTGTATGCGTGAGCAACAACAAGTTAGAAACAGTCTGAACAAAAAAAATTGCTGATTTCACAAAAAGTGAAGGTGTAAAAAAATATGTAAAAACATAGACCCTCTGTAGCCATGTGAATGCAGTAATTTTATTTTTTTTACTTCATGAAAAATGTAATATTTTTTTTTTAGTTCAGATCAAACCTATGAGCTTGTACAATAACACGGCTGAATATCATAACATTCCTTTCGGTAGTTGCAGAGAAAAGGTACGTTGAATGAATGACTCCCTTTGAAATTTGGGAGTGGGCCATAGGAAGGACAGGCAACCTAGGATGTGTCACTTGATACCCAGTGGCATTTTTTGTGAGCACGAAAAATTTTATGAAATATTACACTAAAACTGACATTTACCATTTACCCAACCACATCTCCTTTACTACTGCATGTTAGAAAAACTCAAAAACACTAAAAAGGCCATGGCAGCTGTTTTCATGAACTGAAATTCCCTCTAAAGAAAAAAAAAACTGCAGGTTGGCTAACAGATGTAAATTCTCTGAAGATATGACCAGCAATATCATGGCAGTTTGGGTGTGTTGGTAAGACATGACCAATAATAATAAAGTGCACAATCAGATGAGGACGAAAAAGAACACGTGTTCACTCGCATGTTCTTATTGGTTGGGACTAGCAAAACTCATCATTGCTGCGCATATACAGTGAGAGCTTGTCTGTGCTAGCAAAGCGGACAGCCTTTCATACACGTCCCAGAAAAATAGTTTGAAATTTGTAAAAAGAACTTCCACTGACCAATCACTCGGCCTGAGGCACAGCCAGTGTAGATGAACTGCTGACCCGTTGTGGCAGCAGGTGAAAAGTGGCATCGAATAAGGGTCTGCAAGACTGTGTGGCCCTGGTAGGTCATTAAAGATGTGTCTCCGGGTAGCTTCTCACAGAGTTCGAGCACTTAAAAAAAACACAAAAAGAACTGTCAAAAGTGCTGTTCGGCCTCAGGACAAGCTACAAACAATGTGCAAGTGCACTAATAATCTTAAACTCTTTCAGGTCTGAAACCTTTTCTCAACTTATGTCCATTCTGGTCCAAAACTGAAAGATGCAAAGCTTAAGTAAAAGAAGTTTACTTATTCTGTTACAGACAGTGCATAATACAGTGAAAAAAACACAAACATGAATGAACCACAAATGGCTCTAAGCACAGAGTTAAGTGAATACTACAATAAGCAGTGATTGCAAATGCAGTAAAATTTTATTAATGAATACCCGCTGAACAAGCACTAAGAAAAACATCACTGATTGTGAAAATGTTATAATGCAGACTCATAGCCAATCATTTCTTGATGCACACGGCAAGTGCGAAATGCAAAAAGAAAGGTGGAATCAGCGTAAATCTGAGACAAAGCAGTGATTCCAGCATTGCCATAGTCATTAGTGGGAACCATATGAGAACAACACAAATGCTGCAATGCTTTGCGCCCACTTGTTTTTCCACGACATATGACATCTATGAACACACCGCTAGAGACCTAGGTTGTGTATGGAGCAGTTGTGGTAAAAGCCCAAATAGTGTACAATGTGCATTCAGTGCATGTGCGGTCATATCATGCTCGAGCTAGCAACATAATGTGCTCTAGTGGGCTGGAAAACGATGTTGTAGTCAAGCACTTACATTTCTTGGGCACGCGCTGCCACCGGTAGTCCCAGTTCTGACAGGCTACTGCAATTTTGGTTGCCTAAGGTAGATAAAGCAAACAAGTAAAAAATGGTTAAACTACTATAAAGAGGAAAATAACCTGGGTAACTAAGACTGGCAGCAAGGCAGGGTCTTGCATCTAAAATTTTTTGGCATATCAACAGGCCCCTAGAAAGGCTGTCCATGAGTGAAGGTATATAGTTGATGTGTGCATACATTTTCGCCGAATAAGCAAATGGCTGAACAATAGCTGTTATACTTTCTGGAATACTTAAATATTACTGATGATGTAAATCAAGATGTCCTATTTTACAAATTGCAAGAATCATGTACAAAATGATATATGTATATTTCTATGCTGCCAAAATGGTGGAAAAAACGTTGCTACTTAGTATAATATTCTAACCAAGCAATTAGTCAATGCGAGAAAACAGCTGTTTTACAAACCTGAATACCCTCTTTGGAAGAAAAAGCTCGCATGTCCCAAAGCTTAATTGTTTGATCTTTAGAGTTTGTGATGAGGTACCTGGCATCATTCTGTAAAGCAGACAAAAGGTATTACTCGTATGATCAAAATCATTAGTCGGGTTCTTAGCTCACCTTAGAATCAACAAATGTGATGCCATTGCTATGTCCAGCAAGGATACCCACTGGCTTAGGATCGCTCTCACTAAGTGTCCTCCTGTCCCAAACCTGCACAAAAAAGCACAAGTCGACATTAAGGAACCCCTGACAGCAAAAGTTTTGTTTGCCACATTTTCACAGTAATTTGTAGCTTTGTGTCTGGTAATGCCAAAATTGAATCAAATGCTCTAACACATCATATAAATAATGTGAGCATCATTAATTCAGAATGATTTCACATCAGTTCGACATGCCCACCTAAATTCCATAAGAAACTAGTGCCCCACAAATGTTTATAGAACCTGTTCAGTTAGAAACTTGAATAGTGATGCCAGCACCGCTGCTAGTGGTGGCTGGAGCACTGTTGTCGCTACAGGCTTCAGCCAGTCAAGCAACACGTGCCAGATTGTGTGTGTGTGTTTGGTACTGGTTAAGCTGTGCCAAACAGTTGCATTAACATGTTAATACCAGCAGCTGTCCGCCGTCAAAATGTATTCGACAACGCCGAGATGGAGGCAGGGTATCGTGAAGCCGTTACTTTTGCCTTATTCTATGCCGTTATTATCATCCATCACTCGCGGCAAGCTGATTTGGTTGAAGATGCAGACGAACAGCTGCTCTGATTAGAAACTACACTGACCAAGTGCGAATAAAATGGTAAGCATTGGAGTCAGAAAAGGCATCGCTCCACGGCTGCACCCAGCAGCTGTGGCAGCTGTGTGAAAGAAACCATGACCTGAGCGACTGAGCCTTAGCTTCGGATGGTCTGCGGCTCAAAGCAAGCCAGTGGCAAAAGCAGGGCGGTTTCATTGCCGTCGCTATCGAGCAATGGCGGCGCTCATGCTTGCTGAACAGCGGCGGTTTCTGGTGGCCCCAACACATGTTTTAGACTTCGTTGACGTGTTTTCAGGCTCTGAAAATACATCAAAGTGTAAAAGATTATGTTTCCTGTAGAGCAATAAATATATGAGCCTGGAATTTCATTGTGAAATTTCGTTGAAGCGGGAGGACAGAAGAAAAAGTGTTCAATGTGGCGACAATATTTATGCATTGACTCCTATGGACTGCTGACGGGGAAGTATGAATTTTTCATTGTAGCAGAAATTTCGTTGAAGTGGCGTTAATTGTAGTGGGGTTCGACTGTAGTTCATATGGGTATAGCGCACCACAACAAGGACACAAAAAAGAGACACACACAGCGCTAACTTGCACCTAATGTTTTATTTGCGATCCCATATGAATGATGAACCCCAACCAACTAGCCCGGCAGCGTGCCTTAGCACCTAGGGTTCTTTAAAAGCACCTAAATCTAAGCATATGGGCCTCAAGGAATTTCGGCTTCTCCATCAGAAATGCGGCTGGGATTTAATCCCGGCTCGCGGACCAGCAGTTGAGCGTAACCAGCAGACCATGAGTTGCTGTGAAGTATTGACTCAGAGTACAAGCTGCATACATTGTTCGAAGCTCTCAGCTTGCACAGATGAGCCAGTGAAAAAATTAAGTCCTGACTGGGTTTGATCACTTTCAAAGTGTGCCATGACACATGTATAACTTATAGTCATGTGCTTGCAGGGGTTGATTTCTGTGAACACACTATCACATAGTCGATCTGAATGACAACGTTAAGTGATGGTTCCTAGTCTTCCTGGCCTTTTTTCGGGCACTTGACACAAATTATAATGGGTAATATGAGTGATGTCAGCAGCCCACAATGTGCAACTCACACTGCTCCGACGAAATTTTGTCAATGTATTTTCACAGCACATGCCAGAGCCTATGGAGTCTTCCCCATTAGCTGAAAAAAAAAACTGTTGTCAAAGCTACTCGCTATGTCATTGAAAAGTGGACTTGGGCAATGAGCAACACTAATGCCCGTTACGTTGAACTTGATCAGAACCACAGTGTTCACCGAGCACTGTGTGCCTGCTATAGTTCCTGCCACACCATCCAATGCACTTCCAAACAGCTTGATAATGTATAAAGCTTTCACAATTACCTTAAGATGAAAACTAGTCATTATCGTCGTTGCATTTTCAAGCAATTCAATATTTGCACGGATAGCAGCTGTATGCGCAATGTTCGCTTGCGCTTCATGGTCTGCTATGAAAAGCCTGTTGCTGCAGTAGCGCCACCTAGACTGGAAGTCAGTTATGTGTCGCTTTAAGAGTATGGCTGTTTTCATACAGGGACCTGTGAGCGGTGAAGAATTATGCGAGTGCTTTGAGAGTGTTCACATCAGAAAATAGAAAAGCATTCCTGGTGTAAGCAGCCAAAACCACCTTGAGAGCACATAAAAGACCAAGAGAAAAGATGAATAGTCCTCGCTGGGTGCCAGTCAATATTGTGCACGCCCCGCAAATATCTTCTGAAGTCAACACTACTTGCTCGACCTATGCAATGTCGCGGGGGAGGCTCTGTCCATGTCAAACCATACAAATTGGGCCAGAATACTTAGATGAGCAAGCACCCTTACTTTAAAAACAAATTTAAATATCTCATGGGCAACACTCAGCCCTGATAATCTGTCAGAAGTGGCCCCGCATGCAGGACTATCAGACAACACAAGCATCTAGAGTTTCCAAATTTGGTGTTTGGGATCCTTTAATGCACTCTAAACATACACAAGCATTTCTATACTAGACACTCTTAGGTATCCTTTTAAACTTCATCATCTGTACACACCGATACAGATTATTTGGTTTATTTTGTGGCGATAGCTGTACTCCTTCCTGTACAAACCTAGAAAGTGCCTTGATGCATTAATCTGACCTTCAAGCTCAGTCAAGGCCAAAGAGTTTCAGATTAACGCTAGTGCAGCGTGTTCATCATGGCACACTCATGATTAATGAACAGTAGCTTGAGGCAAGTCTTTCATGCCATCACCATCAGAAGCGGTCTGAATCCGTGACGTGTTTGCGCCTAGACCGCCCACCGTCAGAAGCGGTCTGAATCCGTGACGCGTTTGCGCCTAGACCGCCGATGGTACCAGTGGTACTGGGCAGTGCCTGTGTGTTGTGATGCAACACATTGGCTCTCTTGTCAGAGCGTGTAGTCAAAGCATGTAGACTTCTTGTCATCCTTGCCTAAACCAAGGCATGCAACAAAGTTAAATCTCTGTAAACCAATAGTTTGGCCTTTTTTCAAAGCAAGCAAAATCGAGCTATTACTCAACAAACTTGGTTCAACAGCGTTCAACCATACCTGATTTTTTCGAAAACATTTAGTACAGCATTGCCAAAATTGAAAACCAACACGCAAATGCACACGAAAATGCACACGCAAGCTCACTCAAAACTATCACTAAACATTTAAGCCCTAATTCTATTAGCGCCATAATACTGTATTTACTATGTTCTTCCTTTACTATACATGCAGCAATACATGCATTTGATAAACTGGGGCTTTTGTCACTTTTATGTTTTAGTAGTGAAAAAATCATTTAGTAATCAATAGATGCAAAGTTTCTTTGATGTTACGTGACGTCATACTAATGCAGAAACTATATTACGTTTTGTAGATATTTCCATTTGACATATGGCACTGTATGTGAACTAATTTGAGTTCTTCATACCAAAAACACAGTTAACTGTTGTCACTGCTGCTCATATTATGATCAATGGCACTGAGATGTTGGTTTATGTCCTTCAGGTTTGTACAGAACAGTGAATTACATTTGTGATGTACAAACAAGCTCCACTATGCAAGCACTTCACCGAACTCCATTTAATATCATAGCTGCCATTGTATGTTTCTGCTCCATGCTGCACATTTTTATGTTAAATGCAAAGTACTACATAATATTTAGCTCACTGAGGGCAGATTATGCTAGATTTCTATCACACACCATTTTATGCCTCATTAATAAAAGTAAATTCAAGTGTCTCAAACTGGAAATGAACCTTCGCCTCGTAGCACAACAGCCGGCCGTTACAACCATCAGGCCACAAGTGCACACATACTTTCATGTTATCACAACTAGCTCATCGAGATGACCAACGTGAATCATGTTACGATTCATGTTGCACCATGTGCACATGCTAGTTACAAAGATTGTGTCAATTTTTATTTACTGGCCCGTGTATCACGTGCATGATGTAGTGAATTTTCTTCCATTTGTTTATGACAGCCAAAGTTTAGGGAGGTGGCGTTACACATCCCCTTATAGATCAGCTCGTATTCCCTAGCCCTGTCCTTGTAACAGCTTGAGAGAATGCTGTAATGCCATATTTATCAGCAATACAAAATATAAAAAATATGGCTTTGCAGTGGTTACTTTGACAAAGAACCAATTAATCAGAAATTGAAATCTCAACAACCAACATAAAACCCAAGTCGCCTATAGAAGCAGCACCGAGCAAAGGAAGTGTTTTGGCTTCAAGCAGCCCATGGTGCCACAGCAATACAGTACAGTCCACTTATAACGATATCGAGAAAACCTAAAAATATGATCGTTATAACCGGTGATCGTTATATCTGGACTGCCGCCAAAAAATCGTCGCCGGACGTACCTTTTGTAGCTCCAGGCTTCATTTTGCTATTTTCACCAATTAATAAATATTGTAGACAGTAGGATGTCAAAAACAAGACTTTATTTCTTACTCCGAAGAACGCATCACGGGTTCGCTGAGGAAGAGAGACTGACCGACAGCGGGGTGGGAGCAGTGGGAGGAAGAAAGCACAGCCAGAGGTACACAACCGGAATGCCAACGAGGCCCCGCCCCGATGCCGCCGCGCCGCTTTGCTTTTCGCGTTTTTTATTTTCTCTCTCTTTCCCGCTTTCGTTCGGCAAGCTACGAGTAGCTTGCCGGCTTGCCGTTGTAGAAGGCGGGGAGCCGCGGAGCGCGGCGCTTTGCTTTTCGCATTTTTTTTTTTAATTCTCTCAGCCTCTTCGCGGTCGACGCGCGGCGAGGCGCAAAACGTGACACAGCTCGCGCCATCTGTAACGCGTCGCGCCAACTCGCGATGCTCTCCTCGGCTTTTTTAACGGCCGGGACGCGCTGCCGGCGCTTTTCGTCTTCTCTCGGCATAGTTCGTTTCAGAGGAACTTATCAATCTAAATGTTCCGATTATTCTGAATGAAACATGCCGTCCACGGCAAACTTTTCATCGTTGTATCCGATATGCGGTGGATAACATATCGTTATATATGGTTTTTTTCCCCATAGCCCCAATGCATAAAATGAGACTGTTAAGTCGACCCATCGTTATAACCGATATATCGTTATATGTGGTATCGTTATAAGTGGACTGCACTGTACTACCGTATCTGTGGTGTGTTGAGAATACAGAACATTCTAAAAGGCTAATTATCAACTGCATCAATATTTTCACATTTCCATTAACAGCATGCTATGTGCGTGTAGTAATAGGGTCTTATTGCACTTGTACCTTATACAGAACGCCACACAATACTAAGAAAAATGTGGCTACAGTGCCCATATAATTGTTACCGCAATAAAAGAGCATACATGAAAACGTAAATGTTGTGCTGCATCTTCTGCCCAACTGTGAGGGATGTCGGCAGGCCTGCACCACTAAGTGCAAATTTCAGTGGCATATATACAACAGCTTCCACAAAGATTGTCAGCATAAACATGTGGGTGACAGATATGTAAATTGCCTTCATCTACTCAGTAATTCAAAAATAAGAAGCTTAAACATTTCTGCACATTTTGCCAAATTCATGTGAACACTGAACATGAGAACATTTGTTCAGAATTGTTTTTGCAGGGTTGGAATAAACAGCCATAAAACACATTTTCTATGCAGACAGTTGCCAAGGTGAATGAAAACCATTAGAGTTCGTATGTACTCATAAGGCTACCCGTGGCATGGCTACAGCTATGCAGTTTGCACTAACAGCATGAATACTCCCAAATTTAGGTACTTTCAAAATTCCTCCTTTGAAGCAGCATCTCATCTTGGATGCTACACACGGTTTGCTTTCTTCTATTTACCCACCTTACAAAGGCCATCATCTCCAGCACTAAAGAGGATCTGCGAGGTCTTGTCAGCAAATGCAACAGCATTAACATCTCCGTCATGGGCACGTATCTGTGGGAAAAAGAAGACTTTTTGGGTATAAACAAGAATTTGCAGTGCTTCGTGGAGATATGGTTGTTTTTTTTTTGTTTTTTTCCCTCTGGAGACAGCAGAAAGAAGAACAGTGAAAGAAATGGAGCTATGTTGAGCCTATTCTAAAGATGTGACCAACTTGAATTATGTTTAACATGTAAAATGAGCAACTTTCAATGTGCTTGAATAATATCTTTATCACATGGCTAAATTTATTGTCAGTTTTAGTCCGACTACTTCGCAGAGAAGCACATGTGCAGAAGCTCTGGCCCTGCAGATTTCCCTTCACTGCCAAGAAAAGTTGTCCGCAAGTATAGCAGTTAAGTGCACTTAGTACACTGGATGCAACTTCGGTGATGCGCTGCTAAATAAGATGGAATAATAAAAAGTTCTTTGAAATTGACGGTAATAATGATGGATGGATCAGTAGGGACTGCATACACACATTTTAGGCAATGTTTCCTAAATAGTAATAACCAGTATTTAAACTTAAGTGTAAATGAAGTATATATCATTCTTTGCCAGGAGCTTTGACACAAGTGACACAAGTGACAGGGGCTGCTCAATAAAAACACTGTTTTTATTACATGACACAACTGGTGGCATGCCCCTGGCAGCCATAGCATAAACAGCTGTGGATTGAAAATAGCAGACTGGTTTCTTATGTGTAATATAGTATGTGTCAATACCTAGAAATATTCCTAATGACGAAAAATAAGGTTCGATGAAAGTACTGCCTCGGCATTCAATTTTTATTTTTCAGCTGCTTCTATACAAAGCTACACGCTTTAACTCAATAAAGTGAGTTTTCTGAACACACTTGCGGCTGAATGCCTTCCATCACAACGTGCTCTTGTGTAACTGATTGTGATTGGAACTATACTTGCAGACAACTTGTCTTGGCAATGAACGGAAGGCTACGGAGCCAAAGTGGGCGTGTGCCACCGCCGGAAAATATAATCGCACAATTGCGCTCATGTTTTCTGTGTGAAAAATCGTAAAAAAAAACAATTTTTTCTGCAGGATGCTGTTTACAAGAAGACACAGCACACACCAAGAAGATATTCATATTTAATTTACGTCATACACAGCGATTTCAAGTCTTAGAAAATGTGAAAGCGACCGACGTTTTACGTGCACCTCGCAGTTCAATTGGTGCCGTCGTCGTTAGATGAGCGCTCATCTCCCTCTAGCTATTTCAATGACTCGCCAAAAAAACTTGGGACTAATTTCACTCACTAATGGCTGTTAAGCAGGCATAGCAGATTGCATTCTGTGTTATTATTCGAACATGGCCATCATTCGAAGTGCAAGCTAAATCTGACTACTTTGCGGAGAAGCACATGTGCAGAAGCTCTGGCCCTGCAGATTTCCCTTCATTGCCATTTGATTTGTGGTATTTAACGTCCCAAAACCACCCTTGATTATGAGAGACGCCGTAGTGGAGGGCTCCGGAAATTTCGACCACCTGGGGTTCTTTAACGTGCACCCAAATCTGAGCACACGGGCCTACAACATTTCCGCCTCCATCGGAAATGCTGCCGCCGCAGCCGGGACTCGATCCCGCGACCTGCGGGTCAGCAGCCAAGTACCTTAGCCACTAGACCACCGCGGCGGGGCTCCCTTCATTGCCAAGAAAAGTTTTTCGCAAGTATAGCAGTGAAGTGCACTCACTCAAGGAGCTCACAAATTAACCACTGTGACAGGGGTACAGCGTAGCCCGGTTATAACAGAGTTTGTGGAAATCGAACATTATCGAACATTACTTCGCTATAACCACTTTTTCAATATATCCGGACTCTAAAAAAAAAGTTCAGACATCAAGCAAACCAAGAAGAGAATTTTATTTATACCCCCTGGAAAAAGTGGTTGAGGGTTCCCTGCACGCATTTCGCGAGCACACGTTTCAAAACCCTGGCCAGAACACCGTTCATCAGAGCGCAACCGTCCAGTTCCGAGCCCAAATACATACACAGTGCATCGACAGCTGCGCGAACTACTCTAGAGGTTACTGGCTGAGGTGCAGCAATGTCGTCGCCTTCGGGGTCCCATGAACTGCTATCAGCAATTGTTTCCTTTTCAGAGACAACAGTGGCAAGTTCGTCGGTGGTGAGCTCCTCAGTTGCGAGCGACAACGTCTTGATCTGAGAGAGCGAAGTCCCTATAATCCAGCCCGCTTGGGACAAGGCTTGCATTGCTAGCGGCCTCCCAAAGCTGCCCTAAGCTTGTCACAGTTGCGGCACCAGCTGCTGCAGTTTCCTCTTAGGCAGCGCTGCTTCGCTCACAAGAAACCGGCTTTTCGGAAGCAATGAAGGATCGTTTGAGACTTCACGTCCCACCAGGCTCCACTTGTGAAAAATATTGCCTCACTAGTGGCACCTTCAAATCAGCCGATTCATCAGCTGCTTGGATTTTGATGAGAAGACTATTGATGACATGGCGGCGATAGTGGACTTTGAAGTTTGCGATCACTCCCTGCATCGGCTGCATCTTGACAGTTGTGTTGGAAGGCACGAAAATTACCCCGAGAGCGCTTATATGTGCATTGACATGGGTTGCACTGCAGTTGCCAAGCAGAAGCAGCACTTTTCGCTTCTTTGAGCTCATTTCTTTGTCAAAGTCAGTGAGCCACTAAAAGAAGATGTGCCCCGTCATCCATGCCTTGGTGTTAAGTGTATACGATTTTGGCATTGACAGTCCCTTGGCAAAGCCCCGCGGTTTCTTATGCTTGCCTATGACTAATAGGGGCCCCTTGTCTGTGCCATCCATGTTTACGCACACCAGCCTTGTGATGCGATTCTTGCAGTTTTTTCCTCCCACGTATTTGTCAGTCTTCGCCGCGAGTTTTTGCTGGTAGTAACTGAAAAAACAGCCTCATTTCATCAGCATTGTAGACATCCCTCTCAGTGTATGTGTCAAGAATGCGGCACGTTTCACATTGAAGGAGAGCACCTTTCGTTTGGCTGTGGAAGAAGTTTACGTTCCGTGCCAATCATGCAAACAAGCCTGACAGGCTTGGGCAGGTGTCGCTAGTGGCACCATGCCGTGGAAAAAAAAAAGCAATTCACGAGTGCACCTCCTTCCCTTTTTCACCACAATGTGGCACTACAAGTGAAATTGGGCTGGCGTGGCCCGATGGGTGGCGCTAAGGCCCAAAGCGTGTGGTGGCATTCTTGTGAAGCAAGCCAGGGGATGTAGTATGCAGTGTGACGAGATAAGATACCAGCAACCCTTTACCCGGCGGTCGGCCAGTCTGGCACTGAAAAAAATTAATAGGAAGAGTTCGCTTGTTTTGGCAATGGCGACCAGGTGACCGTATGATGCGGTCACCTGGTCAATATTGATGCGGTTACTTGATGCGGTCACCTGGTCAACAGGAAATCAATATTGCTGTTTTATAACCGCTATTTTGTTATATGTAGGTTCGCTATAAATGGGCTATCCTGTATAACATATTGTGGTCTGCTATGATTGCGAGAGCATGACTGAAATCAAATGACTAAGGTGAATGCAACAACACTAGGAGAAATGAGAAGAAGGCAAGAAAGGCAACTGCCAAGTTGAGACTACCCCTAAATCTTGACAGCTAAGGGGCAACACAGGTGGGCGATAAAGTAAAGCATTTGGAACACAGAAGAGTACAGCCTGGTGAACAGAAGCTCACCAAATAGCTAGGAAAGCTTTGTGTTCCTTTAAAACATATGACATTTAGAGTGAATGTTTGGGATGTTTCAGTTTCACATGCAGATCAGCAAACACTTACTAAAATTCAAAACTCCCAATCAATAGATGCTGTCACTCTGCTGAATTTAATAGGGGTGTACTAATGAATAAATTACTCCTATTTCCAATTTTTTTTAAACAACAATCACTTGAAACGGCACAGGGTCCTACAGTTTGTTTACTTCATTTACTTACCAATGAAGCATTCTTTGCCACTAATAGATATATTTCATCTCCCTCTACAATTTATTCGCAACAATGTGTATGTGAATATGATTATACATTACATGCATCAGAGATTAAACCACACCTTCAGAGAAAAAACAAATGTTGACAAGTAAATTACACTACTGTAGTTGATTTTAAATGGTTACTTCGGAGGAAAGTGTCAGCCAGTGCTACAAAACATAACAGAATGATGTGAAATGGGATATACTGGTGAACTACAGTGCAAAAAACACACAAAAGAACGGAGCACAAATGACGATTATGTTATCACTTCTCGTCATCATTTGTGTTCCATCCGTTGAGTTTTCTGTGCTGTAGTGCTCCACAGTTATGTACCAACAAGCCCAACTCGCCACTTAAATGGCATATACCTTTCTCTTGCACATATAAGATACTTTTTACTATCTAATAACACTGCACAGTGCACGTTTCCGAAAGACATTAGAGCATGATCCCTCATTAAAAGAAAAGCCAAAGAAGATGCTGTAGATACTATTTAGATATTCTACCAGCTTCAACAAGATACATTGAGTGAAAAGTAAATACACTGATATCTCGATACAATGAATCTCAAGGAACCACTACAAGGGATGATGTTATGCTCTAATAAACGTGAAAAAAACAAACAAAATATACGGAACCAGGGCACATTTATTTTAGAAAGAGCCCAGTCTATCCTAATGAGGGGCAGATGAACTCTTAAGCGCGTACATCTTTCTTACACACTGCAAAGCATCAACGTTGTATGCTAATTCTTCACATTGGTTTGCGCGCACTGTTTCAATGTCACCTTCACTCTCATCACCATTTCCTGAAACTCGTATGCGTCCTGAAGAACATTACGGAACACAACGGCATTGTTCGTGCATGTCGCCTAAAGCTAGCAGACGGCAAAATTGTAACCCGGCCTATTCAACATTTGTGTTTCCTAGAAATGCGCTCGCAGCAATTCGTGGGCCGGGAGTGTTGAAAACAGTGGACATAGGGTGCAGGGACATAGGGTGCATAGGGTGCACACAGCTAGGCATCGTTTTTACAGCTGCGAGTAACTTTTCAAAATCGCAATTTGTTATTTTGAAGTGTTGTAAAGATATAAGGATGAGAAAATTTGATACGTTATTCTGAAACATTCAGTATTCTAAAATTCGTAGTATTGACATATTTTTACATTAGAGCAATGGACATTTTAGATAGGGGGACGGACATTTGAAAGGATATAGACATTTGGAAGTCATTAATTTTTAAAAAATTGTTAATCTGAGGTTCGCCATAACAAGATTTGACTGTATAATGAAGCACTGTAGAAGGACACGATAAAGCATTTTATCCGCCAAACTATGAAGCGATTTGCACTACTTTATACCGACAGCATTAAAGACTTGAAACAGGAGTTGCTCTTTCTATTAACCTGTTCCATTAACATTAGTCCTCATGTTGTTATTACAACACCACAATTACCATGCCATCATTACCACTGTGAAATTGCTGTTAAAGTGTTGCTGTTACAGGCCATCGTAATGATGTTGCTGTACTAGCACCACTGTCCACATGTTGTTGTGCAAGAATTGTCATTTTTAATGACAGCTTGGGGAAATGACAGGAAGGAAGTAACTGTTGCGGTAGTAAAGACCCGTAAGAACTTAGTATTATACTGTCAAAGTTCACATATGATAAGGAAAAATTACCTAATTTAGTTCTACATGAAATTCAATTTTTCATTCATTCATTTTCATTTCATTTTTCAATTCATTTTCATTTCATTCATTCATTTCATGCATTTTCCCTTCATTTCAATTCATTCATTTTCTACAGTAATTCATTTTTAATATTAACTAAAGTATATTTTACGAACTATGTGATGCAGGAAACATTTGCTGTGCCAATAGAAGTTTAAAAGTGCATTAGAATTTCTTAAATTCCTTCAAAACCTCCTTAGAAAGCATTTACCCCCTCATCTTAATACTACTTGTAATAGTGACTATAATTTTGACAAATTGCTTAAAAAATGTTTTAATTTATTCTTATCAAGTGGCTATGTTAATTTTATTGGTATCCTGCAGTGCAGTCAGATTTTAAAATTTTGTTTACAGTTAGCTGGCACACCATGTATGTATACAATACAATTCAGTTATATGGTCAATGTGACTGTGGCCCGAACAATATCGGTACGTGTATTAACAAATCAAACCACTCACTAGATGGGCCTTGCAAATTTTTTTAACAGAGCTAAGCAATTACTAGCTCTAAGATACAGTCATAAACAACCAAGCCTAATATTTTCTGTACGCGCTCATGGTTTGATTGATTGATTGATTTGTGGGGTTTAACGTCCCAAAACCACCATATGATTATGAGAGACGCCGTAGTGGAGGGCTCCGGAAATTTCGACCACCTGGGGTTCTTTAACGTGCGCCCAAATCTGAGCACACGGGCCTACAACATTTCCGCCTCCATCGGAAATGCAGCCGCCGCAGCCGGGAATCGAACCCGCGACCTGCGGGTCAGCAGCCGAGTACCTTAGCCACTAGACCACCGCGGCGGGGCGCGCTCATGGTTTCATTCAAAAGGCTACATGTAGAGTCCCTCTACAAGGCAATGAGAATGTGTTGTAAAATCAGCACGCTTCATACCCTCAGGGAACGGTGGTGAACCTCTCTGTCATATACATAGAGGCACGAGTCATTTGCTCTGAAAAAAAACAAAACAAAAAACAAATAAACAATAGACAATAGAGGAATGCAAAACCACACATTCAGCACATAATGAAGAGTGTTTGCTATGGCCCAGATTACACTTTTTTTATATTTTTTTTTGTATGCAGATGTTCAACTATATTTGAGTGTGCCCTATCTACACATGCAAAATGCAAATATTTTGGGGAAAGAGGTGGTTATTTCCCCAAATCAATTCCCTGGCTACACCACTGACCTTCCCGAAGTGTGTTTTTTCATCCCTTACAGTCAACTAACTAGAAAAGTGGGAGAGAAGGGCAACTCACCAAATTTCGCATTCAACCACACATCAATAAAAAATATTTTGTGGTGCGGACAGTTGTACCATGATGTTCTCAGTTATACACAATCCGTACTGCATGTGCAAGATATTCGAGGGTATGGCTTTGAATAGCCATATACCTTAACCACTCTCAATGGATCTATTCCAGGTGCTGTAAAGCCATTCAGATTGCCAAATATCTAGAATAGATTGCAGCATACCTGCCAACTCTCCCGATTTTCCCGTAAAATGTACGAATCTTGCCTGAAATTTACGAAAAATACTTCATTTCTGAAAAAAAAAATAATGAAGTTAGTAAAAAAGCATGGCCTCCGCAATTGTCTACAGCGCGTTGCCGTAGCTGGTCATGGAGGCCACAAAAACGGCGTTGTGCTATATTCCACCACCAGGAGGATAACAGGATAACACCATATGTATTGGTGTTATCATCACATACTTTCGAAGTCTTCCGCATTGTCCGGGAGACTCCCGGATTGCAACCGTTTCTTCCATGTGTAGGGTTGCCATGAAAATCTCCCAAAAATCGAAATGTGTGTGCGAGCTCTGGCCGCATCGACGAAAATGCAGGTCAGTCCCTTCCAGGTTTTTTGTGAGCCCATTGCATTATAAACGGATTTGAGAGGCATTCATCTAAATTTACAGTAGAGTCTCACTGATGCGAAACCGCGACAGATACGAATTCGTGAAATTACCCAGCCAAATTTCATGTGTCCATTCGGCCAAAAATCGAATGTTTCGAACACTTTTCTTAATCGCGGCATGTGATATGAACTTTAGTACCTAAACCGTCGAACGAAGGCCGATCAAGAGCAGCGTGCCCGAAGCTTGAAAAGTACGCATGCGACCAGCACACGCACTGTCTTGTACAGTGATTGTGATTGTCATTGCCACAACCGTGTGGTCGAAACCGCAGTCATTCGACACAATCATGTATGGCGACGATGTTACTGACAGAATTCCTAAAGTGTGCACGCAGCCAACGTTCGACCAGTCAAAGCAACTCTGCTTCCCGCAAAATCTGTGGAGAAAACGGCGGCAGTTGCGACCATAGATAGCATAAAACAACTTAGTTTTGAAGGCACATGGATTGAAAACAAAACTACCATTTGACGCCAACCGCCACGCACAAAACTGCTGTCACGGCGATGCGATAGCATTCTACGAGCTCCGAGGGCACGTGGCTGACCCAATGGTAGGATGAAAGGTGGTAAAGATGTAAAAAAAACTAGAAGCTTTTTGCCATTCCTGTCCAAAGAATCTAGCAGCAAGTAAAGCCAAAGCTTTGACCCGCGCTTTCGCGGCAGCCAGCTGCGCCGTCCCGTCTGTTGACGTGTGTCCCAGGAAGAAATATGCGGGTTGTTTTGACGAAAATATACCGTATTTACTCGAATGTAACGAGAGTTTTTTTCAAAATTTCTCTGAAGTGATTTGGGGGTCCACGTTATAATCGAAGCACCTCAAATCGAGTCTTGGCGGTACCACCCCACTAGTACCTTAAAATGGCTAAGACAAACCTAGCGATCTTTCAACCTTGTGCTGGCAACATATACACGCTGGCAAAATCGAATCCAATCCAATCCTATTGTTTGGGACATGCACATGGCTACTTGTTTTGCAGACAGTTCATTTCCTTTGTGCTTCCGCGACATCGACTCGAACAAATGGCAGTGCAACAAGTTCAGTACGAAGCCCGCATTAAGAGAAGTGCAATACTGATGGCTGAGGAAATCGGGAACTCAGCCGCGGCTCGACGACTATATGTGGCGGAATCTACTATCCGTGGGTGGAGGCTCTAGCGTGAAGCGCTCTTCAAGAGCGAGCCAGGTCGAAAAGGCTTCCATATATCTCGTTGTGGCCGTCACACAGAGCTCGAAAAAAAAGTGACGGAGTGTGTGATTGAGCAGCGAAATCGCCTATTGGGGGGGGGGGGGGGGGGGGGTTAATGTTGAGCTGATTCAGTGGAAAGCCTGAGACGTAGCTCGAGAGATGGGAATCTTGCGGGATAACTTTAAGGCTTCACGTGGATGGGCACAAAAGTTCATGCAAGAAATGTATTTTCCCTCTGGCGAACAACGTCGATAAAACAGAAGCTACCAGCAGATTGTAAAGCGAAGCTAGTGGAGTTTCAGTGCTATGTGCTCGATCTGCGCCGCCTGTCGCAAATGTCGTTGGGGCACATTGGCAACCCGGATCAGACTCCCGTTTTCTTGGCGATGCCTATGTCAAGGACTGTCAGCGAAACAGGTGCCCCCCAATTTTGCATAAGAACAACAGGCAATGAGAAGACTCAGCTAACTGTAATGCTAGCCTGCTTGGCGAATGGGCGCAAGTTGCCGCCATACATCATTTTCCAGTGTAAAACCATCCCGAAAGAGCTGCTCCCCAGGGATGTGATTGTCCACTGCCAAGAAAAAGGTTGGATGGACACTCCGGTTATGCTTGACTGGATTAAGACTGTATGGTGCTGACGGCCAGGCGCGCTCCACCCTAGTTCTCGACTCATTTCATGGTCACCTGACGCCCGAAGTGAAGAAGCTAATGCGGGAAACTCAGACGCAGCTCGCCGTTATTCCCGGAGGTATGAAATCTGTGCTGCAGCCATAGACGTCTGCCTGAACAAACCATTTGAGGATAGAATGCGGCAGCTCTACAGTAAATGGATGCGAGATCGGGCTTTGACACCTACGTGTAGAATAAAGCGACCTAGCACCGCGAAGATTGCCGAGTGGGTGTGCGCAACTTGATACGGCCTGACGCACAACATGATAGTTCGCATGTTTAAAAAGTGCTACATATCGAACTATATGGATAACACGGAGGAGGACCTCATCTAGGAGGAAGAAAGTGACAAAGGGGGCTCAACCAAAGAGGGCAACGAAAGCGACGAATGAAGAAAAATCACTTCATATTTAGATACTGGGATGTCTTTGCCACTACCATGTGCAGAAAATAAAGGTACTTCCCCCCTCCCCTTTATTCGCATTACATTCGTGTTTTTTTTTTTTTTGCACCAAAAAGTCACCTCTTTGGTTACAATGGTGGTCGCGTTACATTAGAGTACGGCATTTTGCTAGTTGTTTTAATTACGCGAAATTTTGGCCGGGAGCATTCGCGCTGCCCCTTTTAGACTCTCACATTAGTGGAATACCATACCCTTGTTTGTAAGGCCACTCAAAGCCATTACAAAACCACAGTGCCAATGTTTGCCCTTGCAAACCCCTCATTGTTTTTCGCGATGTTTTCGCTTTTTGTTTTCTTTTGGTGCCAAAAATGAGGGGCAATAAGGGGGGGAATTATCGCCGCAAAATGTGATTATGCTTGTCGCTAAAGGCAAATCTATCACAGCTATGAATTTAAAATAAAGTCAAAAAGTTGGTAATTCCCTCCCCGCTCGGGGGTTTTACGAATTTCTCTGTAGCCAGGTTGGCAGGTATGTTGCAGCCATGATGAGTGACGGGGCTTGTGCAGATGCATAATGCTTTCAGATGAAAAGATCTGCCCCAAAACGCCACTTCTTTCAGAATGAAAGTGAACTTTCGAGATTTACTTATTAACAGAATGTGCTAAAAAAAAAGCTGCTCACCCTCCAAGAATGTCTTTTCCATCAGAAGAAAACTGCATGGAGAAGATGCAAAACCTTCTGTCCTCAGGGCATAATGGCAGTGCCTCATGGACCTGATGGTCTCCAAAAACGTTGCACAGGTGGACTATCAAATATGAAACAGCAGGTGGATTGTAAGCACCACAGCAATGTCTCACCTGTTGGCTATTAAGCAACATGTCAGTACCATCAAGGTCAAGAAACCTTTAAAAAATATTGCACACACAGATACACATGAGCTATAGAGGAAAAAAGATGAATAAAACATCACTCAGGTAAGGCTTCAATGCGATTTCATGTAAATAATGCTCACAAACTTAAGCTTGCACGAATATTGGAATACTTCAAATGTTCAAACAAATATCACAGTATTCAAGTTCGCTTCAATGCGAATTTAAATGAAAATTTTCAAGTATTCGTAATGAATGAATAGGTGTATACTAATCCGCGTGTAATCCTTGTAAAGGTTGTTTCACTGCAGTGGAGACGTGCTAAGCCACAATAGCAACTACTTAAACCTATATTATTTCGCATACAACTTTCTGTTAAGGTTGCTTCACTGCAGTAAACAGTGCTAAGCCCTGAAAGCACCTGGTTATAAGAAATCCCCACTGCCGCCACACTCCACTTCAAGGTTACATGGGCATATCACCCTCACATTGTTTCATCCTTATTGACATTTAAAAGCTTATTATACTGGCTTTTATGCTCCAAGTATAGTAAATATTAAAAGCTAACATACTTTACACGTTATAACTTGAATTCTACCAAAAGTCCAATCCTGGTACTATTCAAAGTTGTTTCCATCTCCTTTCAATCGAAAGAAATGGCATTTGCACAGGCCTTGCTTCAATTTAAAAAATATATGTATTGTATAGAATAATTAGCTCATGACAAATATGTCCATTTTTTCTTATACAGTCAAACCTCCTTAGTGTGTACCCGCTTTAAGCATACTAACGGATAAAATATAGTTGCGACGAATCCCCGACCAAGTTTCATAGACTAATGCATTCGCGGACCGCTTAAGTCGTAGTGTTGGGCCTATGCCTTCTGGTTACTGCGTACTAACTGTGTACCGCGATAACATTTCGAGTGACAAAATTTTACTGCTCTGCTGAACTTGCAGATGCCACAATGTGCCATAAACGGTTATCTGTCATGTTGGTAAGTCTGGAGATCAGCCAATAAGTTATTACGAGTTTCGTGCGATTGCGGCGATGACGCTGCGAGTAACTATCGGGTGGAAAAACGAAGGTGTGGTGGCGACCACTGACAAACACGCCAATATGACTTATCACCAGCGAAATGTCTTATCACAACAAGCATCTGCGGTTATCTCCTCTGGCACGTGTGTGGCGTAGCATCACTTTAGGCCTACTGCACGCTTTTCGTGGGCAACTACCTGAACGCGCTGGGACGCTACCGCTTCGTTTTGCGGGACCATGTTCAAGCGCGCACCGCTTCACAGAAATCCAAGCAGCTCGCTGTCACAAAGTTTAGCGTTGTGGATCACGGGCACCGAGAAACCTTCCTGTATTATGCCAACACGCGCACCGTACAGCGGGCATAGCGCTGTTGTTACCATGCTGCACACTTTTGTTTAGTGACAGCTGAAATTCGCCTCTGTCCGGTGCCAGGACTGCTAGAGCATCGCGGAGAACACATTGCTTGCAGAAAGTTCTTCGGCGCCGCGTTAACACAGCAGGCTACTCGCCAAATCTGTGCAGCAAGCGGATCAGCAGTCACAGTATGCCCAGAATGAGCGAAGCGCTGCATGCAACTAGCCATGCAGTAAACGATTTGGCTCTCTGCGACTGTACCCTGTTTTAAAAAAGAAAACTGCGTCAGTTTTTGCTTAGAAGCAGACCACAGAACAACTGTATCATGGACAGCCGATTGTGTCTATTCTTGTTGTTTCCTTCCTCCATGGTTCTGTCGCTGTACCACGCTGCATATCTCGGATCTCGCTGTGGTTTTGAAATGCTCCTCGGCGTCTCGATCGCGTGCTATCGGGCGGTTCTTCGAGAGTCAAAATTTTCTGTATCTTGGCAAAAAAAAAAAGAAATGACTTTGTGGTAAAAGAAAGAAATGGCTTTGCGGTGGGCACTTTAGGCAATATTTCCCGAAGAACTGCGCTTCTACTTTTGTAAGCGGCGATGGCGCCTGTCAGGGGATGCAAATTTGTAGCTGGTGGTTAATGCGTAGTATGTTTAGTGCGTAGTTATGCCGCCGTCTCCGGCAGGTACGTATTAACAGGGTTTCACTGTAACATGTGATATATAGTATTAGAATTTGATTCGAATTCATTTGACAAACATCATTATTTGCTTTGAACCTAAAATCCACTATTTGCACAAGCCTACACAGAATCATTCATTTCATGAAAATTAAATGTTGAATTAATAACAACATATTGAGTATTTGAGTACAAAAATATCAGGTTCAACAAAACACTAGTCTTGCAGAGACCATATAAACAGTGTACATAGAAAGATTTGTCACTAATTTGGTTCAAAACAGCCTATAGCCTTCACACAAAACAAAGCAGAAACATACTAGGTAATTTCCTGAACACATATTCAGATTTCTGGAAGCAGTAAGTTTTCAAGATTTTTCACATTCTGTCACTGGCTCCAACTGGAACGCAACCTAATGCCCCTTGAGCAATCTACCAGGCGTGACGACATATCATAAATAATCTAAGACATTGTAGTGACCTGGCGTGACGACCTCAAGGTGGCGTCAAAAATTTGCTTCTTGTTTTTCTTTTGGCCTGTTTTTTTGACATTGTAGAAGGGGAATTCAGTAATTAAGTAATTAGCCCACGTGGCCAAAATAAAAAAAGAGAGATCCATAACATCGCACTGATATTTAGGTGTTTGAAACTGAGCCTAGACACTTTTAAAATATTGAGTCAGGAATTCTGAAATTAACCACCATAGAGTTCTTGAAGAATAGTTCAGTGGTCTAACTTGATTAGGTGTTTCTTTACGCACAGCATGCCCCAAAGGAAGATGTTAGTATTGCAGTGTTGATAATGTATTCTGTAGCACAGTTTGACTGTCCTTCCCCACCTCTCTCTCTCTCAATCACACACACAAATACACAGTTAAAAAAAGTGTTCAAAAATGCTGAAAGATCACGGAAATAGTATTATTAGTTCACTGCCTTCACAATTGTACCTTTTTTGTAGTGACAGACATCTTAAGATGACAAGCTACATTCATAACGGCAATATCTATAATGATTAAATTAAATTTTCAATCAGAAAAAAAGGCCATTTAGTCAAGTAAGGCAATTGAAGTCCCCTTCCGCTGTGAAATTAATAAAAAGTATGGCTGTGTGAATATCAAAATTTTGGTTGCAAAGCGAATTTGAGTGTTGAAGTGAGAGTGCAAACTGAATTGAAATTTTTTCAAGTATTTCTAAAATATTTTTGGAATACTTCGAAGCTAAATTGCACAAAAAAAAAATTGGAGAGGATTCCTAAGCATATTCTCATAAGATAGCAACACGAAAGTGCTGCTTCTGGCTATGCAACTGGTGGGGTGATGTTTCATACATGTCTTATTAAGAGTAAGGAAATGCAGAGGGCACATTTTACTTCTACACATAATTCGGTGCAACCGAAGTGTTGCCAACAAAACTTTACATGTGAAAGATTCTACTTCTTCAGCCTCTCCTCCTCTTTCAACTTCTGTGAAAGCCGAACTGGTAGACAGACAAGGATCTACTCTTTTAGAGCTTAAAGTTCCAAATCTGCCTCACAGACGTCAATATATGAAAACATCTGAAATTTGGATGCTAAAAACCTTCAGCATCTAATTTTTCGGACTTTCTGCACAAACTTCAGGTTGAAAATGGCCTTAGTTGGGCCCCCACCTCGGTGGCATCTATCATCACCATGTCTTTTAAATCCCTACATTTGCTACCATGGCCGAGCTTTAAAGGCAGTTCTGCCGCAATATGATTGTGATGGGGTGAAGCATATTGAAAATTGAAGAGGCCACTGCCAATAGAAGGATGACTGCATATTTGTTTTTGGGAAGTTCAAATAGTAGAATTCTGGTGCGAACCAAATTGAATAGCAAGCACTATTATGAAATTATTCTAAATTCTCAATATTTGCACACCCCTAACAAAACCTATAATTTCTGCCGCATAAGGTAATCCAACTCATTTCTCTGATGAATTCGAAACCGCAACGCTGAAAACCACCCATACCACCAGAAAGAGAGAGCGTAGTTATATCAACCATCAATCCACTTCCCTTCATGGCTGTGTGGGCTGTGCCTGCCACTTGAGTATGCATGGCACACATAGGTTAATGAATGCAGAACCAATACCACGCAATCATTGACAAAAACAGTGAAGCCATTTTGGTTGTCTGTTATATGATACGGCAGTTGCACTCTTTGATGTTGGTTTTCTGAGTGAATTTGGAAAAACTTCATCCCTTTGTGAAAATTGCCACAGGCTGCTTTCTGGAAGTTTTAGAGGCATAGTGCTCTCCACAGAAAGGGCTACGCTTCTTCAATTGAGCCTGGCCGCGTGCACCTAATTAAAAAGTTAATTTTTGTAATTTTTATAACTAATGGTGCAAGTAATATCTCTTGTCATATTAAGATGTCTCCCACCACAGAGAAAGTAATGACGAGGACTGCAAGCAAATATCTGATTTCCATAACGGTATGAAAATTTTGAGTGTGTGTGTTTACGCATATTACATACACAGTGGGATTAAAAGTCGTTGCACACTTACGATATTCTGACCAGCTTGAATACACGAAGCTGTAACCATCAGGACTGAAAGAAGATTGAAAAATGTGCAATGTTTAAACTGACTGTGCAATATAAAGATCTAGCATAAAAACAACACTTGTATAAATGTGATTTATGTTATCTTCAAGTGGATTTAATTGATAGATATGTGGGGTTTAACGTCCCAAAACCACTATATGATTATGAGAGACGCCGTAGTGGAGGGCTCCGGAAATTTAGACCACCTGGGGTTCTTTAACGTGCACCCAAATCTGAGCACACGGGCCTACAACATTTCCGCCTCCATCGGAAATGCAGCCGCCGCAGCCGGGATTCGAACCCGCGCCCTGCGGGTCAGCAGCCGAGTACCTTAGCCACTAGACCACCGCGGCGGGGCCTTCAAGTGGATTTACTTTTATTTAAATAACCACATGGCAATCTCTTCAAACAAGCAGAATTGGGAGAGAGTCGATTTTTTCGACATAATACTTTGAATCTAGTTACAGAACTTTGGTTTTCAGTGTTTTTTTTTTCCAATACAGTCGAGCTCGCTTATAACGAACCTGAGCGCGATGCAGCATCCGTTTGCTGTATCCTTAAGTTTGTAGTAAATGAAACACAGCTTTTAAAGAAAGTTGCGAGTGAAAACACAAACTTTTTTTGCCCCCAAATGTTCGTGATGCACGTGTTTCGAATAGCAGAAGCGATAAGGGTGGTCTCGAGTTCATTTAAAACGGCAGGGTGCTCGTTTGCCGAGGCCCGTGGCATAAGCTGCATGACGCACTGGCTTCAAAGTTTCGTCGTTCTCGCAATCCGATTCCTCCAAAACGCTCTCGCCATGTACTTCATTCACAATGCCTTAATCCGTGCACGGTTCCGCAGTGTGGGCATCATCATCGGCGGTAATTAAACCATCGCAACAGATGTCCCACCCGCTCTCCCAGACTGGAGTCGGCGACGCGCTGCAATAAATCGCCGACGCAATGGTCCTGTCCGGAAGCTTCAGGCTCGGCATCGGGCCCGACATTGACGAAGTCGGCCTCGCGAAAACAGTGTCGCGCGCATGTAGCCGTCACCGTGACCCACGAAATATTCACCATCTCCACAGCTGAATACCGGGACACCTGAAGCGGCAAGTTGGCTGCCAGGTGGTCAAAGGCTATGAGCAAGCGCTCCGCAACGCGGCACCTAACACCCGGATTACGCTCCAGCTAAGCAGTGACACTTCCGACGTTTTGTTGAGCGGCAGAAAAAAAAAAGCGTGCTAGTCCTCCCGTCTGCCATCCTGATCACACACGCACACCAAGAGCGAGCAAGACGCGCACACACGACACACATGCCAGAACGCGTGGAACAGCTCTGGGCCCGTTTCCAGTCAGAAAACGAAACTAATTCGAGCCAGCGTGGCGGGCATCACGGAGTGGTGGAGACTGGCGAAGGGGTTGTGATCAAGAGAAGAGAGCAGACTTGCGAGAAAAGGGCAAGGAGTTGCGATAAAAAAAGGGGAGGATGCGGTGGGAGGGCGAGCTTGAAAACCATAACACACAGGAAGGAGGCAGGTTAGATAGCTTGCTTTTACTCGCACGTAGAAAAACTTGGAAAGAGTGCATGGCAGCCTGAATCAGTGCGCGCGCGGCGGTGTTCAAAAATTCGGCGGCCGTGGTCAAAAAATGGTTTTGTTGTGCCGGCGGGTTTGAGTGGCCTCACGAACTTCGATATTTCGCGATTCGTTCCGCATAAATTAACAGCGGGGGAACAAAGGACGGAGGGGCGCATAACAAAAAGCGGTCGGGGAGAGCGGCAACTAGAGGGGCACGGAGGCAGGGTCAGCGTTTAACAATAAGATGGTATGGGCACCTCGCCGATGCCTGATCGGTGGTCGAAATTTGTTTCCCGGGAAGTCGGCAGACCGCTGACTCCATTCGCTGTAACCGATCAGCGGCGTTCGGAGACGTAAGTTGTAAGTGCAATTTTGTATCATTGAACCAATGTATATTTTCACGGTCACGCGGATATTGTTCGTTTTAGGTGAAAGTTCATTTTAAGTGGGGCCGTTATATGAGGGCTCCACTATACCATGAGATAGTACAATTTTGAAGTCATGACATAACAAGCAATATAAACACAAGAAAAATGCAGTACCTCCACATAAACAGATTAGCGTTCTCGAGCAACAAGTGTACAACTGTTCCCAAGCAAAATGCTCTCACAATCAAGAAAATGTTCAAAAGGCTATTAGGACATGCCACTACATCGTTGCAAATATGAAGCAAATTGTTGACTCACTAGCAGATCTCCTTGGCAATCTTTTGCCTGAAGTAGTCAGCAATTGATAACTACAGAATGCCTTCGAACAAAGACAGCTAGATGAGGATCCCAACTAAAGTATTTTGGTTTCACTTAATTTTTCACAACAAAATCCTGAGGGAGGCCATAGCCATGGCCAAAATTTTCAATTCCTAGATTGATTTTCATGAAACTTCCCAAGTTAATATTTATCTGTGTGCTGGTTTCAAAAATGCAATTATTTTTTAGTATGATGCATAGTTTTAAAGTACAAAATATTTTATGTGCTTAGTAACATGACAATTTGGATGAGTTGGTGATGCATGGTGAACCACAGTGCAACACTGAGACGAGTACAATAAGAAGAAAGGACACGTGTGTGTCCTATCATCTTTGTCTCAGTCTTGCACTGTGGTTCACCACTACTGATTCATGTGCATTTCAGTGAGCAAGTTTTTCCTGAGCTTGGAGAGTTACAAAGCACATGAGCCTATCACAATAATTTGGAATGAAAACTCTGTGTAGTACAACAAAAAAATGAATATTCTAGATCCAGTAGAACAGAAGTTCTGATATGTGAAACATTCGTGAATGAAATCTCAGCTTGACATTAAGTCACTCAGAAATGTTCAACATTATACCCTAACTTTAGTTCAAATTGGAAAACCATACATCTGTTTTAGTTGTGCTGCACAATTCACTTTGTAACTCTATCTGTTAAAGAGAAATCTCACTCCCCAAAAGGCACAAAATAACTGCATATTTGCAGTCAGCACACAGATATCATCATAAGCTCGGCAAGTTTCGTTGAACCAATCAGGATATTTTAACACTACCAACGCCAGACGTCACGATTGTGGTTCCTGCGGCTAGACATTTCCACGTACAAAAGGCCAGATCTGCAGACAGTGCAAGAAGCAGCTGTAACCTACCTAACAGCCATGTCGAGAATACTCCAACCGACATCTCGAGCAGACACAGATTTCAGCAGCTTGAAATCATCCTGGCTTGTGTCATAGATGCGTATCACACAGTCTGCACAACGTGAAAAGATCATGAAGCACAGAATAACCTCTGTAAACATTGCTAAAAGCAATAAATGGAAAGGAAGTATTAGTCATGGAATAATGGCACAACAGCTGAAGATAATAATAGATCGAGATGCACAAGACAGTTCTCTATTAGGCATATTTTACTTTAACGCTTCCACCCAGGCCCTAGGAATATTTACACATATAAACTGGCATGTGTGCAACATGCGCGCGCACACACACACACACACACGTATAGTATAAATCACTTGTAATGCAAGGCGCTATAACCAAAACAGCCTCTAACGAAGGCTGCACATGCACGAAACACACTGAGCATGCAACACCTCGCATGTCTGAGAATTAAAGCATGCGATGCACGTGCTTAGAATCATTTCAATTTTCCAATGTTAAAATAATCTAACATCCGAAGAACTACGTTGCGAATGAAATGAATGCGAAAGGCGGGAAGGGGGGGGGGGGGGGGAGAGGTTTAACAAAAAAAAGTACCATCGCGGAATATCACCTACTCGTCAGACCACCTCCATAATGTGCACTACACAAAAAACATGTCATTAATTTCCGAAGTTTCACGCGCTGAAAGACACTGATCGTTCGATCTCCGCAGGCACGTCCCCAATTTCAAGGCATCGCAATCAAATCGTGAACCACTATTACATTGTTACAAGTGCCACCCTCATTTTCATTAATTATATGTATCCCTTCCCTTCAACTACAGCCACCACAAAGAGTTTCGTTCATTACATATCAAACCACAACTTAGATTGCACGCAATCACTACCAAAATGCAACAGATGCTAATTAGGCCCTGCCTGCCATTCAGATTATTGTTAAAGACGAAGAAAGTGCTTAACAGCGCAAATGACAGGAGGAGTTATATGTTTTCTTCATCTACCATGCAGCACCAACCAGCCCAATCAAGTACTTTGTTACAGAATATTGCGGTTTATTCAAGACATGAAAATCGCCAGTCAAAAAGATCTCACTAAAGCACTGAACCAAGAACAGCGTATGTGATCTGAAATATGCTTTCGCAGCCGGGAGATAAAGGACAGAAAAATGATTTAATTGATATGTGGGGTTTAACGTCCCAATACCATCATATGATAATGAGAGACGCCGTAGTGGAGGGCTCTGAAAATTTTGACCACCTGGGGTTCTTTATCATCATCAGCATCATCAGCCTGACTACGTCCACTGCAGGACAAAGGCCTCTCCCATTTTCCGCCAGTTAACCCAGTCCTGTGCTAGCTGCTGCCAATTTATACCCGCAAACTACTTAATCTCATCTGCCCACCTAAACTTCTGTCTCCCCCTAACCCGCTTGCCTTCGCTGGGAATCCAGTTAGTTACCCTTATTGACCAGCGGTCATCCTGTCTACGCACTACATGCCCGGCCCATGCCCATTTTCTCTTCTTGATTTCAACTATGATATCCTTAACCCCCGTTTGTTCCTTAATCCACTCTGCTCTCTTCTTGTCTCTTAAGGTTACACCTACCATTTTTCTTTCCATTGCTCGCTGCGTCGTCCTCAATTTAAGCTGAACCCTCTTTGTAAGTCTCCAGGTTTCTGCTCTGTAGCTCAGTACCGGCAAGATACAGCTGTTATATACCTTCCTCTTGAGGGATAGTGGCAATCTACCTGTCATAATTTGAGAGTGCTTGCGAAATGTGCTCCACCCCATTCTTATTCTTCTAGTTACTTCAATCTCGTGGTTTGGCTCCGCGGTTATTACCTGCCCTAAGTAGACAGTCTTTTACAACTTGAAGTGCACTATTACCTATCTCGAAGCGCTGCTCTTTTCTGAGGTTGTTGTATATTACTTTCGTTTTCTGCAGATTAATTTTAAGACCCACCTTTCTGCTCTCCTTGTCTAACTCTGTAATCATGAGTTGCAATTCGTCCCATGAGTTACTCAGCAATGCAATGTCAACGGCAAAGCGCAGGTTACTAAGGTACTCTCCATGAACTCTTATCCCTAATTGTTCCCATTCTAGGCTTCTGAAAACCACCTGTAAGCAAGCGGTAAATGGCATTGGGGAGATTGTGTCCCCCTGCCTTACACCCTTCTCGATTGGTATTCTGTTGCTTTCTTTATGAAGCACTATGGTAGCAGTTGATCCCCTGTAGATTTCTTCCAGGATGTTTATATATACTTCATCGATGCCCTGATTCTGCAGTGTCTGCATGACGGCTGATATTTCTACTGAATCAGACGCCTTCTCGTAATCTACGAAGGCTATGTATAGTGGTATAGTGGTTATATTCTGAGCATTTCTCTATTACCTGATTGATAGTATGAAAGTGGTCGATTGTTGAGTAGCCTGTTCAAAATCCTGCTTGCTCCTTTGGTTGATTGAATTCTAATGTTTTCTTTACTCTGTTAGCAATTACCTTTGTAAATAGTTTGTATACTACAGAGAGCAAGCTGATCGGCCTGTAATTCTTCAAGTCCTTGTCATCTCCTTTCTTATGTATTAAGATGATGTTAGCGTTCTTCCAAGACTCTGGTACTCTACCCGTCAGGAGACATCTCGTAAACAGGGTGGCTAGTTTTTCTAACACAATCTGTCCTCCATCTTTCAGCATATCTGATGTTACCTGATCCTCACCAGGAGCTTTGCTTCTTTGCATGCTCTCCAAAGCTTTTCTGACTTCTTCTATCATTACTGGTGGGGTGTCATCTGGGTTACTGCTACTTCTTATAATACTAAAGTCATGGTTATCCTGGCTACTGTACAGATCTCTGTAAAATTCCTCCGCGATTTTAAGTATCCTATCCATATTGGTAGTTATTTTGCCTTCTTTGTCCCTCAGTGGATACATCCGATTTTTGCCTATTCCAAGTTTCCTCTTCACTGCTTTGACGCTTCCTCCGTTTTTCAGAGCGTGCTCAATTCTCTCCATGTTACACCTTCTCGCATCGCATACCTTACGCCTATTAATCAACTTTGAAAGCTCTGCCAGTTCCATTTTGTCTGCTGTACTTGAGACTTTCATTATTTGACGCTTCTTAATGAGATTTTTCGTTTCCTGGGAAAGCTTGCCAGAGTCTTGTCTAACTACCCTGCCTCCAACTTTCACTGCACACTCCGTAATGATACTTGTCAGATTATCATTCATTGTATCTACGCTAAGGTTGGTTTCCTCACTAAGAGCCGAGTACCTGTTATGAAGCGAGACTCTGAATTCCTGTACTTTCCCTCTCAGTGCTATGTCATTGATTGGCTTCTTGCGTATCAGTTTCTGTCGTTCCTTCTTCAAGTCTAGGCGAATTCGAGACCGTACCATTCTATGGTCACTGCATCTTACCTTGCCAGCCACTTCCACATCCTGCACGATGCCTGGGTGTGCACTCATTATAAAGTCTATTTCATTCTTATTTTCGCCATTAGGGCTCCTCCATGTCCACTTACGGTTTCCTGGTTTTCGGTAGAAGGTATTCAAGATCCGTAAATTATTGCGTTCTGCGAATTCTACTAGTAGCTCTCCTCTGGCGTTTCTAGTACCGATGCCATAGTCTCCTACTGCCTGGTCTCCAGCCTGCTTCTTCCCTACCTTTCTATTAAAGTCTCCCATCAGTATAGTATAATGTGTTTTTACCTTATTCATTGCTGATTCCACGTCCTCATAGAAGCTTTCAACTGAAGCGTCATCATGGCTGGATGTAGGTGCGTAAGTCTGTACCACCTTCACCTAGTATCTTTTATTCAGTTTAATTACGATACCTACGACCCTTTCATTAATGCTATAGTATTCCTCTATGTTGCCAGCTATGTTTCTGTGAATTAGGAACCCCACTCCCAGTTCTCTTCTGTCAGCCAAGCCCCTATAGCAAAGGACGTGCCCATTCTGTAGCACCGTATAAGCCTAATCTGTCCTCCTAACCTCACTGAGCCCTATTATATCCCATTTAACACCTTCTAGCTCCTCGAATAGTAGAGCTAGACTTCCCGCACTAGATAAGGTTCTAGCGTTAAACGTTGCCAAGTTCAGGTTCCAATGGCGGCCTGTTCGGATCCAGAGATTCTTAGCACCCTCTGCTGCGTTGCAGATCTCACATGCATACGTCAAATAACTCACGAGGTTCTTTAACGTGCACCTAAATATGAGCACACGGGCCTACTGAATTTCTGCAGCCGGGATTCGATCCCGCAACCTGTGGGTCAGGAGCCGGCTACCTTAGCCACTAGACCGTCGGCGGCGGAGCCAAAGGACAACAAAAGCTTATGTAAGACTGCACTCTGGTAGCGAAAGCGAAAGCTCGTGCATAACGTCGTAAAACTTAAATTTAAGGACAAGGTAGCAAACACAATCTGTAGCAAGCTTCATAGGCGGAGACTACAGGGGAGCTGGAGGGCTCGGGCCCTCTCCAGACGGATTCATGTGGGGCAGAGCACCCCCTGGCATCGGCCTGAAATATTTTTAAGAGGTTGTCTTCGGTTCCAGTCAATTTGCAACAGTGTATTGGCTGCCCTTATGGCAGCTACTTCAGAAGGCCCTATTTGTGTCGGCTTCTCTTTTGGTTCAGGCTTTTAAAATTTGGAAGATGGGCCAGTGAAAACTCAAACTTTTGATGGAAAATGCCCCTCAAACATATTTGAGGGTGCATAGTATATGTTGTGCTGATGTACGATTGAAGCGACTGCTCAGCAACAGGTTTTCACAAAACAAAAATGCTTCCGAGAATACAAAGCATCCTCAATACAGCTAGTTAGTGAGTGCTTTCGCACAAACTTTCTTTCCAATACAAAAAGTGTAATTTCTTTGTTGTCTACAAATTGGTACTATACTGTATTCGACATGCTTGACCCTAAAAGTGCCGAGAAAAGATAGTACATAATTTTTATTTCTGAACAAAGGGTTTACTACCAGTTCACTCACTGAAGAGCAACTCAAGTACTAATCTACAACTTTTGGCAGAAACTTCATAACTGTAGCTTTGCAAAAGTTGTGGTAGCTGCAAATTACATTTCCTATCTCCTGAACATTATTTTGATGATCTTAAATTCAATCCACTGGCATAGCTAAAGGTACCTGTGATAGCGTTAGACCACTCTGTCCTATCTGGTCCATGTTGTAATAAAGTAAGTAAAGCATGCTAATAAATGTTAGGCAGGCACCACTCATTGTGCGAATCAATTTTATGGGAAGGAGCTAGCAAGCTCCTTCCCATAAAATTGATTCGCACAATGAGTGGTGTCGAAATTTTCGGCATTCAGCGCAGCGAAATTTTCGAAATTTTCGCATTCAGCGCCAAGTGTTAACAAGGTGCATTGGCATATTTATGCTAATTAAAAAATAACTCTGCACTTTCCTATTTGAGATATTCATAATATTTCGCGTTACTGACACCTAAGAGGATAGACTTCTATTTTAAATTCTGTACCTTGAAAGTTGGAATGAATATATATATATATATATATATATATATATATATATATATATATATATATATATATATAATTTTTTCTCTTTCTCTCTCTCTCTCTCACACACACACACAAAGCTGAGCCCACATATAACGGCCCCACTCACTACGAACTTCCGCTTGAAACGAACGATACTCACGTGACCATGGAAATGTACATTCCAATGGCACAAAGACGCACTTACAACGAACCTCTCTGAGCGCCGCCGATAGGTTACAATGAACAGAGTCGGTATTACGGCGAATTCTCGGGACACCAATTTCAACCATTGATAAGCATTGGAGAGGTGCTCCTAGATTCTTATTGTTAAACACCTACCCTGCCTCCACAGCCCTCTAGTTGGCGCTATTTCTGAACGTTTTTTGTTACGAGCCCCACTGTCATTTGTCCCCGCACTACTCTGAGCACCCTGCGTCACCAGACGAGGCCTGTGTTTTCACACAGTTGCCACCAATCTTCGAGCCAGATTTTCTGAAAAAAAAAAAAAAAAGTCCGCCTATTATGCGAGCAAGTATGATGTGTGCGTGTGTATGTGTTTGTGTGTGTGTGCGTGCGTGTGTGTGTATAGAGAGAGAGAGAGAGAATGTGGAAAGAAATTGGCTCGTCACCTGTGGCAAGCTCGAGAACGACATTTTCCTTGACACGAAACTAAACGCAGTCGCTGAGGGTGGGATCGCATGTGCCATGTTGAGCTGCGCATGGCTGGAGCCACACTAGTAGGTGCTGTTGACAGTGCAAAGATTCATCCGTTGCCTAGGCGACCGCCCTTCTCTCTCACTCCGGGAGCATGCTGCGGTCTTTCGACGACATTTGCCGGGAAACACGCAAATATGCCACCAATTTTTTCCTTTTTTATTTTTCATCGTTCCGCACTACGTTCGTTCACTCCACAGTGATGTAGCCAGCCCACCTACTTTTAGAAGAGCACTCGCTACCGTGTTTGAAGCAGACTTTCGGCTAGCATTATAACCAGTCTGTCATCTTGGAGGACTACACAATAAGCAATATGCATATACACGGGGTTCTATGGGACGGTAAACGAGAGTCGAAAAAGACCTCATTGGAACCGGTTCTGCAGAATAAGCTGTTATGTTATAATGGTCTGCACTATATATACATGGGTGGCCCATGACCTCACTGGTGTGGAATCGCACAATGTAATTCCATCCCAACACACACTTCAGCATTAAACTAGCCATATATGCAATGTTAAGTAAAGAAAAAAAACACCTCAATTTTAGCATTTATACTATTTGGGCGTGCGTAGATAGCTAAAAGAGTGTGTGCGTGTTAATGTACACACATACCCAGTGCGTTCCAGCTAGCTCAGGGGAAGCTACTTAAAAAATGTGCTACGGTATACGAACATGTGGTTAACAGCTTCTTGTGAGTAGCAGCTCCATGCATGCTGGTTGTTTTTTGTTTGTTTTTTTTGTCAGCTGCCTTAACAGTTGTTTCACACACATAACTATGGAAATTATGACTTTTTATTTTGTATATCATATTCAAAAACATCCTGCTAAAAAATGTGGAAGTAGCTACATTACTTACACTAAACAGTAATAATTGCTATTTTTGCAATAGGTGTGCAGGCTTTCTTTGAATAACTAGTGAGTGCACTAATTCAGGTATGCAGGTGCACAGCAATTTATTTTCTTTGGGTTTTCATTAGAGATAAAAAAAAAGGTAAACATGATTTACGGAAAAACGACAATGTACATCTATGAACATGTTAAAAAAAGTTCTTAAAAAAGAAAATATAAATTCGAACCCAAATATGGCAGAAATGCTTTTCTCTATTAGAATAATTACCAGTGAGGCTTACCCTGACAAGCTGTCATGAATATGTCCCCATTTCGGGCAAACGTTCCACAAAATGTTTTGCTTGGGTAGTACACTGTCGCTGCTTGGAGGTTTGGCAGCAATCTGATGGTAAATGATGAAATGAGCCAATCAGTAATGGCAACAAAAACACTAAGCCCCATTCATTTAAAAAAAGATCTGCAGGGCCTACACTGATATGATGTGTAATGCGAGCTGATCGCCAAGTGCGCTGGCAGTTAACTGGTTGAGTGAAATGCTGAGAAAGTGATCAATTCAGAATACTATACCCGACGTTCATCGCGCAGTCATGTTCCAGCTGCCCAACATAAAACTTGCAATGCATTACAATACAGGGTACAAAATCATGCAGCAGTTATGTGTGAAAAGTGTGAAAACAAATGTGAAATATTTTGAACAGTTTTATAAACAGAAAGCCTAGTACAGTCAATGGCACATATTTATGTAAACCAATATGTGGTAATATGAGGGTATCTTTAATGTATCATGCCAATTTCACAAAGCTATGTGTTGCAGCACTCAGTTTCACTCAATCTTCTGCACTGGAGAGAAAAAAAACCTATAAATTATTAAATATACACATGTTTAACATTATCAATATAAAGCCAAATTTCATTAGGCATGTAATCTTGTGCTACACATTGCTAAGCAGTAGGTTCCTCGAACATTCATGCTGCAAGCACAAACAGAATATTTATTTTTTCTTCTTTGCAGCACCATTGATTGCATGCAATACACACACTGAGGCAATGCTACAACACCACTGAATTAAAGCTGATAATTACCAAGGTCTAAGCAGTTGCTGCAGCATCATTACAGTGACATAATTATATAGCTACTATTAGTTGGTATCTACACACTGCTGCTTTTACACGCATATAAAATGTGCAAAGCAAACCCTCTCTTCACTATAAGACTCAGGCCAAGACTGCTGTTCATTCACATCAAAGAATGTTAGGGGACTCTGTGAACAGAACCCAACATCTTTGATGTAGGATACTGCAGATCTTCAACAGTGGTAACTAACACAAGGAGTTCCATTTTAAGAAATCCACAAAGGGCAGCACAAAATTTATGGAATGTGGAAGAAAGCACGAAGAAGGAAAGGAAAGCTGCTTTCTTGGCCTTTTGTGAAGGAATACAGGTCTGCTCAACATCAATGAGAGAGTTATCATATAGGCCAATTATGCAACTATTTACTTAACTGGGATGAATATATGATTGGATAGAACGAAACAACCAATATGCCATACTTGCCTAGAGCTCATCCTAGATTTGTCTCCTATGGTAAAGATACCACGAAATGGCATTCCACACTCCCTCTGCAAAGTGACCACAATAGGGAATAAAAAAAAGCACAAGTAAAAGCTGGCCACAAATTTTGTTTACTTAGTTGTAAAAATGATGAAGAGAGAGAGCAACAAGAAGGACTGCACTTATTGCCGAAAAAAAAAAATTTTCTGAAATGGCTCCCAGAGCCGAAAATCAGTAACAATATCTGGGGTTAACGTTCCAAAACCACGATGAGATTAAAAGAGATGTCCTAGTGGAGGGCTCCGAAAATTTGGACTATCTGGTGTTTTTTTTATTGTGAACTGACATTGCACAGTACATGGGCCTGGGCCTCTCCTATTTCACCTATATCCAAATGCGACGGCCATGGCTGGGGTCGAACCCGCAACCTTTGGGCCAGCAGCCAAGCACTACAACCGCTAAAACCACCCCAGTGATGGTGAAAATCAAAATTCTTCAAAATTCTGCCTTGAGCTCTAAATACCTTGACTAAACCACCTATGTCAATTATGCCCTGTATTAAGTATGACTTTCACCAGCTGAAATACTGAACTGCTAAGATCTGCTGATCATAGACACATACAATTTTATACATTCATAAATATCAAAAGTAGCCTGCTGTATATAATGAGAACTACAGTACATGGGCCTGGGCCTCTCCTATTTCACCTATATCCAAATGCGACTGCCATGGCTGGGGTCGAACCCGCAACCTTTGGGCCAGCAGCCAAGCACCACAACCGCTAAAACCACCCCGGTGATGGTGAAAATCAAAATTCTTCAAAATTCTGCCTTGAGCTCTAAATAACTTGACTAAACCACCTATGTCAATCATGCCCTGTATCAAGTATGACTTTCACCAGCTGAAATACTGAACTGCTAAGATCTACTGATCATAGACACATACAATTTTATACATTCATAAATATCAAAAATAGCCTGCTGTATATAATGAGAACTAACAGAAAATGATGCCAAGGAAAGTATAGGAGATGTTATTAGAAGTACTAATTGTAATATAAATGTGCAAAAAGAAAAGTGGACGAAAAGATAGCTTGCCGCTGGCAGGGACTAAACCCGTGACCTTCAAATAATACGTCGGATGTGCAGATTAATGTGTCTAACAAAGAAAATGAGCCCTTAAATTCACCCGGCTGTATATTCATTACACCATATTGTACCATTTCTGCAATGTGCAGAGCTCTGCAACTCATTCACCGAATTCAGAAAACAAGATTGCTTCCGTCTTGACTCTTTCTTACCACACCACTACAGATTGGTCACCACTGAAATTTTTTAAAAGCCCAATCTGAAAAATCTATTGTGCTTCTCGACTCGCAGTGCCATCTCTACGATGGTACACTAACTATAGTTGCAGTTTCTCTATGGACAGTGCACGAGGCCAGAAGTTGAAGCACCTATAACTGACATGATGGAATCAACATCGGAAACTGCATGCACATGAAAAGAAGAGAGCAGTTTTGTGTGATTCCCATCTTGCTCAGAAGCAATCTCTAGGACCCTTTGAGCAGCAATGACTCCAACATTGATGCCGCTTAATCCGACTGTAGTTTGAATGAGTTACTACCATTTTTGTTAATTGTTTAGCCCATCAATGATGAGATCATTTTGAAGTATGTTTACTTAGCTTTATACCCGTGTCAAGCGGGCAAGTTATGCATGCTTACAGGAGTACACTTCAGAACCCTGAGTGACACTTCAGGGTACGTGGTGCTAAAAAAGAAAATAGAGTGCACTTATAGCAAAGACCAAATGGCAACAGACCGGTGTTTTTTATAGATGTAAATGAAAAAGAAAGAAAATTCTGAAATGTGATTGCTTTATGTTGAATTATAAAAAACTTTTTTTGTCATTAAATAACTGCCATTTTTTTTTTTATATACAAGCATTGTGAGTCAATACCGGCTGAGAAGAAGCAAAATGCGTTCATGAAATGCACTCTGACAGAAGTATACTTATCCAGAAGTAAAACTCCACATGCGTCACTTAAATTGGGTAAAGCACACTGAAGTGTAGTTAACTTGCCTGCTTGACATGGGTGTTACTTTAATACATTGCAAAGCACTGCAAACCTAGTAGGAGTTACGTAAGAAATTCTAACTTATATATACAAAAGACTGCAAATTTCCTAATGGTAAGGACAGGGCTAAGCTGAAATTCCATTTTAGTAATTTCTACTTATCGAGTTTCTATTGTATGAGAAGTCTACTGTGTGCCACACATATTTTCACATAACTTTGTTCACCGAGATGCTTGCATGTGAAGCACTTGGCATAACTCATTCAGTGAAATACTTATGCAGATGTTTGTTTAACTCATTTGTTGAAGAACTCTGTGCCGCATTTTTCTATGTAAATTAAAAAAAATTTAACGGCAAGTACTTAAATGTTGTAAAGATGCAAAAGACTTGCCCCTTGGAGCAGCGAAGCCATTGAAGTGCCTTGCTCTGAGTGTGGCTTGCTTGTGCTGCCAGAGTGTTTTTTGACGATTTCGTAAAGGTCATTTTTCTGTTAAGAAAAATGAAGTTTTTTTTTCACATTTTGACAAGACCACTACATACTTACAATACTATTACCAAATTTGATGCTTGAAGATGTGAAAGTTGTGTAGAAGATACCCTAGCTTAGAATTTCAAAGTATTGACTATATGGCTATATTTTAAACACACATGCACGCAAGCACACACACATGCTTTCACACAAAAGAATAGAAAGATAAAGTACAAGGCTTAAGCAAGTTAAGTTCAGCTATGAAGAGGCAACTATTTGACAAAATAGACAGCTTTAGCAGACTGTTATTGTCCCCTACCCTATCGATGCTCTGCCACAACTTTTGTTCCTCCCAACTTTTCTTCCCTTACAATTAAACGAAGATATATGCCTTGACTTCTAGTGTCATGGTGGCCTCTGGTTAGCTATGGTAGTTCAGTTGATTAAAAGCAGAGGGTATGTAGTATTCAAAGCCCATAAACAATGAATTGAAAAAAAAACTGATAAAAACATCAAAATTCTATTCAGAAGACGTCACTCTTGCCGTAATTGTTCTGGGAACCGTAGTAGGATCTTTGCGGATTGAGAAACGTGGACAACGGCTGGTTTGTTGAGATGCCTGTTTTTGGAGAGTAACTTCACCTCCTCTAATTGCTGGCGTGGCCAATAAATATGGCATTCGGTGAAAAACTCATTAAATTCATTATTTTCCTCCGGTTTTTGCCTAAAATAAGGGTTGTGTCCATTAATTTCAACACCCAATATTTCAATTTCGCGCAACATGTTGGTGACAAAAATTTTTCTGTATCCCTTTAAGCTTGTTAAATTTCCTCGATTCGGTGAAATTTTGTCCTAATATCCAAATAAATATTATGTTTACATTTAGAACAAGAGCATGTCTGCCTGGTCGTGCACTGCATATGAGGATCGACCTATTTCTAGCAAAACAAGACTGTCTTTCAGCAGTAGGGTTATCAACCGTCCCGGATTTTGTGGCACAGTCCCGACTTTCATACAGTGTCCCAAGTCCCGCGCCGCCCCTGTCTGGCTAGTTGTATATTCTGTATTTGTCTCAAATCGTCCAGTTAGAAATTTTATGTCTTCTAACCGACGCCCAACAACGTGCATCATGCCACGTAACACAAGGTCACCACGAATCGCACGTCAGAAGCAATGTTGCGGTGGCTGCGTGCGGCTTAAGCCACTTTGGCTGCACTTCGCATGAAGAATGACAACATTTAGGAGTGCATTTTCCAGTAAGGAACAGTGCACAGAGAGCTGAAGCCCACCCCTATCTGGACTTGCTTCATTGAAGAGTCGGTAACTCTAAGTAGCAGGTATTTCCAGGAACCCAAGTTTTGAGGGGGCTGCAGCTCCTCCCCCCTCTCGTTTCGTTTCACCCAAGAGGGAACATAGTCATATCACAATGGCTATGTCCACCCCCCCTCATCACCCCCGAAGGAACTCGTTTATCGTGGGTGGCTCCTGGTATAATAATCCTGGTGTACCCCCGTTTTTTGGTAAGTCTACGATCGTCATAATAAACCCGCGTACAACCGACTTTCGTATACACTGGACCTGTATGCGCTTATTTGCTCTGTGTACTAAATTAATGAAGAGAAGTTTCCTTTTAAAGGTTAATGAAGCGCTGATAAAACAGGGACCACAGAAAGAGTATGTGCAGGACATGTGCTTTCAACGGACTATCGATTACAGCACACGAAATAAAATGAGCAAGCATACTTTATCCATCTTTAAGCGGGATGAAAACCGGCTAGACAATTATGCGCACGGATTAAGTTGTGGCTAAAACACTGGTTGCTTCCAGCCAAGCCAAGCCTCCAGCCCAGCTGGTCTGGGAGGACGTAGGTGGTGGTAGATTTGCTAGAATGGAGAGGTGTGAAAAGTGAGCCATGTTTTCCTTGTCCAAAAGCGCCGCATTGCGCGATATCTCCACTAGGCCAAAACATTGCGTGACAGTCGGAGGTGCTGCTAGTTAACATGGCGGAAACGGTAGTGTAATACGCTGCGACGGGATCTTGTCAGCCTACACCGACGAAGATTTGCAGTTAGGAAGCTTGCCATCTCCAAGGCCAACAGAGCTATAGTTTTTATTTATTGCGAGGCCAGAAAGAAAAAATACATGAAAGTAGCCCAGCTCACACCCAGTATAACGGGGATAAAGCTATACAAAAAAATTTGGCCATGTCAGAAAAACATGTTGGCTCAAGTTAAATGTAGTGAACCCAAACAAGTGCTGTGAAAATTTTTACACGCATGTATGACAAACACTAGCAGCTAAATCACTAAATGCTTTGTAGAGCTTTTAAAGAACTGAACAATTGCTTTTATAAGTGCATATATATGAACATTCTATTTTCTTTTTCAGTTTTCAACGAGTATATAGAGCAGCGCAGCGATGCTCACCTTATGTATTGCTTGTACAAATAACAAAAATGCATGCATTGTGCTCATATATAAAGCATGTGTCAGAATGGCCGAGTGGTCGAAGGCACCAGACTTAAGGGAAACCTTGCCAAGTGATATATAAAGCATTTCATAACAGCTACATAGTTAGATAACTATAAAAGTTGATATTTAAAGGCTGTTGTGCCCGTCCACATGACTATACAACTTCACAGGCAGATAACGTAAAGCAGGCTGATACATGTTTTCAAAACATTGCACCTGCATTCAAATGACGATTCATATGTAGGGTTTAACACCCCAAAACCACCATATAATTATGAGAGAGGCCATAGTGGCGGGCTCCAGAAATTTCAACCATCTGGGGTTCTTTAATGTGCATCTAAATTTTTAATAAGCACACGGGCCTACAGCATTTTCGCCTCCATCCTACAGCCGGGATTCTATCCCATGACCTGCAGGTCAGCAGCTGAGTAATTTACCCACTAGACCACTGTGGCGAGGTGCACATGCATTCGAAGATAGTTGGCAGCTTATTGTAGCTCTGTAAGCAGCATGTTGCACATATTGGCTACGTCAAACGTGTGAGCAATTGGCAAAATCTCTGGTCAAATTTGATTACATCACGATTCGAGTGATAGTTTTTTTAATGGGAAATTAACTCTGGCATCAGTAAAAAGTACATCGACCAGTGTACTTTGGTTGAAATTTGGTTGAAGCCATGAAAGTCATTGCTATCTCAATTCCTATACAAATTTCATAACATGCATTCTGGCTCTGTGACGATGCAACCGCAGACGTAATGCATGTTCAGCCTTTATTAATTAAAAGGCAAGGAACAAATAGACAAGGCTGCTCGCACTATCAAGGTAAAATAATAGTACGAGTGAATACAATTTGAAAAGGTCATCGTGTGATAATCCTAGAATGCTAGAAAACTTTCAAAATCACATGATGTCCCGCTTCAAGAAGCTTTCTTGTTCACTGTAATTATATGGACACATATTATGATGATGATTATCATTTTTCCTACACCTGTAAACAGTGGCTCATTCAAAATAACACTTGATCGAAGAATGGTTGTATTATGGCCAGTTGAGTTATGTCCGATTTTTCAGAAAAATAGCGCTAGCATGGGACATAGAAATGAAAAGACCAGCACCGTTTTTCTAACTATTCAGTATGCACCAACAAGTCCGCGTTGATTGATGCTTTATTCATGTCTGGCTGTCTGTCTTGTTAACTGCTGAAAGGTTTGTAATGCCGTTAATCATTCTTAAGTGTAGCATAAGTGCCTTGTGAATTCATAAACTTGTTTAACACATTGATAAAGCTCTTTCAGCGATATAAATCTAGCAACGACCAACGGGAGTGCACAGGCTTAGGCAGAGGGGAAGGAGCCGTGTATAAAGAGCACATGCTTGCCCCCACCCCTTTGCCCCCAGGCCACACACGCCAACAAGGGTGTTGCACGAGCGGTTCCACCCTCGCCCAGCTGTGATGAAGCACGGCTTTACCCCCCCCCCCCCCCCCCCACGAAACAAAAAGCCGATGCACGAGTGTAGTACCAGCGCACCCAGCAAGCGGGCAGCCCCTCTGATTACAGCGCCCCACTGCGGGATTGCGAAGAGAGACCAGCTTGGAGCAGCCGGTTTTCACACCTCCAAATTCTAGCCACCTTAGTTGCAGTGGTCACACTTAATGTTTCAAATGTTACAGCTGACTAAAATGAGGCGAAAAGTGTTTGCATCATCGCTCAAGGATGCTCGCCAATCTCTTATCGCAACTTTATTTTCGAGTTAAGAGTAAATAAAAAACTTTTGTTTGTGTTTTGCGTTAGACATTCGTCACTCATTGGAGTAACGCTGTAGGGCATTTCTACCAAAGTTTTGGCAGTAAGACGTACTGGTGCTCTAGGCAAGCGAGTTACACTGTCAAATTAGAATATTAATGTGTAAAGTGCCTTAGTGCTGCTCAGTTCGGAACTCTCAGACCAACTTTGGACCGTCAAGCGAGCTGTAGAGACTGCGCGAGTGCAACAGCTCCTAGCAGCCGATAGGCATTAAGCAGATATGCCGCACCATCGGCACAAATAAAAAAAAGTTTATTCCAAACTTATGAACAGAAGTAGCTGAAAAAGCCCATAGAAATGTTTCATTATCGGGCTACGCTTTGCTGCTGTGCAGGGGCCACAATTAGTCCCTGCACCTACTGTAATGCCACTTGCTCGTCAATTAAAATTTGCACTGCAGTTTTTTAAATAACAGCTGCTGGTGATTTATATCTTTATAATCATGCTGTCATATGCATCAAGCATGAATCGGAACTCGCCTGCCCCATCATGCTGTGCGAAATCGAAACGACCATAACAGGGCGACCCTCCTCTCGTGCGGAGTTTGGATATTACGCGTGCGGAGTTTGGATATTACGCGTGCGGAGTTTGGATATTACGAACTTCAGATAATATAAAGTCATTTTGCCGGATTGCGGCGGTTGGTTCTAAGGAGAGTGCTCACTGTATAGTTACCTCGGGGTTGCATCCTGTATTGTCACAAATGAATATTTGATGAATATCTATCCACCTGGTCATAACAGATGATATTCCATACTAAGATTAGGCCCAGCTCCTTGACCTTTACCTTAATTTTACTGTTTACATGTTACCATGTTTGCTGGAAATATGAACCACGCTCCTACAAACAATCTTACTGTGTTCACCTCCACACAGCAAACTTGTCAAAAGAATTATTCACATTTACTTATCCAAAGCATTAAAATAGTCCTGCTACTGCAGAGTAGGCATCAGCTTTCAAGCATGGGTCACTCGCCTGTATCACAATAGATTACTAATCTTTATTGTTAAGATAATCTGCAGAAAAGGATTGATTGATTGATTGATTTGTGGGGTTTAACATCCCAAAACCACCATATGATTATGAGAGACGCCGCAGTGGAGGGCTTCGGAAATTTCGACCACCTGGGGTTCTTTAACGTGCACCCAAATCTGAGCATGCGGGCCTACAACATTTCCCCCTCCATCGGAAATGCAGCCACCGCAGCCGGGATTCGATCCCGCGACCTGCGGGTCAGCAGCCGAGTACCATAGCCACTAGACCACTGCGGCGGGGCAATCTGCAGAAAAGGAAAGGAGGGTTTTCTGGGTATACGTTATAGCACATATGACTGGTTCGCCCGGACCTTGACCAAGGTGATTATCTCTTGCAACAAGATGGAAAGTTGGCCCAGTTGAATTACGATTATAATTGCAGATTTTGTTAAAGTGCATCAAAAAACAGATAGATAGACGAGACTGACAAGGACAGGGCTTGCTCTCACAATTGAAGTTTTACGAGTCAGAAAAGGAATTTAAAGTGGTTACATGGTTTTTCACGCATGTCCAGCAGAACAAGGTACAACAGAAAGTACTCGTATCGGGATTAGTCTCTTCTGTTCGTCTGTTTGTTGGTGCACTTCAACAAAATCTTCAATTATAAGTATCTCTTACCCAAATTACCACACCTGCATCATTGTGAAAGCAGCTCACATGTCATGTAATGAATGCTCATGCATAATAAGCCATCATCAGCCTAATCCAAACAAGAGCTCTCATTGCTGGAAGATGTCAGTACAAATGCTTAGCGATCAGGGAGCTTTCTTCGAGTATCATTAAATATCGAGTCCTTTCTTCATATAATACGCCTGTAGGAAACAATGCAGCTATCAGCAGCAAGTGTTACATCTTCTTAGCAATAATTTTTACAGCCGTGCAGCGGTGCATTCAAAAACATGCCTGGCAAGCAATTTTTTATTGAAGACGAGAAGGATATAATGACAAAGCTTGTGCAGAAGTACAAGGCACTGATCGAAAATAAGAAATTGGACACAATTTCACAGACCAATTACTGGAAAGAGGCACTCTTTCAATGCAAGGAGTGAGGTAAGAAGACAGAAAGGTTGCCCTAGTAATACCTTAAGCCAAGGGAGCACTAAGGAAAGCTTTAGTGAAGAAACCTTGGTAAAGAGCGTTTATGAATATGGGCCTTAATGTTTTGCAAAAAGGAAGCACCAAGATACTTCACGCTGTAGACACTGGACCACACAAGTCTGGCAAGTGTGATTGTATGCACACACGAACATGTGTGTGTGAATGTGTAGTTCAAAAGAAAGTTCTACAAGTATGGTGCACATGCAGGCAAGAAATGAAGGAGCACATTTACAAAAATATGATACTTTTACAGGTTAACAATTCGACCATGGCACAGCCTTCCTCAGATTAAAACTAACCATGCTCAACGTTTATTCTGACAAAGGCCATAAAGGCCATGCCATAGCCAGAACAATAACGAGCAACATACTAAGCAAGCATATGATGGTTGGAAAACAAAATTTGTTGCTTTAATGCTATCATGTTCCTAAAAAAAATCTATGCTATCATAAAAATTGCCGATGTCTCGTACTAACAAGGCTACATGAAGCACCACGTGAAATTATTCGGGCATGTGTGTGGTTAGCGGCAGAGTTCAAAGCAAGGAAGCCAGACAGTGTATTGTAATGTCAAGACAAACCCAACACTGAACTACTAAGATCTCAACTGGTTCACTGGAACAAGTTTTATAACAAATCTGCTCTTAGATGTGCAAGGCTGTACTGCAGCAGAGCTAGTGAGAACCTATATAGTTGGTCTTGTCTTGGCTAGGCTTTTACCCTCTCACCTGCATCTCTCCCTGCCCTTGCTACACTATATTGTACATGGATATGATTGCTCCTTTTTTTTATTATTTTCTGTGTCCGATTTTCTTTGTATTTCTATCTTTTTCTCTTTTCCTTTTTTTTCTCTCTGTAGTTGCTCTCATGCCTACTGTATTTTTCTTTTCTTTCTATTTGTCTCCTCTTTCTATCTGTTTTCTTTTCTCTCCATCTGTACTAATTCTTGTCCCTTCCTTTTCTTCCACCCATCACTCCCCTTTCCCACCCAGGGCTCTAATATACTTAGAAGACTGCTATGCTCTGCTAGTGTGCCTGAATAGCCGAGTTGTTACGATGCTCACCTTCATATCGTGGGTAAATGGGTTCTAATCTCCCACCGCCAAGAGGAATAGAAGTACAAGGGTCGTGCGTACCGGTTCATTATGATGATAATTTTGTATCTACCACACATGGTCAACCTCGAGCACAACAGCACTGCTGCAATTATCTTAAGCACCACAGTACTTGCCTGTTTTGTTTTAATATTGAGAGCGTTTTAACCATAACTCAACAGAAATAATGAAAAGTAAATGCCATGTCAGTACTTATAATGATGCGACACTAAAATGCAAGGAAAATTTGGCATACCAATTACCAGCCTGAGCTTATTGAGCCGTGTGACCGCACGTATGATCACACTCAATGTATTGAGAAGTACTCAGCTTGACTAAGCTGAGTACTTCCTGAGCTGAGGTAACTTCCTCAGCTACTGACAATCAAGTGTACTTCGCATGTTCACTTGATCTACTTCAATAAATATATCAGGCCAGAGAACCAGTAACTACTCATTAGAAGACTTTTCATGCATACAATTTGGTAATAAGAAGTACAAATTTGCGAGCTAAAAAACAGTTGGACTCACCATACTTGCAAATAAAAGACTGTCACATTTTCAGAGCTACACATACCTACGCACATGTAGTTGGCCAAGTAGTATACTTACTAGAATCCTTGAGTTGTCTGGTGACGAAGCAGCTGAAACAAGTTGAAAATAACATCTCCTTGACATCAGACCTCGACCCATGTCAAGTGTATCTGTTGGCATAAATTTAACATGCATTAACTGCTACTCGTAAAAGGCCCTCCACAAGAACACCCAACTGCTGTCTAATCTAAGTTGTGTTCAAGCTCTGTTATGTTACAGGGTGTCAAACCAAACTCAAACCAAAGAATGTACCTATATGATGATTTTGGATGGAACTGAACCAGAACCAATATTCTTGGGACGTGACTGTACCCCAACTGAACCAGATCTAATAACATTGGTTATTGGCTTGGAAAAAAGCAGATTAAGGTATAATCAACAACAGTTTTTGCAGTCTACATGGAGAGATTGAATCAAATAGAGACTCATATAAGCGATTCAGGTGTATAGCTGCTATTGCACAGATGATAATGTTCCTGAACAAATGTTAGGAGGAGGTCGCTGGTGCAAGAGTTACCCCTCTTTAAATAAGTTTCTCTTGCCTTCAGGCAGGCTATCAATTTGCTATATAGATTTAGATAAAGTGACTTATTTCACCAATCTCAAAGGGTATGTATTTCTTATAATGATACACAACGCTGTAACCGTTTACTCCATAAAGCGAACACTTGACGCACTATAGCTGGCACTATAACAGGGCACCACTATAAGCTGGCAGTATTGCCAATATATTCATAGGCATCTTAAAATATTTCTTCCTTTACTCTGCAATGAAGACGTTTTGATGAAATAAAAGCACTTCTATAGTTTTGTTGGCTGTTCAACGGTCTCATGCCAAGGCCTCGTAAACAAATTCAGACCGAGCTGCCATACTTGCCCATTACAAACAAACAAAAAAGGTGACACAAAAACGAACAATTAAGAAAGCATGATCATGCATGTTGAGCACCTGATATTTGAGAGGAACTTTGTAATTGCCATGCAATCTTAAGCTGGATAGCTCTTTTCAAAACATTTTCAAGTATTCTTACAGGGCCACTTTTTTTGTTCTTGAAGACGGCATTCTTATAACCTTAGCCCTCTTACTTCGAGAGTACTGAAACAATATGCTTGGCACATTTTAACACTAAAAGAGTACACTACAGAACCAAAAAAAAATTAACAGTGCAAAGAAAAGCAGACAACAAATTGGCCCTACTAACACACTCACCGAGTTTAAACACACATTGTCATGGTGCTGCACATGCACATCGCATTGGAAAAAAAATGAATTATGACAGATGTGTGTATGTCATACCACCTGCAGTAGATAAGATAAAACTGACAGCTGAGCACGTCAACAGGAACGCAACAGAAATTGGTATTTGGAAGCATACAAGAATATCGAAGCCTAGCTATACAAGTACGACCGTTCTTCCCGATAAAGAACACTTCCAAAGCAAGCCAAGATGAACAGCTCATGCTTTTGTGCAATATCTTGGTACCACGAAAAATCTGATAACAACCACATGCAGAGATGTGCACAAATAAATGTACATACTGACTAAAAGTGCATAGTTCCAGTTTGTCATCCCTTTCCCTTTTCTTTGTCCAATTTTTTTAGCCCTACACTCTTTTATTGTTCACGGACAGTCAAGTAACAGTCTGTCAATTTTATTTTAATTTGTCTTCACTTCAGCTCTAGCTAGATAAATTTTTTTTAGCAATATGACCCCATAAATAGATTTTTTATATTGCCAACTTAAAATTTTTTAGAGTGACTTAATTTAAAGAAAGTTTACTCAATTTTTTTTAAGTGACCCTAGAGCAAGCTTTTTAGTGTTCATAAAACTTTACACTAAGCAAAACATACAAAAACTCAATAATTAAAGGTTTTACGTGATGGGTGAAATCCATTTATTATAGAAATAAGCCTGGATTAGTATAGCACAAAATTAATAACAATGTTGTACATGTGAGTGCTTTGATAAATGTACATCAAGACCACTGAAGCTTTGGACTTGAAACAGAGTACATCTTTAAATCACTGAAATTATAATAAAGGTCGTCACACCATTTACTGATGCACAGCAAGTCGAGACCATTTTTTTTGCATTCAACTTGAGATAAGCCTAGCCCTCTGGCTTATTAGAGAGTTTTTCTCTCACCATCTCTCCTCCATTTATTGTTTAGTCTTTTAAGTGCTCAACTTTGTGGAGATATTTTCCGCTGAAGAAGCTCCTACAAAGCGACCGGTATGGACTGCGATGTTCTCCACTGCCGTTCCGCACAAAGATACTACGAGCCGGGTTCCTCAACTCTCCGACACGGCGCAGAGATGGCACTCAGGGCAGGTCGACAACAAACATGAGTTTATTAACCAGAGATACAGCACAGTGGGACAATCATGGGCTTGAGGGCCGACAGGGAAACTCCGTAAGACCAATCGAGTGCACTAGCCTGTGGCACCCCGGTTAACACACAAAAAGGAACCACGGAAGCGGGCGAATGAAGTCACCCGCAAAAATAGGGCATGGCTTCTTCAATGCAGGCATATGCATTGGGCGGAAGCAAGCTGATTGGAAAGGGGACTACCACAGGCGACCAATGAGGATCAGCAAAGCACTGCGACGTGTGCTAGCATGACACGATGGGGAGGCATTGTCCGGGCATGTCCGGACGTGTTTCTGTGAAGGAAAAACCAACACACAGTTTACGCTAGATGAAAATCGCCTGGCGGCAAATTCATGGTGGCCATGTTCCCGCCGCTCGATCTGCACAGGACCTGCACTCGCGCTAGCTGGGGAATGAGACGCCAAAGGAAAGGGCGTGCTCAATTCCCACATTCTCTCCCTCATAAAGACCAAGGCCAGGCTCTGGAGGAGGTTGTCCGAGGCAAAGTGACAAGGTCAGCTCAGCCGCAAGGGGGCTGGCCAATATGGCAATGTCTGAAAAGGCAGTGTCTCGCCAAAGACCAGGACAGAAAAAGGGTGCTGCCCAGCCCACACAGGCGAGGTTGTTGCTTCCATTGACACCAGTCCATGGTTAGCCTTGGTCATACAAAAGTTCCACCAAGAGTCCGCCACACCACAAAGGGCCCTCTGCCAGAGAGGAAGTCTGCAGACCATAAGAAACAGGACAAGGCTGCACACGGGAGGAAGCCAGCACGCTTGAAGGCCGCCAGTCTGTATAATTTGCAGCCGGGAACTTGCGAGGTGTGGCTACAAGGTGCATGCAGCAGCCAACCACTCAAAATTGCTAGGACCATGACTGGTAGCAACGGTCACCTAAAACAGCCGATAGTTACCGAATGGGAGCCGGAGCGACCACGCTCGGGCTCGAGCCAAAGCTAGAGGGTGCTGGCCAGCCGCCAGAAGTGGCTGCAGGGACAGGCAGATGGGTAGGGGCTGATTGGTGGTGTCGGCAGGGCAGAAGGTGGAGATCAGGTCACATGGGGAAGATCAGGGGACAGCAAGCCGCATGGTTCAGAGCAGGCCGATGACATGGAACAGCCAGGTGCAGGTTGCTTAGGTCATAAAGGTTGGTTAGGTGTGTTTCTGTAGGTTGTACAATGGCCCGACAAGAGGCCAGCCTTCTCACAGTTTTTGTGCGATTTAGTGGCTGCCTCCCCCTCCCCAAGATGTTGCTGCAAGCAACAAAAGGTTTGAGGTGGGAGATGGTAACTGGACCGCTGACTTGTTTTCCTTGAGTCATCTAAAGCCCCTCCATACATTCTCTGTCAGCTAGGTTAAGCAGTGTCAACTCGTTCTTCCCCTCTTCCTATACAGCTGTCCTCCAACCAGCAGAAGCGGAGGTGCCGCAATGAAGTTTCTGCTGCTTTTCCAGTTCATGACCCACCTCACGGGTAGCCCTATGACGGATAGGGTGGAGGAAGGAAAGCTCACACCACTTGACGCACCCACTCTGCCTCATTCATGCTGTTCCACCGCTCGGCCGTCAACCCCGTCCGGCAGCCTCGTGCGCAGCAGCGAGGTGGCATTCCTCACAAGCTAAGGATGAAATTCGAGACAACACTTGTGGAACGAAGAAGAAAATATTTACTTTCTCACGTGTTCAGAAACAAGATCTAAAGAAAAAAGCGGAAGGAAGTGGCTCAATAACTACCTTTTGGAAGCTCCGGAACCGGAACTAGGAGGCGGTGGTGGAACAATGGTTGGCACTATTTAAAAAAGCAGCAGTAGACATGATGGAGGGGCTTTAGAGTCAGCCAGCTTGTACACCACGGGCGACATTTTGTTCTACACTCGGTATGAGCCCAACCACTTGGCCGATAGGGAGGCGAAGATGCCTTTGTTGGTTATGGTGTTCGAGAACAAGATCGCTGACATCATAATGCATATCCCTGTGTGACCAGTCACATTGAGCCTTTAGCCCAGCCTGTGCTTTTGCCAGGTTGGATTATTCAAAATCGAGGGCAGTGTCCATCTGCAAGCGCAGTTCCCCCGCATAGTCAGATGTACCAGCTTTCCTAGAGCACACTCGGCTGCCACCCCAGAGAATGCGGTGCATGGCTTTATAGGCAGCTCTCTCCCGAAGTTGAAGAAAGCGGGCGCGCACCAGGCAAAACAGTTTACTATGGACTGCAAGGGGAAACCCATCTCATTAGGACAGGTATTGTTGCTCTGTGTTGCTGGACAGCTCTGTGTTGCTGCACAAAGGCTGTTAGCAAGGGCTTGAGGTTCCGATTTATCCACTCAGTCAGGTTAGCCTGAGGGTGATATGCTGTTGTTTGTGGTGCTTAATACAAAAGCTGCACATGCATCCACCAACATCTTGGCCGTTAAATAAGATGCATTGTCTATGATCAACTCCGCCGAAAAGCCAAAGCGTTTACGGTACAGACCCCGGTCAACTTGTCCCAGATTGCACGTGCAGTTAACTTCTGAAGGAAAAAAATTCAACCCACTTAGTGATGTGATCTGTAACAGCCAGGATAGAGACATGGCCTCTCTGGCTTCTTGGGAAGGGTCTCATAATGTTGCAGGCCACGACTTCGCCGGAGTTGTTGACTGTCAATCGGCTGCATGAGCCCAGAAGGCTTCACACATTGGCACACGGGGTATGAGCAGGCGTAGTGAAGGGCATCACACTTCATGCCAGGCCAGGTAGCAGAGCGGCAAAACTTTTGTAAAGTCTTAAAGCCACTCACATGCCCAGCCAACCGCGAGTCTTGGAAATGGCAAAGGGTGGCTTTCCTTAGACTGTGGGGTATTACCACTTTGAAAGACTCCTGAAAAGCTTCTTCAGATAGGATGTAACAGAGAAGAACACCATCAGCATCAAGCAGATACGAGTCCAACGTGCCTGCAACAATACTAGTCCGTGTCCGGCACTTGGCGTCGACAGCAATACCAGCTGTCAGTTTGCACCAGGCTAACTAAGTCGGTAGAGCACGAGTCTCTTAATCTCAGGGTTGTTGGTTTGAGTCCCACGTTAGGCCCCAGTTATATGAAGATAGGTTTGCTCCAACTTGCCCTATGATGCGACCAGGAATGACCACAATGTTCTTCATTGCCGTCGCACACAAAGACAATATGGCCAGGTATGTCGACTCTCTGACATGGCGCAGAGATGGCACTCGAGGCAGGTCATCAAAAAACATGGGTTTATTACTCAAGATGAAGCACAGTGCGATAATGACTGGTTTGCGAGCTGGCAGAAAAACTCGGCAAGACCGATCAAGTACACTAGCCTGCGGCACCACGGTTACCTCTGAAAGGGGAACCACTTAAGCAGGCGAACGAGAAGTCGCCCACAAAGACTGGGCATGACTTCTTCCATGCAGGCGTGCGCGCCGGATGGAAACAAGCTAACTGGAAAGGGCACTGTCACAGGATGCCAATGAGGAATGGCAAAACAATGCCTCCCCCTTGTGTGCTAGCGTGACATGCGGGGGAGGAAATCGGACATCTTCGGACACATGTCTCTGTACAAGAAAAACTGATGTGTGTCTTGGACTAGACAAAGAGGCCTGGAGGCGAAACCACGGTGGCCATGTTTCTGGCGCTCGAGCCACATGAGGTCAACACTCGCGCTAGCTGGGGAACGAAATGCCAACAGAGAAAGCGCGCTCAAATCCTACAGCTTTTGGTGACATGTCGTGGTCAAGAACATACGCGATGAGTGACCCATGTTTCAATGGTTTGTGATATACAGAGTGCATAACCTCTAGTTTGCTGTTAAGTAATAGTGACTCTCACTTTAAGGCCAAAAGTGTGCCGCACACTGTTTGATTTTTAAGTTAGTATATTAGAATTGTGCTAGCAAAAAATATTTATAAAGCACTATTAGAACACTGACCCCCGACTGTATTATAAGGCCTAAGCTGTGTCTCGCAGTTGATTTGAGTTTTAAGTTGGTATATTAGAATTGTGTCAGCAACAAATATTTATAGAGCACTTTTGGAACACTGACCCCTTAGTGTAATTATGAAACCAACTGCCTACTAAAGCAATAAATAAACAAGTAAACAATACCGATACCTTTAAAAATATTTGTGTCAGTATTCAAATTAGACTTCTATAAAACTCTACAAGCCCTCAGTAACCAAAAGAAAGACGTGTGTGTGTGTGTGTGTACAGTAAGCACTCCTTCACTAGACATTTATACACAGCATAAGTATCTATGATAACTCTTTGAATGCACACTGATTTATAAGACAGCATTATGATGAAAAATAACCTGAAAGACTTTTCTGCAGCTAAAAAAGAAACAGCTATAATATCCTGCGCAAACTATCACACAGTCTAGATCAATAAGCTAGATGTACCTTATTGTTAGCTGCATTGTGCCTCACCAATCATGCACGAGATGGAATACCAAACCATGTTAAGTGAAAACAAAGTTTCTAATGTGGCTACGCTAAACGAGAGGCATAAAAGTCAAAGTGAACTGGACAGGTTTGTGCACTACCTATCCAGTTCTCTTTCTTGTTTGTTGTTTGTGCCTTTCGCTCACTCAATGCAAATACATTGAAATGCCATACCAACTAGCCCAAGTGAAATCTTTGCTGAAAATAAAGGTGTAGAAGTCAGCAATGCTGGTATATTTCAAATATGCAATGATAAGCTAGTTGTAGTGTCCTTGGGTTAAGCAATACCATGCAAGCAACAAATGCAGAGCCACCAAAGATCTTAATGTGGTGTAGGAAATCAGACAGAACGGGCATGCACACAAAGAACCCCTTTACATGGCACTACATTACTGCCGTAAGCATGTCCCTTTCACATGTCTCAGTTATTATTTTGAGAATGGGTGCACAAGTTTTACTAAAACGCAACAGCATACCAATCTATAATATATGCATTCAGCAATTTTTCATACTCATCTATAAAATTAAGTGAGGACAGCACTTACACTAAACACAACTATGTGTGTGCCCATATGTTGTAACAGCCCCAGATACATAACTGGGACAGCCCCAGATACATAACTATTTCAGCAGATGATGTACAAGATCCCCGAATGCACATAATCAAGCTCACCAATTATTCCACTTGGCTTCAATATTTTGGCAGCCACTTTGCTAATAGTTGTTATTTTGTCAAAACACAGAACTAGCATGAACAGGTCACAAATATTAACATGTACATAGTGACTACAGGCGATATGCAGTTGAAACTTGTATAGATTAAAATCAATTTTAAAAAACACATTAGCTAAGCAAGAAAGGTGCTTGGATAAAAAAATATATGCGTACATATTCCGTTCAGCTGCTGGTCTTCATCCGAATCGTCTTGATAGAACACCTCCAGGGCACTGCTGAACAGCCGTGCCCGGTTAGCTTCAATGCTGCAAGCAGAACATAAAGTGTGTGCAATACACCAGGAACACTTATCATTATAGCAACATGCTTCGCTCTCATCAAAACAAACAAGGGAACACAACTAAGTGTCCAAGTGGGCCATCTCAAATTGTTTCACCCGAGATGATACCACCTGAGGAGGCCTTAACAGAGAAGATGAACGCGTGAGTGGAAGACTTGATCTTCTGTACTGAATTATTATATATTTAATGAGCTACAATGTTTGACAGCATTCATGAATTTAGCAGTGTATTATTAATGAGATGTGGGAATGCATATTAAGCATTCTGATTGAATAGAAGAAGTGTGTGGAGTACCAAAATTTTACCCTTCTTAGTAACTGTCAAACAACCTCTCAGAGTACAACCTAGATTCTATGTTCCCTACTAAAATCAAATGAGCCAAATTCGTGGATGCTATGGTGTCACCTGTATTAATCTCAACTGTCTAGCGGCGCTGCCCGCGTTGGGAGCTGGGTCGGACGTCTATTAATAAAACACTTGGTTTTGCGACGCTCATGAGTGCGGTCCGATCTCTTGTGTGTCAGGCTCCAATGCGTCTAGCATCTCAGCCAACCTCCAAAACACAACATGGTCTCAAAAGTGGCCAAGCAGATGCCTTAACTTCTCCTGACCAAGGAATCTGAAGAAACCATGGCCAACGAGCAACAAAATTCTGAAAGCAAGTGGCTCAGAATCTCTCTTCGGCAACTAGACACGTTTGACTTCACCAATGCTCCATCTTGCGAAATGTGAAAAACGCATTACGAGAACTATGCAGCGGCCTATGAAGTCTGCCACGCTTCTGCGGAAGTCCAGGTACGCTCACTATCGTACTGTATGGGCCCCAAAAGTCGTCCGCTGTTAGACACTTTCTCGTTTTCTGCATATGAGCTGCTTTCTTGCTAGACCGTAGTCATGCGTTTTACCGAGCACTTCGTGCATCCGGCTAACGAGCTCTACGAGTCTTCTCGCTTTCATAAGTGCACTCAGGAAACGGGCGAAAGTGTTGACCCTTATTATGCAGAATTATGCCGACTTGTGAAGCGCTGCAACTACCTATCTGCTTAAGTCGAAGAGCGTCTCGTGCATAACCAATTCATCTCAGAGATTTATAAGAAAGAAAACGGTGTGGGCATGGCACCATGAACAAGAATCAACCTTCAGCAAGATCAAAGAACTGCTGCCATCCGATAAGTGCATGGCTAAATATCACCCGTCCTACGCAACCACGACTTCGGCGGATGCCAGTTCTTTTGGACTAGGAGCAGTCTTACTAAAAACTCAACCTTCTGGAGAAGGTCAACTCAAAGAATTTCCTTCTCGTTCCATGATGGCCACGGGACAGAGGTACAGTCAGACAGAGAAGGAAGCTCTGGCGGCAACATGGGCGATGTGCAGATTCGATGAGTGCGTATGTGGCATACACTTTACTGTAGAAACTGATAATCAATCACTAGTCACTCTGTTCAGCACTATGAAACTGGATATGCTCCCTCCTCGTGTTCAAAGACTGTGCCTCAAGCTGATGCATTACCTGTTGACCATGCAGTACGTCCGGGGAAATCTACTGGCGACAGCCGATGCTCTCTCGAGGATACCAGAAGGCTCCTTCTCACCTCGACATCGTGGAATCGTTTGCAAAAAAGTTGTTAATCCATCCTCAACTTTGCTATTGAATCCAGATGACATTAAGAGAGCCCAAAGCAAAGATGGTGAGTGCACTTCCCTTATTGCTCTAGCCCAACGAGGCTGGCCTCACAAGAATAAGCTGCCTCTACATTTGATGAAGTATACTGCGGTAGCTAGTGAGATCACAGTCTGTGGTGGTCTTCTACTCGAAGGTCCCTGCATCGTGGTTCATACTTACTCGAGACCAGCAGTCCTAAATTTGCTGCATGACGGCCATCAAGGAGTAAAGCGGTGCAAAGCTAAATATAAAACTTCTAGGCGCGTAAAACTTCAGACAACTAACATAAGAGACAAGGACGAGCGCAGACTTTCAACTGATTTTATTACTACTACGACACACATATATATATTGGAAAGAAGATAAGCAACACACAAAATCAAAAGGCGAAAAGAGAGATTGCAAAAACATCACGTGCTCACCCTGGGCCCTCACGTGCCGAATTTAAAAACGTCAATTCTTTCCCAGATAATGCTATCGATGGTTTGCTGATACAGCTACCTCGAGCAATTGCTGCAGCTTCAATTACAAGTCTTGTGCCTTCATTAGGGTGGGACGCGAGAACCCTTGTCTGTTCGAACAAAGGCTGGCATCCACATTCGGAACAATGAGCGGCCAAAAAACCGTCCCGTCCTGCATTTCTTACTTTCTGGCAATGTTCTTGAAGTCTTACATTGAGGCACCTGCCCGACTGACCGACGTACTCAAGTCCACAAGACAAAGGTACGCCATAAACAATCCCTGTTGCACACTCAACAAACTTCTTTCGGTGCTTAATTTTGCAGCTACTCGTAGTGGTTCCTACGGGGCTTGTTTGGACAGATAATTTTGACAATTTATTCGGTGCGGAAAAAACCACTGACACGCCCGCTCTCTGGCCTATTTTCTTGAGTTTATGCGAGATACCATGTAGATACGGTATCACCGCCACCCTCTTGGGAGTTGCTTCTTGTAAAACGTCCCCATCGTTACCGGCCCTTGATTGTCTGCGCAGCTTCTCACACACAGAAACTAGCAACGAACCGGGATAGCCCGCTGCCTCTAGACGGAGAATCTGCCTGTCGAAACTTCGCTGGACTGAGTGGAAGCAAGATTTTGTTAAAGCGTTATATAAACATGCCTTTACAATTCCACGCTTCACCAGTTTGCTGTGAGAAGACGCGTACGGTAAAAGGGGTTTTTTCCCCCGTGGCTCATACGTCCAACACACGTGCCCAGCTGAAAAAGTTAGTATTAACTCTAAAAACCTCAGGGAACCATTTTCCGGCAACTCATACGTGAGAGACAGTGGTTCAAGGCATTCCTGGAACACTTGCAAGACTTGCTGAAAGCACTCACTAAGGACCTCAAGATCGCAATCAAACAAAATTAAGTAATCATCGACAAACCGGAAGCACTCACTGACATTCATTTGTACCAACCGTTGATGAATCTTTCTATCCAAATGAGCGAGATATAAATCGCTCAACACTGGGGCGATGCATGAGCCAATGCACACGCCTGTTTTTTGCAGAAAAACTTCACCATTCCACTCCGCAAAGGTGGAGGCAAGGTAAAGCTTCAGCACATCCAGGAAGCCAGAAACAGAAATACCACACTCGTTTTGAAAGGCAACAGCACCAAAATCAGAAATTGCTTTTTCAATGACATCAACAAGTGGTTTTTGAGGCAGAGAATAGTAGAGATCCTTTATGTCGATGGAAACACCCACTCGACGAGTGGACACGTGTTGACGGAGGAAGCCAACAATCTGCGAAGAATTGTTCACTAGAAAAGGATCATTAATCGGCAACAGTTTTAGGTACCTCTGAAGCCAAGAGGCAACACACTTCTGCCATGTGTCCCGTTCAGAGATTATAACACGAAAGGGCATATCAATCTTATGCGTCTTTGCAGAAAAAAACAAATTAAGCGCCAGTCTTTCTTGTTTGTTAACTGATCTCACGAGGCTACATAGATTAAGCTTATCAAGCATGTTGCACGCTTTTCGCTTCGCATCCTTCAGATTAATTTGCGGGCAAAGGTTAAACACAGAGTCAATAGCCGCGTGGCCTTTACTCATGAAGGTCCGGTTTCTTACGACACAAAACCCACCTTCTTTGTCCGAAGGCAGCAGACATAGTTTGTTGCTCTTTAGGTAGGAGACGACTTTCCTCACTGGAATGGTCTTTCCTCGAGGCGCATATCGGTAGAGGACATCAACACCTTCTGAAACACACCTCTCAGATTCACTGTCCGGGGCAGCCCTTGAAACGTTCCGCACTAACGAAAGCAGTTCCGCAGGTGAGTTTTTCTTTTCCACGGCGAACTTTGGTCCCAGGGATAGCGTTGTCCTGACGTAGTCTGGAAGGCTAATTCCCTCTTCAACGTGGAGCTGTCCTGCAGAGCGCACTTGGGGACGCCGTTTTTGGCGCCGAAGTAGAAGCAGCTCTTGTTTCCATCTGCTCTCTACAGCATGGTCGATCAGCTTCGTCCATTCGTGCCGTTTTTTCACCCTTGCAGACCTGTCACCAGGACCGCGGTCCACTTGAACGTACAGAAAGTCCCGAAGTATTCGAGCTTGTCGCAGGGTTTCCGAACGCGGATTCCACCAGGACCGCGGATTCAGGATTCAGGACTGCAGGATTCTGCGTTCGGAAACCCTGCGACAAGCTCGAATACTTCGGGACTTTCTGTACGTTCAAGTGGACCGCGGTCCTGGTGACAGGTCTGCAAGGGTGAAAAAACGGCACGAATGGACGAAGCTGATCGACCATGCTGTAGAGAGCAGATGGAAACAAGAGCTGCTTCTACTTCGGCGCCAAAAACGGCGTCCCCAAGTGCGCTCTGCAGGACAGCTCCACGTTGAAGAGGGAATTAGCCTTCCAGACTACGTCAGGACAACGCTATCCCTGGGACCAAAGTTCGCCGTGGAAAAGAAAAACTCACCTGCGGAACTGCTTTCGTTAGTGCGGAACGTTTCAAGGGCTGCCCCGGACAGTGAATCTGAGAGGTGTGTTTCAGAAGGTGTTGATGTCCTCTACCGATATGCGCCTCGAGGAAAGACCATTCCAGTGAGGAAAGTCGTCTCCTACCTAAAGAGCAACAAACTATGTCTGCTGCCTTCGGACAAAGAAGGTGGGTTTTGTGTCGTAAGAAACCGGACCTTCATGAGTAAAGGCCACGCGGCTATTGACTCTGTGTTTAACCTTTGCCCGCAAATTAATCTGAAGGATGCGAAGCGAAAAGCGTGCAACATGCTTGATAAGCTTAATCTATGTAGCCTCGTGAGATCAGTTAACAAACAAGAAAGACTGGCGCTTAATTTGTTTTTTTCTGCAAAGACGCATAAGATTGATATGCCCTTTCGTGTTATAATCTCTGAACGGGACACATGGCAGAAGTGTGTTGCCTCTTGGCTTCAGAGGTACCTAAAACTGTTGCCGATTAATGATCCTTTTCTAGTGAACAATTCTTCGCAGATTGTTGGCTTCCTCCGTCAACACGTGTCCACTCGTCGAGTGGGTGTTTCCATCGACATAAAGGATCTCTACTATTCTCTGCCTCAAAAACCACTTGTTGATGTCATTGAAAAAGCAATTTCTGATTTTGGTGCTGTTGCCTTTCAAAACGAGTGTGGTATTTCTGTTTCTGGCTTCCTGGATGTGCTGAAGCTTTACCTTGCCTCCACCTTTGCGGAGTGGAATGGTGAAGTTTTTCTGCAAAAAACAGGCGTGTGCATTGGCTCATGCATCGCCCCAGTGTTGAGCGATTTATATCTCGCTCATTTGGATAGAAAGATTCATCAACGGTTGGTACAAATGAATGTCAGTGAGTGCTTCCGGTTTGTCGATGATTACTTAATTTTGTTTGATTGCGATCTTGAGGTCCTTAGTGAGTGCTTTCAGCAAGTCTTGCAAGTGTTCCAGGAATGCCTTGAACCACTGTCTCTCACGTATGAGTTGCCGGAAAATGGTTCCCTGAGGTTTTTAGAGTTAATACTAACTTTTTCAGCTGGGCACGTGTGTTGGACGTATGAGCCACGGGGGAAAAAAACCCCTTTTACCGTACGCGTCTTCTCACAGCAAACTGGTGAAGCGTGGAATTGTAAAGGCATGTTTATATAACGCTTTAACAAAATCTTGCTTCCACTCAGTCCAGCGAAGTTTCGACAGGCAGATTCTCCGTCTAGAGGCAGCGGGCTATCCCGGTTCGTTGCTAGTTTCTGTGTGTGAGAAGCTGCGCAGACAATCAAGGGCCGGTAACGATGGGGACGTTTTACAAGAAGCAACTCCCAAGAGGGTGGCGGTGATACCGTATCTACATGGTATCTCGCATAAACTCAAGAAAATAGGCCAGAGAGCGGGCGTGTCAGTGGTTTTTTCCGCACCGAATAAATTGTCAAAATTATCTGTCCAAACAAGCCCCGTAGGAACCACTACGAGTAGCTGCAAAATTAAGCACCGAAAGAAGTTTGTTGAGTGTGCAACAGGGATTGTTTATGGCGTACCTTTGTCTTGTGGACTTGAGTACGTCGGTCAGTCGGGCAGGTGCCTCAATGTAAGACTTCAAGAACATTGCCAGAAAGTAAGAAATGCAGGACGGGACGGTTTTTTGGCCGCTCATTGTTCCGAATGTGGATGCCAGCCTTTGTTCGAACAGACAAGGGTTCTCGCGTCCCACCCTAATGAAGGCACAAGACTTGTAATTGAAGCTGCAGCAATTGCTCGAGGTAGCTGTATCAGCAAACCATCGATAGCATTATCTGGGAAAGAATTGACGTTTTTAAATTCGGCACGTGAGGGCCCAGGGTGAGCACGTGATGTTTTTGCAATCTCTCTTTTCGCCTTTTGATTTTGTGTGTTGCTTATCTTCTTTCCAATATATATATGTGTGTCGTAGTAGTAATAAAATCAGTTGAAAGTCTGCGCTCGTCCTTGTCTCTTATGTTAGTTGTCTGAAGTTTTACGCGCCTAGAAGTTTTATATGGATTACCAACTAGCCCAATCCCACACTTTACTTAAGCAAAGCTAAAGCCAGAGATTCGGTGTGGTGGCCGGGGATTGCCAAAGACATTAAGTCCATGGAAGCCCAATGCGAGCAGTGTGCACGCACTCTGATAAATACATCAGAGCTGCTTATTTCCACACCATTATCGGGTCGCCCATGGTTAAGTTTTGAGTATAAATCTCTTCCACAGCAAAGGACAATCGATTCTCCTACATGTAAATTATTACTCCTGCTTCCCTGAAGTTATTACCCTTCAATTGCCTATAGTTTCTGCAGTCGTCGAGGTGCTGATCATTATTTGCTCGACATGATGTTTCAGAAGTTGTGAGATCCAATAACGGGCCACCATTTTCTTCCTATCAGCTCAACAGGTTTGTGGACTTCTATGGTTTTACCCTCGTGACCGGCAGCCCCCAATTTCCTCAATCCAACACAGAGAGGCTGAAAGAATGGTCCGCAGAATTAAGGAACTTCTTGGCAAATCAAGCGATACGGGAATACACCAGGCGTGAATGGCTTCAGCCCCGCTCAGCTTCTACTGGGGAGGCAACTCGGGATTCGTATACCGAAGACGAAAGAGTTGCTGCAACCGCCTTGGCCTGCTAGAACCACAGTGGCTGCTAGTGATGTGTCCAACAAGACGAAAAGCCAATGCAACTTTAATCCGCATTCTCGGGCTAGGCCGCTGCTTCTACTGGAGATGGGAGAAAGAGTTTGAGTTCGACCTGAAGGAGTTTGAGCTGATGTATTAAGTGACGGCCAACCACCCCGCTGTTACATCGTAGAGACGGACCAAGGTGCAGTCCTGCAGCGTAACCGTCGACACCTGTCGGGGTTCTCACAACAGAACCAGACGTATTCTGAAACTCCTACAGGTGAAATGCAGAATGCTTTGCCTGCAAATTCGACGGCAGACATACCGGACACTGACACGAACTCAGTACCCGACGTCAGCAGTGATTCTCAAGACGACGTTGTTGTGTGAACGCGTAGTGGCTGCCGTGTAGTTCCCCCAGCCCATCTGAACTTGTAAGGTTGAACAAGTTCTTAAAGAAAGAAGGTGTTGTGGTGTCACCTGTGATAATGTCAGCTATCAGGTAGCACTGCCCACGTCGAGGACTGGGACGGGCATCTCTTTATAAAACATTTGGTTTTGTGATGCTCACGAGTGCTGTCACATCTATTGTGTGTCTGGCTCCAACACATCTATAATGTCTCAGCCAACCTCCAAAACAACAGTGGCACTACGAGAATACAATGGATGCTAAAAAAGAAACATAGTTAATGGATATATAAGCAAAAGTAGAAAGTACACATTACCAGCAATAGTAACCTGAAACAATGTTTACGGGTGTATCCCTACACTTGCATGTCTATTACATTGTGTCCTAGTCTATGATCTAGGAACATATGCCACCACCTTGTGTAATAATACTTTAACACATTAAGGTGTTTACAACCTAAGATACAGGAAGATAACCTATGTTAATCAATAACCTATATACACTAACACTTAAAAATGTGAAAATCTGATATTTAAAACAGTCTGTGACCATGCGCCTCCACCACGAAAACATTCTACGATCCACTCTATCATAACAGCTTCACAGACACATGACTATGTGTACGAACCTTCGAACATCTTATAGAGTTTTGAACAGCGTACGCAAAGCTTTACGTTATCGCTTTGCGCCACTGCGCATGCGTTGTACGCTAACCACTTGTGGGCTTCTCTTAGCGGGCGACGGCAACGAACGCTAACTTCGCACGTTCCAAAATTCCTTGAGAGAGAGCACACCAGTGTTAAAAAAAAAACGTACATAACATTGAAAAGAGTATTAATTTTGATTAATGCCAGAATAAAGTTAGCAAGCTCCTGCTTCAGCTTGAGTGCATGCAATCACTGGCATTTTCCACGCGAGATTGAAGACTCCGAGATGGAGGATTTTGTTATTGCAGTTGCATATATGTTACTGCAGTTGCACTTTTGCATCTCTTGCACTTAAGCAACAAACATAATAAATTAGAGGTCCACGAATGTTTTTTTCGTAAACACCGATTGACGAGTTTTTAGCTTTCAGTTACAAAAAAAATAATAAAGGAATACACACACAGTGCTTGCAAATGCATCCGATCTTAGCGCAGTTACGATGAACGACGTAAACGGTAGACCAATTACGAAAGCCTAAAACTCTTTACAAAGCAGTGACATCGACCTGCCTGCATATACTGACAAAGTGGTCAAAGAGTTACTACGCAATGTGTCCTTGAGAAAACAAACATGCGACGAAATATACGTTAGAACTCGCCAGAATTCCAAACTTGACAGTTCGTCCATTGGCGTATTGACACCGCTTGGAATAGTAGCCTAAAGACACAGGCGCCTCGCTGGTCCACAGGCCAGCGATTCGTCGAGCGAATGATTCGAGCGTCGTCCTTTTCAACGCGACCGACATGGCACGCGCGCAGACAACTGCGCCGCAAATGTGTAGTCGACGTGCGAGCCAACGTAATAAAAGATAAGAAACACAGCACACGGCATTACCACCACATGTAAAATCTACGCTCTCTAATTGGTAATAGTCATACGTACCTCCTCAGTAAAAACTGCAGAACCCTAGCGTAGCCAGAATCTTCGCTGTTCCGTCTGCTCGCACTTTCCGATGGGGGCCTTTCACACATCCTCCCCAAGCGAGAACTAGTTGAGCTCATGCAGTCATTGCTGTGTTATGGTGCTGGTTAATAGCCTGCTAAGAAAAATTCCTGGAGCACTTTGAGCCAATGAGCCGAGACAGTTGCTATCTTATATACGTGGCTATCTTATATTTGAGATAAACTCAGATATTTCTCAGCACAACGCGGTCCTAAACTAACGCTTGCTTTCGTAAACAACTCGCTGGCTGCAACACCACAAGCACAGCACAACGCTAACCCATGGACAACTGAACCAAAACAAATGCAAAAAAGTGTGACGTTGCAATTAATTAACGCTTAGTGATAAAAACTGGTAACGCAGAACCTCACACAATTTATGTCGAAACTTTGTGATTAAAACAGACGCTTTCTATGTAGCCAAATATCACGCTTTTAGTTAAAAGAGCGTCTTTAATTTATGTCCTCTGAGATGGCAGACGCGTGGTATGCGCGTTTTCCGTCTCGGCGTTTTTGTGCCATTTTTTCCCGTTCGTTATGTAAGAAACTTTATAGCGTTCATAAAATGTCTGTGCCTAAATGGAGACAAAGAAAACAATAATTTAGCAGAAAAAAGAACGAGAGCTTTTTTACACGCATTTCGCATACAGCATTCGAGGTTTCGTTATTTAAATGAGCAGGTCGTGCGCGAAAAAAAAGCAATATATGAATGAATTACTGTATTGATGCTTATGTACTTACTAGTACACGTTTGTGCAAGGATTGTTTTTATTCCAAGTTCTTGTATAGCTCAGAGCTAGTGGTGTAACCAGTGTAACCTCCTTGGTGGGCACTTTTTTTGGTGCCTCCGCCCAGCGGCGGCGCCACAGAACACCTGCCACTACCAGTTTGGCGGCGCTTTATTATGGTCACGTGACGCCATCTTTGTCCAGTGAGGCAAATGGCGTTGTTGGGGAGCGGTGTTATTCGTCGTCTTCGTCGAAATGACAATTTACCGGTTTTTCGCAGCTGAAAGTCGCCGTACGACGGGTGCAATAAGTGCACAAGTGTTATAGCTGCGTGTTCGTAGTGCATCTGTGTGTTCACGTGTTTTCTTTGTAATCCAGCCGCTAAATGATTGAGCTAAACACACGTGGATTTGTGTACATTCGCGTCTTCATTCGAGTCTGCTCTAAAGTACTCGCCAGGAGCGTTTGTGGCTCTCTGTCAAGTGTCGTAGTGTTTTAAATAGTTGAGTAATAGCAATGGTAGTTAATATTACAAGTTTTTGCTCGAAAAGGGCGTTTCGATTCGCAAAGGAGTGCGATGTAAGTGAGCTGTTTACTATGTTGGCGCATCAGCTGATACGGGAGAACATTGTTTCTAACAGCCGTTTATGCAAGTAAGTTTCTGCGGCGGCTACTGTTCAGCTTTCTTTAAAAAAATCTTTTGCGTATTTGTGAGTAGTCAGGACTGATGTGCTTGATTGCTTCACCAGAAAGTAATGCATCTGGTGAGCAGTGGATTTGGCGGGATAAGTATCTCGGCATATGCTGTTGGCAAATTTTTTATCCTCCATAAGTAAACATTCAGCATCCTGTTTCTGTAATTGTAGCAGTAATACACGGAGATATGATGAACATAAGTTAAACAGCAACGTGCTCATTGCAAAGCAATTTGTGGGGTTATTGGACTGCTCGTGTGGCATTCTTTACATCACCGAGCTTAAGGACATCAGTGGGACATCACTGAGCTTTACATCAGTGGCTTAAGGACTATTTGTGATATGTCCAGGGGTCTAGTTATTGAGAATAATACGGTGTGTACATATATGTATGTCGGAAATCAATTCGGGGAGACGTTAGATTCTTTCTATCGGGGAGGGGGTACCAACCACTGGATGTGTGCAGTTTGTCTCGAAGGCATGATTAGCGTGGTACTTTGCTTTTATTTTCATAGACATGGTTGACCGATAGCTTCGTGCGACGAAAAGTCTCCAGCATACAGTGTCTGCTGAAGGCTTTTCGTCACTTTTATGTTATTTTAAGACAGTGATAAGGAACGAAGTAGCTAGCCAAGCAAGCAGTGACATGTAAAATGCACTGTCTGACAAAATGTGACAACATGCTGCTGCTTGTTTGCAGTAACTTTGGGCAATGTTTTATTATGTATAGAATAAAATATTTAATATTTTACAGTATTTTTTAAAGCTTCGTTTGATCATCTGCAGCAAATTGTAATATTTACAATGTTCAAGTTCCCTTAGTAGATTTTGCTATGTCCCATCTTTGCAGAAATTATATAGCGTGGAACTGTTTGTTCAATTGTGAGCCTTCTGGATGATGTCAACGGTTAGTGAAGAGGTCTAATTGTTTAAAACCACTGCAGGTACTCTAGGACCCTTTTGTGTGTGCCTATTTTCAGTACTTTTGTGTGCCATATACATTTTGATGCACTTTTCAAACCACCGTGGATATTTTAGGGTGAAGGAATGACTTGAAAGCCTGACATGTCTGATGCCCGTTTCCAAAACCTCTTGTCACGAGATGAGACACTTTTGGAAAAAAACCACACAGTGAGCGAGATGCTCAGCAAGCCAGCTGCATCCTGGGAGGAACAGAAGTTTGGTCAGTAGCCTTTGTCAGTCTGGTGTGTATGTTTTAGTTCGATTCTAATACTGTGAATTGCACTATTCTCAGCAGCTCTCGGAAAAAAAAATTACTGCTCCAAAAAGTTGTGCCATATTTGCTCAGGATGGTTTGAATTGGCCATCAATAGGGGGGACATTAATTTTACTGTAAGAACAAAGTAGGGATTGTTGTCACCTTTTCTGTGCTATGCTCTCCCGTGTTTATCTGGGAGGAGTGGAATTGGGAGCAATAGTGGGAAACTTCAATAATATTGTCAGTATAAGGTAATGGCTACTGACATGTTGACTGCAAATATTCTTTTATTTTTTTATTAAAATATATATATATATATATATATAGTTATTTGTTCATGTTACGCTCACAAGAAAATATATGGCTGCAACTACAGCATTGTGGTCATGTATGTAAATTTGAGCGGAGTAATATACAAAATAGTTGCAGAGCTCATTTGCCTTAGTAGTTGAGCTTATGGTGCAATTGTTATCATCATCATCAGCCTAACTACGTCCACTACAGTACGAAGACCTCTCCCATGTTCCGCCAGTCAACTCGGTCCTGTGCTTGCTGCTGCCAATTTATACCCACAAACTTCTTAATCTCATCTGTCCACCTAACCTTCTGTCTCCCCCTAACCCACTTGCCTTCTCTAGGAATCCAGTTAGCTATCCTTAATGACCAGCGGTTATCCTGTCTATGCGCTACATGCCCGGCCCATGTCCATGTCCTCTTCTTGGTTTCAACTATGATATCCTTAAACCTGGTTTGTTCCCTAATCTACTCTGCTCTCTTCTTGTCTCTTAAGGTTACACCTACCATTTTCCTTTCCATTGCTCGCTGCATTGTCCTGAATTTAAGCTGAACCTTCCTTGTCTTCTTTGTAAGTCTCCAGGTTTCTGCTTCGTAGCTAAGTACCAGCAAGATGCAGCTGTTATATACTTTCCTCTTGAGGGTTAGTGGCAATCTACCTGTCATGATTTGAGAGTGCTTGCCAAATGTGCTCCACCCCATTTTTATTCTTCTAGTTACTTCAGTCTCGTCGTTCGGCTCCGCGGTTATTACCTCTCCTTGTAGACGTTGTCTTTACAACTTCAAGTGCACTATTACCTATCTCGAAGCGCTGTTCTCTTCTGAAGTTGTTGTACATTACTTTCGTTTTCTGCAGATTAATTTTAAGACCTACGTTTCTGCTCTCCTTGTCTAACTCCGTAATCATGAGTTGCAATTTGTCCCCTGAGTTACTCAGCGATGCAATATCATCGGTGAAGCGCAGGTTACTAAGGTGAGAGTACCTTAATAACCTTAACTCATGCCTAACTGTTCCCATTCTAGGCCTCCGAAAACGTCTGTAAGCATGCGGTAAATAGCATTGGGAAGATTGTACCCCCCTGCCTCACACCCTTCATGATTGGTATTCTGTTGCTTTCTTTATGAAGCGCTATGGTAGCAGTTGATCCCCCATAGATTTCTTCCAGGATGTTTATATATACTTCGTCGGCACCTTGACTCTGTAGTGTCTGCATGACTGCTGATATTTCTACTGAATCAAACACCTCGTAATTTATGAAGGCTATGTATAGTGGTTGGCTATATTCTGAGCATTTCTCTATTACCTGATTGATAGTATGAATGTTTTGCTGTTTTGGAACCAGAATTTGCTGTTTTGGAACCAGAACCTAGCTGTTTTGATCTAACCAGAATATTCCCGTCACTGACACGATTGTTTTCATTAGCTGATAGTCTGCGTAATTAAGTCGAGAATAAAATAAGGATGAGTTTGAACATGCTGCGAAAACAAGACAAAACTTTCCGCACTGTGCTATAATGTTCAGCCAAGAAAGATAAAAACTGATGCGAGGGCGTTGGGTCACGTAGTGACAAAAAGGGTATCAAGCTTAATTCAATGCCTGTGGACAGAAGTAAAGATTTTACAGTGGTGGTTTTTGGTGCACTGATTACTGAAAACTATATTTTGTATGCTTTTTAATTTACCTGCAAGAATGGTACGAGGAAGCTCGCTTGCTAATGAGCAAAAATTAGGGTGGCGTGTTGGCGACTTATGCAGGCTAGCGCATGAAGGCAACGGGGCTGGTAACACCAGAATAATATGCCACTACTCTGAAATGGGCCCACATCATTTCGTTTTCAAGTAACTGACGAATGGAAACTTTCAGACATTTAAAGCTGTTGTGTAAGACATTACCATGCATTCATCTCCAATTGTTGGGCACCTAACTTTAGGCTGATCAAAAACAATCGCATGAGCAGGCGAACATTCTGGCGACTGGCAACTAAGCAGTGGCATAACCAGGGGATGGCGAACCGGGCCTGCGTCTTCTCCCCTCTGTCCTCCCCACCCCCCATTTTGATTTTTTTATTCTCAACATTCAGAGCAAATGACCATTTGCCTGCTAGGCCCCCACTTCGGATCAAAGTGGTGACGCCACCTCCCCCGGCAAAAAAATTTCTGCCTATGCCCTTGCAATTGAGTAGTTTTGCTGTGCGAGCTACCGCACAGTTTGGATATTTTATTCACATGTGGGCTAAAGTTTATTATTTGTGAAACCACATGTAGGAAAAAAAATAAGACTAGCCGAAAAAGTTGGACAGAACAAGGAGCAGTCGCTGCACTTCTAGAGAAGCGTGCCATATTGGGGATTTGCATGGGCATAGCAAGAGCAAAGTTATCTTCACAGCAAACCAAACAGCGAAGACCCCACTTACAGCTGTCACTGCACTTGCGCGTCAGTTCGGCAAGCGCCTATGAGAGGCGCTTTGTGGAGTGCTGGCCTTACGGTGCAGTGTTCAAGGTGGAAGTAGACGCCTCTGTAACTTCACATGATTTTTTTCTGCAGGAACGTTCCGATTTGATGGTTAGCATAGCCTTGTTTGTACACGGTGTCCATTTTTGTGCTATGCAGTTAATATGTAGTTTGGAGAAAATTCAAGGGCTAATGTTGTCGCAATGTGAAGGTCTTGCTGCTGTCAATATATATTTTAAATTAAAAAGTTAGTTTAAAAGCAGCTGCACATATCTTTCAATTTAGTTTACATGCACAAGCTTGTGTTGAAAATGCTTATGTTGAATTTCAATGGTGGAGTTGGAGCAAGTTTTTATGCGCATTTTGGAGCAAGTGTCTTCCAATGGCAGAGTGAGGGCAGGAGTCGAGAGTTCCAATGATAGAGTCCGAGTCGAGTCAAAGTAGGTGTGACTCCGAGGAGCACAAAAAGTTGCTCCACCAACATTGGCGGAAGGACCAAATCTCAGTGTGAGGTTACTCCCTTTGAAACACTCGCGCACTTAAGGGTTCCGCCGCTGTCGTGTGTTTTAGCAGTAATGGTGGACGACATGGCTGACTGGGCAAATCAGCTACAGCTCTGGGTCGCTGATTTGCCCACTTGGCATGTCACCGACTCTGAGTGACACTGTAATAGTGACACTGAAACTACTGCATACAAGTGGTAATTCAACAGAATCCAACAGTGGAATCAGCGGAATGGAACAACCACACGCAAGGTATTCCTGGCTATTCTAAAACTTCTGCTTCCACCTTGCTTCCCATGCTTGCTTCAACAGCATGGATTGTGTTCCATCCAATTGCGTATTTGGAGGCATTGCTCTACGCCAGAGTTGAGTGCTCGCTCGCAGTGTCCATCGACGGCTCTGACTCTGCCATTGGAATTTAACATTAGTCACATAACTGTACCAATTAACCCTTTAAGATGCTTTGTACGCAATTGTGTACACCCCTTGCTTTTGCTAGTTCTGTTGCCTAGTTGCTAGGAAAGAGCAGGATCTGTTGAAATTTAGATGAATGGCACCTCCTCTGCAATGAATGCATCTTCATGTAACTTCATTTTGCAATGTACTGCTGGATATCAGCACTTGGCCGAAGGTACTACCTTGTTGAAGGAGTGCCACCTTACACAAGCGAAGCCTGAAGTTTGATTCTATTTATCGAAAAGCAACATGAGAGACTTGAGAATAAATAGTTGTTTAATTGCAATTTAATTAGGATTGATTGATATAAAACACAAATAATATATTATGCCATTAATATTGCTGTAATGAAATATTGAGTGCCCTAAAATATAGTGTGTAAGTTTGATGCATTTACGAACATTTTTCACAGGTTTGGCCTGAAAGGGATATGTGGCACAAAAACTGAACTGAAAAGAAACTTAGTGAATGCCACATCAGCTTACATTACATACTTTTAATGACTCTTATAGGTTTTGGGTGTTGATATTAATTTAATTCAGTGTTGTAAAAAAAGTTAAACTTGACTTCTGCTGTTTTGTGGATTCAGGTATGGAAAATGTCCCAGTGGGGCAGACGACACCATTCCTGTCACCGCCACAGACTATTGGTCCAGATCCCGTGCATGACTTGCCGGCCGAGCTGCTGCAGGTGGGATGGCGGCGCTTCTGGAGCAAGCGTGAAGGCCGGCCTTACTTCTTCAACAAACTCACAAATGAGTCCCTGTGGGAAATGCCACGGCTCAGCACCCCAGCTCAGGTGAATGTGAACCTCTGCCAAGCATAACATAAACCAGACACGGCTGGCTGTTGAGGGCTCAAGCACAACAGCTTTGTACTATGTATTCTGAAAGGTAATCCTGCAAATTTTCAATCCATCTTTTCAACTTAAGGCAGTGGTTACCTGTGCGGAGTAAAGTGTCTGTTGTAAGATGTGGAATAGTTCTCCATTATTCCATGATATCCCCTTCAGGTGCTAACTGTCTATGATGAAGTCAACAAATGCATCCAATTCGCACGGCATTATTCCAAGATACCCTGTACGAAATTACAAGATAGAAAATGATTGAACATGTTGTTTTGTGCGAGTTTCAGTAATGAATGTTGATTGGCATGTAATTGAATATGTGATTGTTCTTCAATCAGTCAGCTTCAGTCTTTGCATAAAAAGAATAAAATATTAGGCCGAAGTCGTATTCACAGTTGTTTTTTTTGTACTCATTTCGAGCAAAGGGAAAAAAAAAGAATGCTCTTGACATTAGGAATGCTCTTAACATTGGTCCTCGAACGGGGCATGTTGAACAATCATGGTAATGTCTCTAGCAAAATAATCCTCTCCTGCAGTAGAAGAATAATGAAGTTTATTGACTGTTAGTTGTTCACTCAGGAAACCTCGACCAATGTGCACACTGTGTTTCAAACTATTTCTAGGAACACCCAGTGCCTTAAGGGGATATCATATGCACCTGTCAAACTTAAGTACAGTCGACTCCTCTTAAACAGAACTCGAAGGGAATCTTTAAAACTGTTCCATTTATGAGAAGTTTCATTTAAGCAAAGCACACTTATTTAGTGAATCAAAGCCTTTATTCAAATTGCACAAACCTCACCGTACTCATGAGGATGAGTAGGAGAAAAAAAAAAGAGTGAAGGGTGGCTTGTATGGCAAGCTTGAGTTGTTTTTTCACATGCCTTACAAACTAGCCAGAAGTTCTGGACAAGCCTCATGCTCTAAATAGCGCTGCAAAAGTTCAACAGCCTCTTTAGCTGATCGGACTGGTGACACCACTGCACTGGCAATATTGTCATCACATTCATCGCTGGAAGGTTGATCCTCATCTTGCACTTCGACAATCATTTCCTTGACAGCCTCCTCATGAGAGGTACGAACATTTTCATCAATTGATTCGTAGTCCCGCAGCGTGAAAGGGGCAGAGGGCACGACCTCACTGAATACTGCCTCAATGTCGGCACCAGAAGGGCTTTCTTCTTAATCATGTACTGCTTCTTGCACTTGAAAGCCAGCATGATGAAAGCATCTGTGTATTGTTATTGCCTTCACTTGCTCCCAGGCACGAGCCAAAATGTGGATGGCTGCCAATAATCTATGCTGTAGCATTTCCCGCTGTCTGCACAAAGCAGCATTCGATGAAGCAATTGTCTGCGGTAATGAACTTTAATATTCTTAATAACCCCTTGATTGGCTGGCAAGAACTCCAGAGTGATGGCTTGGAGTCTTTCAACCTGACCGTGGGCTGGGCAATTATTCACGATGAAGACAACCTTCCTGCCTTGCCTCGTAAATCTTGCGTCTTCCTCCCGTAGCAAGTTTTCAAAAATGGCTATGGTCATCCACCCTCTTCCGTTCGCATGGTATGCAACGGGAAGTGTCAAACGCCTTTGAAACAACTTGGTTGCCTTGATTTTCCTATTACCGACAGCTTCAATTTCTCATCTCCTGCCATGTTTGCGCCCACCAGCACAGTGATGGGATCTTTACTTCGTTTTCCTCCACTACAGGCTTCGCCTTTTAAGGTGAGAGTCTGATGAAAGTGCCTTATAAAAAAGACCCAGCTCATCAAAATTTCCTTAAGCCGCCCCTTTTGCCAGTCAGTGCAAATGTCTCTGTTGACCGCAGCACTCTCACCTGAGATTGCTTTGAAGACTAGGTCATGGCTTGTTTTGAAGAAGTTCTCAACACTTGTATGCATGGTGATCTCTCGAGCTTTCTGCTCGAGAATTGGTCCGCTTAAGTGCAGATTAGAACTCCGTGCACGCTTGAACCACAAAAAAAAAAAAAAAAAAAAACACCTTTTTCTAGTTGTTTAGATGTAAAGGTTCCGTTCTTTTTAGCGCCTTCAATCTTTTCTCTGCCTTTGTAGATCCGGGACAGCGTCTATTTTGGGATGTTGTATTTTTTCGCCACTTCCGTCTTGGGCAGGCAGTTTCGACCGAGCTCCTGAAGAATTTTCAGCTTTTTTTCAAGCGAGAGCGCATGGTGCAGCCATTTTCTTTCCAACGGGCTGAAAGAACACCGTGATCCACACCACTTTAGCCGCACAAATAGGCCTAACATACAACTGACTCGCCGACTCTGTTCCCATTGCCACCACAAGGGAGAATGGCTACCAGATCGGCTTGTCTCGAGGTGCTGTGATGGTTGTGAGATTACCTTTGGCCTGAGCTAGTTTATGCTGTGTTTAGATTTTGTGCCGTTTATCCTTAGGTGACCAATAAGCACTGTTTCTATTAACTGATCAATTTTACTGCGCAACACATAAAACTCCAGCCATATGAGCCCGTTTAGTTCCGTTAATGGGGCATTTTCGTTTTTCAGAGAGTTTTGTTTAATTGGAGTCACTGTACGCGCATTAGATATGTGAGTCTCATTGAGTGCTCCTTCATGAAGAGTCTAGTGCATGAATGACAACAAGGCCCAGTCTCATAACAGGTTGCTGTATCTGTATGATTGTGCACTGTCACGAAATGCTTGTAGCATTACAGCAGTAATTTTTCTAGTGACTTTCAATCACCAGCTTCGTGGATTAGTTTACTTTTCACTACAGTCTAAATCCGTTACAACGAACGCCGCTTCAACGAAATTTCCGCTACAACGAAAAATTCACGATTCCCCGTCAGCAGTCCATAGGAGTCAATGCATAAATATTGTCGCCACAAGGAACCTTTTTTCTTCAATCGTCCCGCTTTAACGAAATTTTACGATGCAATTCCAGGCTCAGATACTTATTGCTATGCAGTAAACCCAATCTTTAACACTTCTATGCATTTTCAGAGCCTGAAAATGCGTCAACGAAGTCTAAAACACGCATTGGCACCACCAGAAACCGCCGCTGTTCAGCAAGCATGGGCGCCGCCATTGCTCAATAGTGATGGCAATAAGACTGCCATGCTTTTGTTTTGCCACTGGCTTGCTTTTGAGCCGCGGACAATCCGAAGCTGAAGCTCAGTCACTCAGTTCATGGTTTTCTTCTCGCAGCTGCTGGGTGCAACCGCGGCACGATGCATTTTTCGATTCTGATGCTTATCAATATGTTCACGCTTGGCCAGTGTGCTAACGAATCAGAGCGGCTGTTTGTCCGCATCATCAACAAAAGCAGCTAGCCGTGAGTGATGTATAATAAGAATGACATAGAATAATGCAAAAGTCGCCGCTCTACGACAACACCCTGCCTCCATTTCGGCATTGTCGGATACTTTTGATGGCAGACAGCTGCTGGTGTTAACGTGTTAATGCAATTGTTTGGTTTGTCCACGAAAGTGGTGTTAGGCGTTGTTTTAGCGTGCTTTTCACCATGGACTCACTATGCATGGGTGAGAATCTCTTCGCGACGCTCTTGGAAAAGAATATGAAGCAGTGGACATTTTTTTGAATTTTGAGAATAAACATCCTTTTGTTTTGCTAGCTCAAATCAGCTATATTTTTTTTCAATTTCACTGCAACAAAATTTTCACTTCAACAAATTTATTTCCACGCCCTGTCAGTTTCGTTGTGGCGGGGTTTGACTGTATACAAATGCATAAAATGTTATTTTTTCCCCGGCAATGCTTTCTCAGATCTGATTTCTGGCTGTCGTTGATTCGATTCATTAGGTTTAGTGCTTACTGTTAAAAAAAAGTTTAGAAGCAGTAGCTACTGTGGCTCAGAAAAAAAGAGTTCTTTATTACATATGTTGTTGAATGTTTTGATGCTACGGCTATTATTTTCGTTCTTCACAATAGCCAGTCTATGAGGGATCATTCAAAGTTGTTTATAACATGTGTTTTATCTCAATGAAGGGACTCCTGCACTGCGAATGGCTTGCTTATAAGTAATTAACCTAATTCACTTCAGTTCCTTTTATTTTTTTAAAACCATCTTGCAATGGCTAAAGTTCTGCAGCTTTTAGTGCCAACAGTTTTGATTGATGAAAATATCATTTACCCGAATTATGTTCTTTCTCAATTGATGTGTTGGTATTTCTTATTGTCTTGCTGAGTTTCATATGTGTCTTGGCCTTTTGATTGTGTGTGTGTGCACACTATGTTTTATGTTTAGTTCATATGTGAATGTGTACATTTTATTCACTTTTTAAACACAGCATATTTCCAAAATATAAATAGAAAAATCAAAGCATATCCACGGAGTTAATGATGGTGAGTGTGGCGAAGCGTCCGTCAGCCCGTCCGTTCATTCTTGCTTCCGTCCGTCCGCGCGACCATCCATGCGTCCGTCCATCTGTCCATGCACCCATCCATCTCTCCATCCGTCTTCTAGTCTGTCCATCCGTTCGTGTGTCCATCTAGTAACACTCAAAGTACCGCCATCTCGCATCCCCTGTGGCACATACCCGCTCCGTGCGTCTGTCTAGTGAACACTCCAAGTACCGCCATCTCGCATCCCGGTGGCTAGGTACGACAATGACGGAGAATGGACAGACCCATGCCTTAAAAAGCTTCGCCCCTAAAATTAGCAGGCAGGTGCTGTAATACAGGTGAGGAGTTTCTGAAAACTTGCACATGGTTGGGGGGGGTGTCTTTATTTAACAGTACACAAACTGTTGTTTCGTTTTTATTGGTCATTAGTTTGAAATTTGTCCCATGCGTTGGTTATCTAACCTCTGTAAATTGGCTGAACTGATTATAAGTTTGAGTTCTACTGCTTCATCTTTAATGCTTGCTTTGAAGTTTTGTGTCTCTTGGCTACACTTGTCCTAATTAAAGATAAAGCTTGACATTTTTTTGTAGAGGCGTACGAATATTTAAAAACATTGTGTAACGCATCGAATTACGTTCTGTTTCATTCAGTACTTCTATCGGACATTGTATCTCAGAAATACGAAATATTTTCAATAACAAATACCGATCAAAAAAAGCTCAAAGGAATAAAACAGTGGTACATAGAAGAATAACTTTCTGTGTTTTCATTATCAAATAATCAAGATGCATGGAGCCCAAGTTATTGCGGCACTGTCAACGCTATGTCGATCACAGAATTAAGTTTTTGCTTAAAGCTCCAGGGTTGCTGAAATGACAGTCATCAATTTCAGAATTTCATTATTACATAGAGGCTGATGTTGGCTAAAGAATTTTGTTAAATGTTTATATATATATATTTTTTTATATAAGAGCTGTTGACAAAGTGCCGCCTTGAATGCTGTAGCAACTCCTGTATTTTAACCTGCAGTGACAAAATATTTCTGAGGCTTTAGTTGCTGCTGTATGCGAGCTTGCCTCACTTTACTAAGTTGTATTTTTATCAGTAAAAAATAGTCTTAAAGTTCTTTTGTTGAAGCTTAAAAATATCTTTTTTTTTCAATTAAAATGTTGTATAATTTGTGGGCTATTTCAAAAATCATTGCATTATTATATTCTAGGGCTGCATCAAAAATGGTTGCTGAATTGAATAGTGATGATACTAAATCAAATACTGTTTGAATTGTTTTCTAATAGCATTCGATTTGGTTCACAAAATCAGTATTCACACACCCCTTATTCTTTGATTTTTACAGTTTAACATAATAACTAATGCAAAACTACATCACCATGTCACACCAACACAAAATGTAAGTGGTGTGAAGTAATGTCATTAGCCTAATCAACAGAATCGTAGGCCAGCTCACGAAAAGGCTCCTGAACCACTTTTTTTTTATCTAATCATAAAAAGACTTCAGTATTTATTGCCTCATCAACCAATTGCGGTGGGAATCAATGGTATGTGAATACTGTAACTTTCAAATATTTTTGGTTAGTATTTACCACTTGATTCGATTCACACTGCAGTTTTACTCTTCGAAGTGTTCGGACTTCTGGAAAATAAGTGTAACGGTTTCATTCGCTAAAGATCAAATCACAGCGCTTCTAAATGATGCATGTGAATGTGAATCTCCACGCTAACTTAAACCTATTTTTAAGGTTAATGGCCTTCACCACACCCTGACGCTCTTTTGGACAGGATGGCTCGACCATTGGGCTTAGACTTTTTTAAAAAGCGTGCATTGTAAAAGTGCGAAGTGTAATGTCCTTTTGCCGTACTTTATCGATAAAAAAATAAATAAAAGCAAGCACACTGCACCCTTATAGAAAATGTAGTTTTCTCTGCTGGGAGTTCCTTTTGTTCAGTGATCTAGCTTTGCTGACTTTGAGGTCACTTGTTGAAACAGTTCGATTGTGTGCACATTCAAGGGCCGTCAACTTGACAAGCTCGGTCTACACGGAGCAGCTTGAGAAAGCCGGCAAGCTTGCCATTGAAGTCTGAATATTTTCACGTTTTCAGGTCGTAGAAACTTTTCCTGGTTGACGTGCAGCTGAACATCTTGATTGGTTTGCAGCACACACGGACACAGATTTGGGATATACAAAATAGATGGAGCATTGCTGTCCTCAGTGTGCCAACTATTCTTTGATATGCACCTTAATAATTTAAAGTGCGTGCACCATTTCCACTTTTCTGGGAATGAATTTGGTACAGACAGACTACACTCGAACCACATTATAACAAACTTGCCTCTTACATGAAAATAAGTCCGTTATATCTGAGAGTTCATTATAAAGGTTTATTCTTAACACGAAATCTATCACTAGACTATTTTTCATTTACGTCGTTATAACCGATATTTCGTTATATCGAGGTTTCTGTATATAGCCAAGCACGAATTCAGCCTCAGTGGACTATACAATAGGGACACTATACAATAGGGACACAATAGGGACACAGGGAAACAATGACTTGGTTTAGATGGATAAACTACCCTCTAAGAACACTAATTCCATAAGCTTTCACAAGTTCATTATTAATGGAGAAACAAGGTTAAAGTTTTTTTTTTAACTTTCGCACCAAAATCTCCACGTGTGACGTAAGAAATTTAAAAATCTGTTTTCCATGTTTTCATGACATTGGCTGGATGAAAGTTTCTGAAACTTCGTATGCTAGGTCTGTGGTGCCCACAGATGACAATGTATTGAAATTTTATTAAGTAGAAGCCATGCAGGACCCAGTAGATGCCTGCAAAATGTACTACGTCATGGTGTGTGGTGCAGGAATCTCGGTGGCGTCTCCACCCGCATTTTATTTTCTCTCTATTTCTCGCTTATCAAGCATCTAAACTCAGCAGAGGTGGTGTTTTGGGGATTATGAAATTGTACTTTACTAACATACGAAAAATTATCTTGCTCTTTAGTGTCCCTTTAAAATGCATTCTATCGCCATTTTGTAGTGGCGGTGTCACTACGCCTTACCCTGACTGTCAGTTGTTGCTAATGCAGCAAAAGTGGTTTAGGCTTCATCTGTATCTACTCATTTTGGGAAACATGCTTTCTGAACAATGTCTTGGCTCTGCAAAGCCAGCCTGCGATATTAAATTTGTTTGTATCACCCTAAAGATAGTGAAATATCAAGTCGTCCAGGCTAGTGCTATTACTACATGTTACGTCAACTGCGTCGCTGTGTGATAGCTATGAATGAAGGAAAGTGTAAACTTAAGAGCTCGTATTTTTCTCATTTGTTAGACAGAATATTAAAGAGAACGAACAGACAACAATGCCAGGGAAACTATAGGGAGCGTTATTAGAAGTAATTGTAACGTAAATGTGAAGAAGAAAAAGTGGATGAAAAGATAACTTGCCACTGGCAGGATCCGAACCTGCGACCTTCGAATAACACGTCCGATGCTCTACCATTCAGCTACCATCGCGGCAATCCCCCCCTTCCACTTTATGTGCATATAAACGTAGGAGCGTCAGTCAGCACCACCTGTTTCCACTACGTACACAGTGCTTACAGTAACTTTTGGATTACCTTTCACTAGTGCAAGGCCCTCTGTGAAGGACACCCCACTTAGAATTCACTTACTGTAATACAGTATACTCAGTAAACGGAAATCTGTTAAACAGAACTGCTGCTTAAATGGAACGCTTGTCTCTGATATGATTGGTTTCCTGCTTTTGTGTTGCTGCGCTGCTCATCTTTCAGTTAGCGGAACTCCTCTTGAATGGAACATATCTTTCTCGTCCCATCAGGTTCCGTTTAAGGAGAGTCTACAGTGCTTGTGTTATACTTTGCAGGATATTTCATGTTGTGACATAAGTTATTATTAACCTTATTTGGCTGGGCTTATATTTTCTTGACACTGAAAATGTCTTGTCTCTGTGACAACTCGCTATATACTACATGAGTGGGAACACAACAATATCAAGCCAACAAATAAAGGCAAGAAAAGCATAGGGGACATTTATTATAGCTTTCAGTTTGTAAAACAAACATAAATATTGAGAAAAAGAGGGTCAATGTCATTTAGTCAAGGGGTAGAGAGTTAGGCTGTGAATTTATGGTATCTTTAATAGAAAGATTGATTTAATGGAAGTAGATGAAGTATTTAGGCCAACTTTAACGAGAAAAAGTTTTTCTTTTCTTGTTTGTCGCACCTGATGGCGCGTGTTACCACCCTGTTTTTTTTTTATATAAAAAAGGACGCTCGTCGCATCCATCCATCCAGGCTAAGTTTAGTGAATATCAGATTAAGTTAAAATAAATTATAGTGCACACAACCTATGCATTAGTGAGTAACTTTTTTTTTCTCTTTAACCTGTTTGCAGTATGACCCACTCACTGACCCGCTGGGGATCCAAGGACTGCCAACACCTGTGGATCCAGGCACACCACCTGGTCCCTCACACCTTCTTCTCCCATCTCCGCCACCAACGTCCAGCCCTGTGCTTTTACCTCGAGCTGACAAACGACGAGCTTCTGATGATGCTAATCCAGCAGCAACCAAGAAATTTGTGCTTAGGTAATGTGTAGCTTTTCTGGTTAGATTTGTGCATCTCTAAAGGGCTGATGTTTCAGTTCCCATACAAACTTAACTCATTCGCATTCATTTTTTAGGACATCATAATAAATCTCTTGGTAGCATTCTGCTTCAGTTAAGTAGATGGCACTCATTTTCTCACATTAAGATTTGTTCAAACAGATTTCTGCAGGGATGTCATTAAGAACAATTCACTTTCATGAGATTTCATCTAAGTGTGTACTAGACTCTGTAGCGTGTAGCCAAGAGCGCGTCTTGCACCTTGGAAGATATAGCAGATTTGACACTGTGCCGAAAATTCCGCCATTATACTGAATTTAAAATGTAGTGCATAAAATTGTGTAGTGGAACCGAAGTTGTAAAACTTTCACTGGACTGAGTATAAATGTTTAAACGACCTCCGAAAATTGTTTAATACACTCAAACCTCGCTTTAACGAAGTTGAAGGGGACCCACAATTATTTCGTTATATTTTGTTATATCAAATATAAAAGTTTGTGGCAATGTAAGCTCAGATGGGCGCACACCGATAAGCATGCAAAGAAGGAAACCGCCTCGCGGTCCGATGTAGCGCTACGTGACCACGTGTGCGACGAAAAATAAACACAGACCAACCTCATTAACTTCCGGTTAATTCGAACTCGCTCCGAGCTCCCGTCAAAGCTATGTGTATTCCAATGGGCGAAAACGCCCTGTAATTGGAACGCGCAAATACTTGCGTCGATAAATTTGAACATACCGCGCTCTGAAAATGCTCTCAGCACCATGTCTAATCTCGGGCACAGTGCACATCCCTACTATGTGGCCGCTCCAGAAAGCAGAGCACTTTCGCCCAGTCACTTCGCCTTGAGAGTACAAGGTAGAAGGTATACCAGCTGTCTTTGATGGCTGCCGAAATAGTGAGTGTGCCAGCGATCATACTCTTAAATCAAAGCTCATATAACCAGCCCCCCTTTGTGGTCCTAGTTCCTTCCTGCTCCTTGAAAACTGGCGGCGCGTTCTTCTGTGCTAGAGTAATAATCGATGGCAGGCCTGACACACGGGGCGATGTTATCGCATCCATCCTCCGTGAAAAGGAGATATGTCGGCTCTTTTATCTCTGCTTTATTTGTGTTTGTCGCCTCCGCTCGCGCGCTTTTACCCACATGCAAAACATGATGCGCGGGAGGATGTTATTAATTTGCACAGTACTCAAAACATGACGGTGATGGCCAGTGGCGTAGCCAGGCAAGGGGACATTTGGAACGTCGAAAAAATTGGACCTGTATGTCTGAAAGGGATTATTCAAAATTGCTGCCCCTTTCTCCTGCTTTTCTCACATTCTCTCTGCCTGTGTAGCATAAGGTATTTTTTTCAGTTTGTCATCCTCTTACCCTTCTTTAGAGCAGTGTTGAAGAAAAATACGAGACTCAACAGGTGATGCTTGCCTTTGTGGCCATGCCATTCCATCTTTTCGTTAATCATCAGGTTGTCCCAGAGCGTCAGTGTTGTTCCATTAGTAACAGTGCAGATAACAGTTGCCCAACACATTAAAAATGTAGTGCGCAGAGACTATTTACTTCCTATCATTTGGAATGTTGTGTATTTTGATGAACTGATATTACATGGTACTTCATGGCCAACTAATTGAAAGCAATAAACTTAACGAGAAATTGGAAGAGAGACTCCATGGACGAAAGCTGGTAGCAGTTTTATATGCGAGGGGGAGTGGGGGAGGATGTAGTGCCAGCTACGCAATCGCACTAGGAAAGAAGACGAGTTATCACTGGCACTGCAGCCGTTGCTTCAGTTCTCGTTTGAACTGCGAAGGAAATGATGAAACGGAAGCCATGCGATGAAAGATTACCATGGAGTACAATGGAAACTACAAGCGTGGGGGAACTGTCGAAAGCTAGTGGCACATGTTGTGCGATCAATGTTGGTTTTGCACTGTTTTGTGGGTCGTAATACGAACGAGATGTGCATAGTGACTTGTCGTATAGCAGAAGCCTTTAATGCATTGTATATATAGGAAGTTTACTGCAACTCTAATCTGTTTTGAAATGTAGAATGTCACAAAATGTGGGGTCACAGTCTGGTTTCTGCTTTATGTCAGAAGGTGGTAGGCCCTTAATGTTCTGCCCCTGAGTAACTGTTGATACATCAAGGTTGCATGCTGTGTTTCTTTTATGTCAAGCAGGTAAGCTGCGCAAGATTGTTTGTTAATCTTCATCATCATCATGAGAAGTTTGGGTGCTCACATTGTTTTTATTTCTGCAGTGGGCCATTTGACCTGGAAGTTCCGACCAACGTTGTCATCTGGGAGCGGTCTCCAACGCTAATGCCTCCACCACATCCTGATGTGGAAAACTTGCGCTCTACACTCACCACCCGCTTGCGAAACAACTATCATGAAATGTGCCACTCTAGAGAAGGCAAGTGAAAAAATACACGTAATAGATGAATTATGCTTGCAGTGCAAATAAACATTTATATGGAAAATGCTTACTTCTTTCATCTGGAGATGCAGTTTTAGTTCAGTGTGCTGTGTAAAGCTTTTTCATGGATGATGCGTTTAACGGTAGTACCGTATTTACTCGCATAATTCTCGCACCCCCCACATCGCCCCAAAAAAATGCGATTCTTTTTTTCCTCGAGTAATTATCGCAGCCCCGAAAACTGCCGCAATAATGTCGTCTGCTCGTTCCAGCCATTGATGATGATAGCGCGCACCATCTGGCGCCATCTCTTAAGCATCAAACGTATTGCGCGGAGATCCAATCAAATCCAAGCCAAGCCGAAGTGGCCAGTGCGCGTTGCGGCGTGTTTTGTGTGTTGTGTCGGTAATCTTGGCACGTTATGAGGCGATACTGAAGCCACACAGCTGCTTCAAGTTGCAAGTGATAGATCATGCGCTAAACAACGGCAACAGGGCCGCCGGTAGGCCCTTCGGAGCCTACGAGTTTTGTGTTCTCTACTGGCGACGGCAGCTGAAGGCCACCAAGACGCGTTGGGCCTGCCGTGTGCCTAAAACTGGGATTGATGGTAAAGTTTATTTCTTCACAACGGAACTGCAAACGATTCTGTTAAATAGCCATCAGCCCAATACTGACGTCCTACGCTTATTTTTTGAGGGCTCCTGTTGAGCGTTGACTGTTACATCTACGCCCACAAGCTTCGCGTATGGTATTCTAATTCTCGACTATTTGCTTTCATTTTTGTGTCTCAAATAAATCTTGCCTTGTGTTGAACCTCTGCTTTTATTGTTAAGGTAAGTTCTAATTAGTACTTCTTAAAGCTTGCTGTAAGATACTTTTGTGAGAATTCCGATTTGCAGCCACTTCGTTTTCTTTTTCGCTCTCCGAGTTTTCGTAGAAAGTTTTCCCCACGTAATTCTCGCACCCCCCGACTTTGCATCCGTTTTCTGGCGAAAAAAGTGCGAGGATTATGCGAGTAAATACGGTAAAACAAAAAAATCTCACTGAAGCCATTGTTTCAACAAAAAGACTTATCTTCCTCAGGAGAGCAGCGTAAACTAGTCTTCGTAGTCAGCGTAAACTAGCCACACAACTAGTCAGCGTAAACTAGCCACAGTAGTGTAATGCCTATGGTGTTGGACTGCAGACTTAAAGATTGTGAAATTGAATCCCGGCCGCCCCGTTTGTATTTTGGTGGCGGCAAAATGCTTGAGGTTCGTGTTCTTAGATATAGGTGCTTGTTAACGCTTTCTTTCCTGTTGACAAGTATACCATATTTACTCACGTAATCTTCGCACTCACATACTTCTCACACACCCCACATTGCCGAACAAAAAATACGATTTTTTTTTCCGTGAGTAATTATCACATCCTTGAAAATTACAGCCAAAATGTTGTCTACTTCTTCCAACTACTGATGATGACAGCACATAACAGCCTGGTGCCATTTCTTAAGCATTATGCATACTATCAACACACGGAGCCCTAATCCAAGTCAAGCCTAAGTGGCAAGTATGTGTTGCGGCGTGTTAGGATACGTTTTGTCCATTCACTGGTTATGTTATGGAGCGAAAAGGAAGCTACACGGTTGCTTTCAAGTTGAAAGTGATTGACCATGCAATAAACAATGACAATAGGGCCGCTAGTAGGCACTTCTGAGGCGATGAGTTTTGTGTTCACTACTGGTGATAGCAGCTGAAAACCACCAAGATGCGCTGGGCCTTCCATGTGCCTAAAACTGGGGTGGATGGTAAAACTTTATTTCTTTAGAAGGTAACGGCGGGCAATTCCGTGTTAGATAGCCATCAGCCCAAGGTTTACGTCATAGGCTAATCTTTTGTGGGCTCCAGTTGAGGGATGAACGCTAATGCTATGCCTGCAAGCTTTGCATCGGTGTTCCAAAAAGCTGTACTACACTCAAACCTCCTTATAACGTAACGGGATATAACGAAATAATGGATATATTAAAGTAAATGAAATTCCCCTTCAAAGCTTTATTAAGAACCATGCATTTTAAATTTTGTTGTAACGAAGTAAAATCGACTGGTAACTGGATAAGGTGAACTAAATTAGTCTATAAAAAAAAAAAACTGACCATAGTGTGTCAAGTAAATCATTTTCTACGTAGTTTGACACTCGTTCGGCGCGGCTCTTTCAAAACTTTAGCACCAACCTTACAGCCACGCCGCGCGTGGCCGAGAGTCGTCCTCCTCACACAGCCAGTGGAGAGGATTGAGGAAGCGCTCAGCGGGTCACATGACCGGGAAGCGGCGCCGCGCTGTAAGGTGATTTCCCTCTCCGTGCCTTAAAGACGACGGCAACAACTGCGTCTCCACTGCTATTTTCTGCACCGAGAAAGGAGGACTCTCCGCGACAGCATTCGTTTTTTTTTTTCCTCTCTCTCCGCGTGCGGCCTTGAAAGGAGAAGGGTCTCTGCGTGCAGAGACGGGAAAGGGAAGAGCGTGGCACAGGCGCGTCGCAGATCGGCATTTGAGAGAGAGCAAAGAATCAGCCACAGTATTTTCTTTCCTTTTCTTCTTTTCCTTCTTCGCGCGCAGTATTGAGAGGAGCCACCGCGAGATTAGACATGGTGCTGAGAGCATTTTCAGAGCGCGGTATGTTCAAATTAATCGTCGCAAGTGCTTGCACATTCCAATTACAGGGCGTTTTCGCCCATTGGAATACACATAGCTTTGACGGGAGCTCAGCGTGAGTTCGAATTAACCGGAAGTTAATGAGGTTGGTCTGTGTTTATTTTTCGTCGCACGCGTGGTCGCGTAGCTGTACATCGGGCCGCGAGGCGGTTTCCTTCTTTGCATGCTTATCGGTGTGGGCCCATCTGCGCATACATTGCCACAAACTGTTATAATTGCTATAACGAAATAATAGATATGACAAAATAATTGTGGATCCCCTTCAACTTCGTTATAATGAGGTTTGAGTGTATTTTCTTGCAGCTTATGTATCTCGAATAAATCTTGCCTTGCATTGAACGTGTGGTTTTAGTGTTAAGTACTTCTGAAATTTCGTCAGTTGTTAGTATGAGAATCCCATTTTGTGGCCACTTAGTTTTCTTTCCTTTTTTTTCTTGCTCTATACGTTTTCGCAAAAACTTTTTCTTGTGTAATTCTGGCACCCCCAACTTTTCATTGGTTTTCCGCAAAAAAAAGTGCGAGGATTATGTGAATAAATACAGTAGTGATCATGAAAGTTTGTACCAAAAATGACCGATGACAACTAAACGCAAAAATTGGTCTTTTGTGGAACCAATGGTGACTACACTTTCATAGTTGTTTCTTGACTCTACATGGCCACACTTGGCCATGTTGTGCCACTTTTGTTTCGGTTTTCATATTTATAGCATTTTATTGCCATGCAGTCAAGTCTTCTTCTAGTTATCTGTTTTTATGCACTAAGTGAAACAAATGATTGAATCGAATTAATACTACCATTTTACTCAGAGAAAAAGAAAACTCGCGCAAATTGAGTGAAGGAAGAATGAGGTAAATTTGGTGCAATTTTTTTGCTTTCTTCTCTTTCTCTTTTTATTTTTTTTCTGTAGTGAAAGAAAACCACGTAGTCAACGTTTTCGCAGCATTCCACTACAGCGTCTCTTATATTCATATTATGGTTTGGAGACTCAAAGCACCAACAATTAAAAATTCATGGCCCTCTTTGCATGGGCCACAGAAGTAACAATTTAAACCTAAAGTACAGTATACTCACAATAGTTGAAACTTTCAGCTAAAGGGGAAGAACTCTAGTGCATTTTTGACCATACTGAGATAATGCTGCTTTTCAATAGTATTATCAGTCCTGTAACAGCTTGGGTGGTTCGTTTTGCCCAGGCACTCGTCAGACATGGTAATTAGGCAATAAGCGGCGAGACAAAAACCGAAACCGGGAGCTGCTCCGTCATCCATGGTGGATATCAGATGGCGTCACGAGATCCGTTGAACCCCGCCATGGCTGGCCAGGGTGTAAACATAGCGCGAAAAGCAAGTTGGCGATGTCATCCGACGCAGAATCAAGCTGTGATAGCTCGTCTAAACTTATCAGTGACAAGTTAAACGATGACTGCAGCTGCTATCCTAGTGCGGAAGCATCTCTTTTTGGTTTTGACCCGCCTCTGCGTGAAGCATCTGACATGCCTGAAATCAATTTTCTCGTTGCTCAATATTGTAAGACCCGGCCAACGACGACTAACACGCTGTATGCAGCTGACAAAACTGAACTGTTCTCGCGTTGTCGTTGCCTCATAGAAGAAAGCGCGCGCTGCATCCGCCTGCTGGGAGAGGTGGGATTTTCAAAAAAGAGTAGTCCTTACGTCACATCCACAGGGTGGCCCGCGTTTGCAAGTGTGATACCAAAATCAGCTACCAATTTTGAAACTTGTTTTCTAAAAAACTAAATGACTTACAATTGTATAATTTGGCACATATCACCACGGTACCGACGAGAACACAGGTTCAAAGTTTTATTGAAATCTGTAAATATCGAAAAAACGCCAGAGTTCCCCTTTAACAGTAGTAAGACGGTTAGTTGGGCCAGTTGGTTAGGATCCATCGTGAACTTACTTACAGCGCAACACCAGAAAAAATACAGGACAGGGAAGGAGCAAAAGAGAAAGAAAAGACAGCGCCGTCTTTTCTTTCTCTTTTGCTCCTTCCCTGTCGTGTATTTTTTCTGGTGTTGCGCTGTAAGTTCACGATGGATTCCCCTTTAACTCGTATATACTATGGAGTCTTGGTTTGGAAGACCTTTATTAGGCCCGAAGAACCGGCAGCCGACAGCTGAGATGATCGGACCAAGATGATGATGCTTCGCGACAACGATGGGGATGCATGAGCCACACATGATAATGATGATAATGTACCGGTGAAGAGGATGCGTATACTAAATGCCCACATCAATTCCCCCCACGTGAAAGCGGCCAGCCTGGCCGCGGCAAGTCAAGG